TTTTAAGATTCTACACATTGAGATGCATATTTTATGTACCAAACCACAATCTTAATCATTGCATATCTTAAGCAAAAGAAAATTGTTAGGCATGTTGCAAGCAATAGAATAAAGGCATGTTGCACAGCACATAGAAATAAATCCCATGTTACAAATGTTTGTACATCGCAAAAAATATGTATCCATTTTTTCTAACTTGTAGACGATAAACTGCGTAGTGTTATATAAAATGATAATTGTAACTGAATATTTTCTTAGTCAGTATTATATCTTTTTGTTTTCTAGATTACAAAAATAATTTACTTTTTAAAGCATGACTATTGAGATATTGTATTGTATTGTTAATAAAAATGAAAGTTAATCAAAATTGACATAAAGTGTTAAGTCGTGATAAAAAGAATGAAATTATATATTCACTATTTCCTCTGCTTTTTAATGTATAATATTTAATTAAATGTCAAATTAGAAAAAAGTTTTGATCTGACTTTAGTTAAAGTTATTTGAAAATCTGTTGTTACATTTACAGGGTAAATCAGAGTTTATTGGCCGCGCCCTATGCAAACCGGTTGTGAAATTGAGTAATGAGAAGTATGAAGGTCCTAAATTTCCACCAAGTTTGGAATGGTGGGATATTCACCGAGGGCCGGACAAGGCCGGCGAACTTCTGGCAGCTTTTGAGCTCCTGCAGGTATGTCTACTTTTATATATCGAGACATTTTTATTGTGATCCAAATCTGGATATAACTTATACAGAAATATTCTACAATAAAGCCCAGAGATGCATTATGTTACAAAATATGGATTTGTTATTTCAATGATGCAATCTTGTTTACACTATATGGAACAAGCATTCTGTATGGAATTTTTTTTTTAAATATTTACAAAATTGTAGTGTAATACTAATGTTTCTTCAACAAAAATACTAATGTTTCTTAACAAAAGTTGGATCTATTGCTGACATAACAATGAGAAAAAACATCTATCATAAATACCGTACTTTTTTTTTTTTTTTGTAAGTAGAAATCAAAAATCATTTATTCAATTGACCATCACCTTTTACAAAATTTTCCGTTTAATTTTTTTCTGCATGTATAATCAGAATTAATTTGATGAACCTTGATTGTAGAAATGACTATTTGGAAATTTTCCCAAATATAGCAGAGAGTAGATTTTTATTTTTTCTTAAAAAAATAACAAAAACATCATACTTTGTGTAAGAAGATTTATACTGTAGTATTGACAACTTTTATAAAAAAATTTACAGAAAGGCGGCGTGTAAAATTAAACATCTTTGTCGAAAAACATTAAAAAGTTTATTTTTAACCCTTAACCTGCTAGGACTTGACCAGACTGTTGACTAAATTTAAATTTTCATCATGATATCCCTTAAATTGATAATGGACAGTTCCAAAGATTAAAGCTGGACAAGTCCATTTAAGTAATTCAGCAGGTTAAGGGTTTAGCTTATTCTTTAAACAAATTGCTTTCATTGAAAACTTCCAAAAAGTAAAGATTTTTTAAAACATACTATAATTTATTTATTTACGACAATTAAAAATTTACTTTTGATGTTATCCTAGTGTTAGAATTAGAAATTTATGTTGTTTTTTTTTTAATGCTTTTATATTTGGCTATACATGCATTAGTATATGTTTATTTGATATGGTGTCTATAGTTTCCTTTTGACGAAGAAGAGCTACTACTGGCCAATCGTACGCCACCGTATGCAAAGAAATTTATTCGGGTATTGTAGGCAAACTTACGCCATTTCTTCTTTTTCTTGAATGTGCTATTTTTTTCAATTCCTTAGAATTTCTTTTTCTTTTTTCTTAGAACGTTTGCCCACTAGTTCAATAGAAATGGCAAATGTTGCACATTTAAATAATGCACCATTTTGTACATTTCTTTTTAGATATTTTTTTTTAAGTAATTATAGAATTATTTTGGTATACTGTGCATTTAGTTAAAAGTTAGAAAAAGAAATTCCCAATTACACAAACGTTCAGCATCAGTTTAACCACTGTTTCTATTAACCTTTCATCCATTTATTTTTTCATCTGTCCAAATTTTTCTTCTACTTGTCCCCTCTTCTTTCTAATATACCTTTAACCAGCTAGATTATTAAGTTTAAAGGCCACAGTTTATAAAGGTTGATTTTTTCCAAAGCAACAGTTTATAAATGTATTTTAATAAGAAAATATAAAAAATGACTTTTTTTCTAGAGCAGAGTTAAATTTTTCTAGGGTGAAGTGTCATAAAGAATTAATCAGTTTTAATAGATTGTCTTAATTTAACTGTGGAATTTTGACTTGGTGTGACTGGAATTATTTTTTCTAAGATTTATATACCATTTCATGTTAAAGCCTCATAGTGAAGACTGGAAACACGCCCAGCTATGTTGCCTCTTTAAGAAAAGTCTTTATAATTAGGTCTAAACCAATAACTTGTGTGCAAATTTGCAGATTATTCCCGCACCCTGTTATTTTTGCCCAGAATATTTTTATATTGTTCAAAATGACCAAAAACTTTGTTATAGATTTTAAATTTGTTTCTGTCAGTCATTTTACAATAGGTCTACTTGTTTCTAGATTTTTTATATATTTTCATTGCAATTATAAATTTACCTATCACTTTATTCTTCAATGACACTTTTCTTTAATCTTTTTATCTTTCATATTTTTTAATCTTGTCCTCAAATCATTTTGTGACTCCTGATATTGTATGGAGAAATAATTATTATGACACACTATAAATTACCTTCGTTGGCCTATATTTTTGAAATGATAAAACATTATCCTTGAAAGTGGGAATGGCTTATGTGACAGTTCTGGACATGGTGATATAATTCAACATTTTGTTGGATCTTAAATCACCTGTGTCCTTGACTGGTTGTATTTAAGTGAAATTGGAGGACAAAAATTAAAAGATAAACCATCAAAACAGCAACATGCACTGTAAGTCCCTTAAATATAATGCAACACAGTTTCTAAAATTGGGAAAACCAATGCAAAGTATCATGAACCAATCAGATTTCAGAACTGAATGGGTAGGTTTGAACCTAAATACTCAAATATAGCCTTTTTGCATTGTTAACCAATCACATTTCAGAACATAGGTTTGAACCCAGAAACATAGGTTTGAACCCAGTTACATAGGTTTGAACCCTTTTAACATAGGTTGGAACCCAGTTACATACCCTTCACACTTTCTATAGCTCACAAAATTTGGCATGTAAAACTTGGTACTAATGTTGATATGTTATATGAATGGTTATATAGCATATGAATGGTTATATAGCATATGAATGATTATATAACATAGATAGGTAACAGAATTAAACAAGGTGTATTGAATGTTATTATTTCTTACTTAGCCAGGTGATAGTGTAAGTATTTAACCTTGTATGCTCAGCACGTTGGTGTTAATAGAGCTTTTACATAAATACATAATTATACTGTCAAACCTGTACAGAAAGGCCAGTTGTCGTAATTCAAACAAGTCCTATATTGTCTTGTTGTGTCTTATTAAATGTGATTTTAAACAACTGATTTAAAATGGGAGAGACATCCTGGTGGTAAAGGCATCTGTCTGTCAACAAAGAGATAAGGGGTTTGAGCTTTCCTCTTGTCTTGGTCATGGTTACTCAAATGACATCATTTGACATCATAATCTGGCTAGTTCAAGGTAGCTGATACAACTATAATTAGAATTTTTTTGTGTCTTTTAAGTACAGGTTTGACTATGATCTAGCCCTTGATTTGCTGATTCTGTCTTTTGTAATTTGCCCTGCTTTGAATTTGAAGAAAAATCCCTTCAATATTAATGGGATTTCAATATTAAAGTACAAAAATTGAGCTACCAACAGTATACAGTGTGTTCAGACTACACCGATGTGCAAGCTGGCCTGGCTGTATACTGATGGCGAAGGTCAATCAGATTGGTTTCAGCAGGTTAAGGGCTAGATAATGCAGCATTATATAGCGGAGTTCATGCTTTATACATACCAGTTATGGTCCTTGGTTCTTTAGTTTGCCGATTGTAACAACAAAAATTTGTAACAGCACTTTTTTGGCACTAACATGCATACCCTTTGCTTTTATGAAGTCAGTTTATAAATAAAATTGATTTCTTTTCGATATTTTCAACATTTATAAGTTACAGTAGTCATATAAATTAATACATTTCTTCCTAAATAATTATAAACCCACCTGCTTATAGCTCAATAGAGAGAGCATCAGATTTGTAATCCAGAGGTCGCTTGTCCGAGCCCCTGGTAAGAAAAATTTCTCCATGGCAAATGATCTCGGATAATGAGTGTTATGGTTATTTGTCTCTCACCCCTGATTCAATAGTCAGTCGGTTACTTGTGGAGAAATGGTTAGTTATCCGATAAAAGCCGGTCAGTTGGATGGCACGCTGAGATATGACCGAGAAAATGTGTTAAAATCAGTGGTACAACCAGAAAAACAAACAAATAAATTCTAAGTGATTATATTGTTTGCTTTTGTGCAAAAAAAAAGAATAATTAACTTAATAAGGCTTAATGCATAAAATATAGTTTTTATGAGCTTGCCTTAAAGCAATGCTAAATATAAACAGTAATTTAACAAAGATTCATTTTTATATGTTTTTTTTTTACAAGATAACAATTTTTGAATTTTTAGCAGCTATAATGCTTAGTCTTTTCATCCAGCTAAGAATCATATGAGCCTGCATGTTCAAGCAGTTCGACCTGCCAGTAGGATTTTGGCTGTTGTCAATTAAAATACCTAAGATTAATAATGGACTATTCCCAAGTTTTTACCAAGGCAGGTCCATTACACAAATGAATCAGAAACAACTGATACATAAGCTTCTATCAAATAGCAATCATATCTGAGCTACTTTTGCAGGTTTCTGTAACTAAGTTGTTGATGTCAATACAATACAATATTTTGGGGGCGTCCGTGGCCGAGTGGTTAAGGTCGTTGACTTCAAACCACTTGCCCCGCACTGCTGTGGGTTCGAATCCTGACAGGGACTTTGGACTCTTCCATGTGAGGAAGCTATCCAGCTAGCTTCAAAATGTCGGTGGTTCTACTCACCATTAATTTTGTGCCTGAAATAATGCATGGAAGGGCATCTGAGGTCTTCCTCCACCAGTAAAGCTGGAACGTCACCATATGACCTATACTGTGTTGGTGTGACGTAAAACTCAATTAAACAAAGAAACGAACAAACAATACAATAATTTGCTCTTTAAAGGGCCTCTGGCCCCCTGTTTTAAAAATTTCGTTTATTTTGCTTTGACTTCTTAACTACCTACCCATCATTGCCCAAAAATATGGGCCTATCTGAAGATTTTGTATTCGTGATGTGTCTGGTACATTGTAGTTTAAAGATGTAGCTTTGAGTGGTACACCTATGCACTGAAAACACACTTTCAGGAAAAATATGCCCATAACATAGTTATTGCTTTTAACTGAATCTAAACATTCAACACTGTTACCTGATCAAGAAAAGTCATATAGTTATGTCATGTTTTTTGTGTGTTTTTTTAGCTCACCTGTCACAAAGTGACAGGGTGAGCTTTTGTGATCGCTTTTCGTCCGGCGTCCGTCCGTCCGTAAACTTTTACTTTAAATGACATCTCCTCATAAACCACTTGGCCAATTTCATCCAAACTTCACAGGAATGTTCCTTTGGTGGTCACCTTTAAAATTGGTCAAAGAATTTAATTCCATGCAGAACTCTGGTTGCCATGGCAACCGAAAGAAAAAACTTTAAATATCTTCTTTTAAAAAACCATAAGAGCTAGAGCTTAGACATTTGGCATGAAACATCTTCTAGTGAGTGTCTACCAAGTTTGTTCAAATAAAAGCCCTGGGGTCAAAATTGGCCCCGCCCTGGGGGGTCATTGATTTTCCCTATATGCATATAGTAAAAACTTAAAAAATCTTCTTTTAAAGAACCCAAAGAGCTAGAGCTAAGATATTTAGCATGAAACATGTTCTAATGGATGTCTACCAAGTTTGTTCAAATAAAAGCCCTGGGGTCAAAATTGGCCCCGCGCGGGGGGTCATTGATTTTCCCTATATGCATATAGTTAAAACTTAAAAAATCTTCTTTTAAAGAACCCAAAGAGCTAGAGCTAAGATATTTAGCATGAAACATGTTCTAATGGATGTCTACCAATTTTGTTCAAATAAAAGCCCTGGGGTCAAAATTGGCCCCGCCCTGGGGGGTCATTGATTTTCCCTATATGCATATAGTAAAAACTTTAAAAAATCTTCTTTAAAAGAACCAAAAGAGTTAGAGCTAAGATATTTAGCATGAAACATGTTCTAATAAGTGTCTACCAAGTTTGTTCAAATAAAAGCCCTGGGGTCAAAATTGGCCCCGCCCCGGGGGGTCATTGATTTTCCCTATATGCATATAGTAAAAACTTAAAAATTCTTCTTTTAAAGAACTCAAAGAGCTATGGCTAAGATATTTAGCATCAAACATGTTCTAATAGGTGTCTACCAAGTTTGTTCAAATAAAAGCCCTGGGGTCAAAATTGGCACCGCCCCGGGGGTCATTGGTTTTCCTTATATGTGTATAGCAAAAACTTAAAAAATCTTCTTTGAAAAAACCCAAATAGCTAGAGTTAAGATATTAAGCATGAAACATCTTTTAGTGAGTGTCTACCAAGTTTGGTCAAATAAAAGCCCTGGGGTCAAAATTGGCCCCGCCCCGGGGGTCATTGATTTTCTTTATATGTGTATAGCAAAAACTTAAAATCTTCTTTGAAAAAAACCAAATAGCTAGAGTTAAGATATTAAGCATGAACCATCTTCTAGTAAGTGTCTACAAAGTTTGTTCAAATAAAAGCCCTGGGGTCAAAACTGGCCCGGCCCCAGGGGTGTCATTGTTTTTAACTATATGTGTTTTAAAAAGCCCAATGAGCTAGAGCTTAGATGTTTAGCATGAAACATTTTCTTATGGGTGTCTACCAAGTTTGTGCAAATAAAAGCCCTTGGGTTAAATTGACCCTGCAACATTGGGCGAGGGGACTATATACAGGTGAGCGACCTCAGGGCCATTATGGCCCTCTTGTTATTGGGAGTGGGGGGCACTTCTTAAGAAAGTGTCATGCAACTTATCTGAAATCAGCTATTATAAATGTGGAAAAGGTAAAGTCTTTGGACCTTGGTCATTTTTCAGAGGCTCAGTATAGCTGCCAAATACCTGCTTACAAATGGACCTTTCCAGTTTTTATCAGTGAAAGATTTCGTTCCGCTTTTCTTTTTATTGCTAGGTCACGAACCTTGCATTCTTTTGTGTAAAGCAGGTCAAGCAGTGACCATGTATTAACCCCTACGTACATGTAGCAATTGGATAGACAGTCGGCTAATTTGCATAAAACTGTAAACACTGGAAAAGTCCAATGTACAAGCTTAAATGTTGCCTTAAGTATAAATGATAATGAGTGATAAAGCTTGATTGTAAAAGAATAACTAAAAACTATTTTGGTACTATATTGTTTCTGAAAAACTGCTTTAAGTTAACATATTCTCAAATCTGTATTTAAACATATATCTTGGTACCAGTTATTTGTAATCCTTCTCCTGGCAATGTGGTGAGGGGGGAGTAGAATCAGGTAGTAGGAGTGGTTTCAGATACCAAATAAGGTGTGGTCCACAATGGGAGGAGCTATGGGAGAGCTTGTTACAAATGACTGGTTTACAACATTTAAGGCATATTTATCAATTTGTATGGTATTGATATAGAAATAAAATATAACAGTGTACATGTATATACAAATAATATTGACGATATTAATAAATTACACAAGTTAGAACTTAATCTAATAGAACTTATCTAGAAATTTATACATATTAAACACAAGTTGTTTAAGTCAGTTATATCAAGGATAAGAAATTGATATGTTCTAGATTGCATGAACTTGCTTAAGTCTTGATTTTGTAAACTAGATTTAATTTATTCTCTTTGTATAGGTCAAACGTTTCTGGACATATAACCTTTACTGTTTCTAAATATAGTCTTGAAAGTCTGTGAGCTTTTTGTAAGTAGTAATTTTTGCATTACAGTAATGTTAATGGTTGTTTCAAATTTTTGTAATCAGTCAGTAGTTTTCCTTCCCTGTCCTTTAGCGCAATAATATAATCATAAATGCGGTAACATTTTACTTGGCATGTTTCAGCTAGCACCGTTTGGCGACATGGGTGGTCAGGACTTACCTCCCCTGAGATTACCTGCGGAATCTGAACGACAGGACAGGGGTCCGATCATGCCAGTTCCTAAGGGTATAAGACCCATTCTTAGTAAACACAGAATTGAGGTAAGGAAAAGGAAAGATGAACATGATAACATAAAAACTGATTTTGATTTAAATGAGTTTTTTGTTTACTTGATTACTCGTCTTTTACACATCTTCCTTCACTACTGTGGGTTCAAATCCCTTCAAGGACTATAGATTCTTTTATCTGAGGAAACTATCCTGGAGGTTGGTTGTTCTACTTGTGTGTCGCTCGTGCCTGAAAAAATGCAAGGAGAGACATCTGAGCTCCTCCTCCAATAGTAAAGCAAGAAAGTTGCCATATGACATACAGTTTCAGTGTGACTTAAAATCATCATACATCTTGTTTAATTAAATTTTAATGAAATTAGAAGATTCCTGACGTTTAGAAACTGAAAGATATTTTACATGACCAGTTCGGTCTTCTGTGAATGGTAGTAAGGTGACATACTACACATCCTTAGTGATCTCACAAAGACTTTAACACACAAACACTGGGTTTAGACAGGACTTTTTACCAAAAATACAAAAAATTCTCGTTTTATTGTTTCAGGTTCTGTTCTGGGGAGTAAGAGACTTGAAGCGAGTACAGTTGACAACAGTTGACAAGCCTCGTATTGACATAGAATGTGCCGGACATGTGTTACAGTCTGCTGTTGTACTGAACTGCAAGAAAAATCCAAACTTCAGTGTACCAGTCAAATACTTTGATGTTGTAAGTGATTATTATGCCCCCATTTCGAAGAAAAGGGGGTATATTGCTTTGCACTTGTCGGTCCGTCGGTCCGTAGACCAAATGGTTTCCGAGTGATAACTAAAGAACCCTCAGGCCTAGGAACTTCAAACTTGGTTTGGTGATTGGTCATGACCAGTAGATGACCCCTATTGAATTTGGGGTCAAGGGGTCAAAGGTCAAGGTCACATTGACCTTGTAAGCAAAAACGGTTTCCGATCAATAACTAAAGAACCTTAAGGCCTAGGAACTTCAAACTTGGTATGGTGATTGGTCATGACCAGTAGATGATCCCTATTGATTTTGGGGTCAAGGGGTCAAAGGTCAAGGTCACATTGACCTTGTAAGCAAAAACGGTTTCCGATCAATAACTAAAGAACCTTAAGGCCTAGGAACTTCAAACTTGGTATGGTGATTGGTCATGATCAGTAGATGATCCCTATTGATTTTGGGGTCAAGGGGTCAAAGGTCAAGGTCACATTGACCTTGTAAGCAAAAACGGTTTCCGATCAATAACTAAAGAACCTTAAGGCCTAGGAACTTCAAACTTGGTATGGTGATTGGTCATGATCAGTAGATGATCCCTATTGATTTTGGGGTCAAGGGGTCAAAGGTCAAGGTCACATTGACCTTGTAAGCAAAAACGGTTTCCCATCAATAACTAAAGAACCTTAAGGCCTAGGAACTTCAAACTTGGTATGGTGATTGGTCATGATCAGCAGATGATCCCTATTGATTTTGGGGTCAAGGGGTCAAAGGTCAAGGTCACATTGACCTTGTAAGCAAAAACGGTTTCCAATCAATAACTAAAGAACCTTAAGGCCTAGGAACTTCAAACTTGGTATGGTGATTGGTCATGATCAGTAGATGATCCCTATTGATTTTGGGGTCAAGGGGTCAAAGGTCAAGGTCACATTGACCTTGTAAGCAATAACGGTTTCTGATCAATAACTAAAGAACTTTAAGGCCTAGGAACTTCAAACTTGGTAGGGTGATTGGTCATGATCAGTAGATGACCCCTATTGATTTTGGGGTCAAGGGGTCAAAGGTCAAGGTCACATTGACCTCTTGGGTAAAAACGGTTTCTGATCATTAACAAAAGAACCCTTAGGCCTAGGAACTTCAAACTTGGTATGGTGATTGGTCATCACCAGCAGATGACCCCTATTGATTTTGGGGGTTAAGGGGTCAAAGGTCAAGGTCACATTGACTTTGTAGGTAAAAACGGTTTCCGATCAATAACAAAAATACCCTTAGGCCTAGGGACTTCAAACTTGATATGGTGATTGGTCATGATCAGTAGATGACCCCTATTGATTTTAGGGTCAAGGGGTCAAAGGTCAAGGTCACATTGACCTCTTAGGTAAAAACGGTTTCCGATCAATAACTAAAGAACCCTAAGGCCTAGGAACTTCAAACTTGGTATGGTGATTGGTCATGACCAGTAGATGACCCCTATTGATATTGGGGTTAAGGGGTCAAAGGGCAAGGTCACATTGACCTTGTAGGTAAAAATGCTTTCAAATCAATAACTTAAGAACCCTTTGGCCTAGGAACTTCAAACTTGGTATGGTGATTGGTCATGACCAGTAGATGACCCCTATTGATATTGGGGTTAAGGGGTCAAAGGGCAAGGTCACATTGACCTTGTAGGTAAAAATGCTTTCAAATCAATAACTCAAGAACCCTTTGGTCTAGGAACTTCAAACATGGTATGGTGATTGGTCATGACCAGCAGATGACCTATTGATTTTGGGGTCAAGGGGTCAAAGGTCAAGGTCACATTGACCTTGTATGTTAAAATGGTTTCCGATCAATTAACTAAAAATGCTTAGGCCTAGGAACTTCAAACTTTGTATGATGTTTGGTCGTGACCAGCAGATGACCCCTATTGAGTTTTGGGTCAAGGGGTCAAAGGTAAAGGTCATGACCAGTAGATACTTGATAACCCTTATTAATTGTTTGATCACTGGGTCAGAAGTCATGCATAATAACCTTTTCACATGACTTATTGGCTGCTGATAGGGGGCATACATGTTTTACAAACATATCTTGTTTTATTGAACTTAATATGAATGGAGTAATAGATAAAAGTGTAAATTGCATTTATATGGAGAAAATGTTTAAATAGATTTTTTGGCACTAGCAAATACAGTTGGGTTTGGGCCACCAGTATAAGTAGGTGCCGGACAGAAAATCTACTTACTTTGTGTCAGACTGCAAATAAATTTTCTATTTTATCATTTTCCCTGAAATTTTCAAAACCAAAAACAGAATCAAGGAATTATGATAATGTAATATCAAAATATTCAATAAGTAGAACATTTTCACATTTTGTTATGACAAATAAACCTTTCTATTACAAGGTCCATACTTCCTTTATAAATGTATGTTTGATTTTTTGTTGCTTTTAGTTTGTACAAATTTATTTTAGTTCGATTGTGTTGGAAGCTATAAGCTTATTGAAACACTCCCAAATCCGTTCCTGGAACCAACCAGTACTAAGCAATGAATGTTAAAGTTTCTTTCTTATCGAAGCAATGGCTTGCCCCTGACAGAGCCAGCAATCCTCAAATTACTTTTGTCTAGTCTAGTGTGTTAACCACTTGGCCATGGCACCACTCTTTAGTCTATTGTCCACTCTATTTGTTGCTTTTCAATATTTAAATGCTTTTTTCAGTAATAATGACTTTCCTATGCCCTAAGTATAAAGCCAGTCAAATCTGAGTGTTAATTTGCCTTATTTTTAGCATTTTTATATTGAAACCCCTTAAATAAATGATGGACTGTTCCAAATTCATAGCAGGGCAAGTCCATTTCACAATTCTAGCAGGTTATGATATTATAATCAAAAGTTGGGTCTGATATTTTCAGGAACTACCAGAAAATGAGCTCTATTGTCCACCAATAACCATCAGATGTGTAGATTGTCGTAACTTTGGTAGATACGTTTTGGTTGGCACCCATGTCATAAACTCCATTCATAAATTCATGTATATTCCAACAACGAAGAAAGCCAAACAGGCATTGCAAAAACTGTTCCCAGGTTTGTAAAATGTCATTTGTATTCTTTTCTTTTGTTTAAGGTAAAAAAAAAAGTAAATTATGTGGATTGTTGAAGATTGTTTTGTGACTGTTGATAACCAATAATATTTTAAAGCTATATATCAGCGTATATAATAATGAATGAATAGCTAACCATTAGAATGTGTATTTTTTGGTGGTTAAAGATTTAACTTGTTTTCATTCATACTATTTGAGTCAGCTTTGATGTTGCACCAGTATATTAATTGCCTGCAATACATTAATGGCCCACAATCTATTCATAGACAAATGTAATTGGTACTTATACAAATTCGACATGCTATGGTTAGCCTCTGTAAAGGTCAATAATATCTTTTTTCATTTATAGGGAAGAGGCCTGATGCACCACATGTGATACACACAGGACCAGTGTCGACGAAGGCATCAGATGTGGCGGTCAACATTGATGAAAACTTTCCACTTATAAAGAAAGAAACGCAAATCACAATTGACAAAGTAAGAAATATTATATTTTAATTGTACATATAATTTTCTGCATGAGTTGTGCGTTTTGTAAAAAACCTTGATTATCAAAGAATCATTCTTATAAACTGCACTTTTTGAAGAAAAACAGTTAAGCCTTTGTCAGCTGCAGTAATGGTTAACTTTTTTGTGGTCTTATTATACCCCTGCACAACAAAGTTGTAAGGGGTTTATGTCCGGCCGTCCGGCGGTTTTTCCTTGTCCGCCCAATAACTTTAGATTCCTTTCACCCACAGTCTTCATATTTGGCATGGAGATTAGTCATGATGAGTAGATGACCCCTATTGATTTTGAGGTCACTGAGTCAAAGGACAAGGTCACAGGGGCCTTGACTGAAAAAAGCTTGTCTGTCCAATAACTTAAGATTCCTTTGACCCACTGTCTTCATATTTGACATGGAGGTTAGTCATGATGAGTAGATGACCCCTATTGATTTTGAGGTCACTGGGTCAAAGGTCAAGTCACAGGGGCCTCGACTGAAAAAAAGCTTATCTGCCCAATAACTTAAGATTCCTTTCACCCACAGTCTTTATATTTAGCATGGTGGTTAGTCATGATGAGTAGATTACCCCTATTGATTTTGAGGTCACTGGGTCAAAGGTCAAGGTCACAGGGGCCTTGACTGAAAAAGGCTTATCCGCCAAATAATTTAAGTTTCCTTTGACCAACAGTCTTCATATTTGGCATTGAGGTTAGTCATGATGTGTAGATGATCCCTAATGATTTTGAGGTCACTTGGTCAAGGGTCAAGGTCACAGGGGCCTTGACTGAAAAAAGCTTGTCCGCCCAATGTCTTAAGATTCTTTTGACCCACAGTCTTCATATTTGGCAAGGAGGTTAGTCATGATGAGTAGATGATCCCTATTGATTTTGAGATCACTGGGTCAAAGGTCAAGGTCACAGGGGCCTTTACTGAAAAAAAAACTTGTCCGCCCAATAACTTTAGATTCCTTTGACCCACAGTCTTCATTTTTGGCATGGTGGTTAGTCATGATTAGTAGATGACCGCTATTGATTTTAAGGTCACTGTTAAAAGGTCAAGGTCACAGGGGATGAAGACTGAAAAAAGCATGTCCGCCCAATGACTTAAGATTTCTTTGACCCACAGTCTTCATATTTAGCATTGAGGTTGGCCATGATTAGTAGATGATCCCTATTGATTTTGAGATCAGTGGGTCAAAGGTCAAGGTCACAGGGGCTTTTACTACAATAAGCTTATCCCCTCAAATGCATAAGAATGCCTGTATTAAGTGTTATTGATTTTGACATTTTCACATTTGAAGCATATAATTAATTATGTTCTCATATATTCATAATAAAACATCCCCATGCAAAGCTGCATGAATGGGGGTATTCAAGTCATGCAGTGGCAGTTTCATGTTTGAGGTCAAAGGTAAAGGTCACTTTGATCTTTGCCACAAAAAACATGTAGAAAACAGTAGAATACATAATTTAGCAATGCTTTGGCTTACTTCCTTCAGATTTGGCAGGGACGTTGTCCTTGAGCTCTAAATGACCACTGTTGATTCTGACAAAGTGGTATGCGGGGGTATTCACGCCATCACAGTGGCAGTTCTAGTTCTCTCAGAAAGTATTCAAGCTCTAAACTTGGTATGTTTAAATATTATCTGAATGTGATGCCATATCATCAAAGCAGGTAATCCATGAATTTTGCAAGTAATACCCATTTACCAACATGGATTTTTGTAAAGTAATACTCATTTACTAACATGGATTTTTTGGCTCTGGTTAACCTTTTTGTTAAGGCACATTTCTTGACAACTGTCTAGAATTCTTGTTCAATATCATACTTGTTAAATTTTGAACTTGGGACAATTTCAGGGTGTGCAGCAAAAAGACAAAAAGACTGAGGAGAACACTCGACGACGGAGACGGCGATCAACAATTGAAGAAGAAGAGCTAGATGAGGATGCAATGGACTGGTGGAGTAAATACTTTGTGTCCATGGAAACGCTCATTATGGTAAGCCCTCTTTGAAAGATTTGGATAGTTCAAGCTATTTTTTGTGCTTAAACATGTTACTAGGAGAGAAAATTTCATTGCTGTAAGATGTTAGTAGGCAAATGATTATAACATTTAGTTGGCACTTTAGATAACAGTTAAATAGATCTAGATTTATTTTGCTTGTTCATAAATTCAACAAATTAAAATGTAAATGGCATTTCTATTAGTATCTAAAAACAATATAAGATTGACAAAAAGATGTTTGAAAAGTAAAAATAGTTGTAGAATTATAGATTAGTTTTTGACAATTAAATCTTTAAGCATAAACAGTTTTTTACAACTTTATTTATTCACTGATATCTGAAATCCCTTTTCCTATGACTTATTTGCCCTTGTTAATCATTGTATGTTAAACATTCCTTTACCCTTCAATTTACATTTGTTAGTCATTAGCAGATTTCATTCAAAACAAAACGATATAGTCAAAAGTCAAGGTCATTAATAATTTTCTTTAAAACAAAACGATATAGCTAAGTCAAAAGTCAAGGTCATCAACAGATTTCTTTAAAACAAAACCCTATAGATAAGTCAAAAGTCAAGGTCATCCCACTGAAATCAGATTTAAATTGACTCAATGTCAAGGTCACTTGATTGACAAATTGAACAAATAATATAAAAATATAAAAGGTCAAAGTTCATTATTTAAGTTATATTTGGAATATGCTGATGATAATGTCACCCTGCTAATTGGAGTAAAGTCACTTAAAATCAAGTAATTTTCAAGCGTACCCTAATCGTTCTCGTAAAACAAGGTTCTTTTTGTAAAAGAAATGATTCCTGAATAGAATTAACCCTACTGGTCAATTCTTTTTTTTACAAAGTAAACCAATTAAAATGAGTGATAGGAAATGATGATCAATTAGGTTTTTGTTTTGCATGCGCTGTAGGCAAAAAGTGTCATGTGATCAGTCTTAATATTGTCCTAGCATGATTGTCATGAGCCTCTGTGTGACCTAGATCAGAACCCATCACATCCTGGTCAGTAGATGCTTATCTAAATTAAGCCTATCACATCATGCTTTGACAATGTTGTAACTAGCACCCAGGTGTGCACAATTAGTTTATATGTAAACTTTTTAAAATCTCTCTTGTTGTAACAACTAGATTTAAAGTCTTTATTGTTATTTAACCATCTTGTATCTTTTAATTCAACTGCAGGTACAAAAACTTTCAAATATGAAAACTTGCTTTACCCAACATTTGATTAAGTAACATACCGGTAATTATTTTACAGACTGTTTAATTTGTCATAACAAAGTAATACCAAATTATTATGTATTTTATTTATTATCCTTTTTTGTTTGTTTTCAAGTTCATGATTTATGAAGGGGTACGCAGAAATTGTAAAAAAAATGGGGTTTTTAAGATGTTTTGTTTTTCATTAAGGAAAATGCTGGGATAATTAAGGTAAGGTTTAGCTGTCACACTTAGTGAAGCTTTTAGCGAGAATGTTTCACCAACATAGTTAGAAGTAAAATTGTAAGTGAACAATTGGTAATCATTCATGACGAAAAATCTAAAATGAAAGGGCTTACCCAAATTACCATATATGATTAATGTATGAATTTTTTTAACAATATGGGTGTGTGATATTTATCTCTGACACTGACATTATGAAGGATTTTAATTTAGGATCCTGCGGAAAACCACGATCAGGTAACCATTCTGCAACATAGGTTAGATCAACAGTTTACTGTTATGCTAAAATTTCAATCTATATATTTTTTTTTTACTTTTTTTTTGTCTTCCTGTCTTTTTTGCTCTTGGTGAATGCTTCAGTATTTTTCACATAAATTACAGGACAAAGATTCAACTCAAAATTGTCTTTAATGACATCTAAGAAAATATCCTTTGAGTCTTTTTCAGGTGTGATTATCATTTTATTCCGTTTTTATATATTTATTCTTTTTTTTATTTTTATTCTTTTTGTTGATAAATATGAAACGGGAACATTTTTGAATAATTCAATGAAATTATTATAAGAAAAATTTGTAGAAGTTTAGTCATTTTATACATTTTACAGGAGAGGGAATGAATTTCTTCCTCAATATCGAATTTATAACACAATTAGCATTTTTGCACCCCATATGGAAACTAAAATTTGCTCTTTATTTTTAATAGGAAGAGTATGTAATATTTATCACATTGTTGCAGCAGTAAAAATGTTTCAACCTAACATTATTTGAGGCATGAAATTATTTGATAAAAATGCATGATTAACCCATTTATTGATTGCTTTTGAAAAAACTTTTGGACACACGTAACTTGCAGAATTTGGTTGGAAAATTGCACATTAATACTTTGTTAAACCACCTCATTTTGATGTGATATAATTATAATTTTATATCGAACCATTAAGATACTCATTGAGTTGCCTAGAAATCATCAATGTATAGTTAAACATTGTATTTCAGGAGAAAAAGGGGCACAACTCTTTCTTTACACTATACTACACAATCTTCATTTTTCTTATGCACCTTTCTACACAATTACACAATGACAAACTTTATGTGAAAGTTGAACTAAGTTCTTAAGTTTTAATAGAAAACATGGTTAAATTTAGAAAATATAAATTTCAAAAAATATTAAACAGCATGAGAAATGAATTAAAAGGACATTTAGGAAAGGTGATTTTAAAAAGGACATTTATCAAAATGTTATTAGTGAATATTGTTATGAATTACACCTCCGAGTGTGGTGCATATGTCATTGTGTTGCAGTTTTCATACTTAAAAAAAAATAAAGTAAAGGGAGACAACTACAATATTACAAGAAACTTTCTAGTCTATAGTTACTCCTCTTGCATCATTCATTCATTGGAAACATATGTCGAAATATAAAGTTTTTATGGAATTCAATGCATGAACATTATTTATTTCATGTAATGGATATAATCCAAAGGATTGCTTGACAATGATAACTTGCCGTATAATGTGAGGTTTTATTTGTGGAGTCTGTAGCCATGCATACCTGTTGGTTATAATTCATTTCATATGATCAGGGTCTTTCGAATAGAATTTGAAAGACCCTGACATGATTGTGGAATTAATTTCCACAAAAAGCGAATGAATGTTTATTTAATGAAACAAAATTATATTCTCAGGTATTCTTTGTCAATGTTTTCATTTCAAAAAACTTATATTAAGTCTTAAAACATCAAAAATGTCATCATATTTTACTATCTGCATCTGCTTATGGTCATATTTGAATATAATTTACAGTGTTATTATACCTTTTGGTGTTGTAAGAATGTAATGTTGTGATATTAGGCATGGTGCACCATCACTATTGTATAACCAGCCCATCATACCATGATCTATCATGTTTTACCTTGAATTCCGAATATCAAATCTTCACTTTACAATATGAGACAAAAATACAAATCTATCAAGCATTCTTGGATAACTATTAAACCAATAAGCGATAACTTAGCAAAACTGGTCAGTATTTGAATTACAGGAAAACAAGTTTAAATCAGTTACTTTTGAGCTGTTAGAAAAATAAAAAAAGAAATATTATGTTTCCTTTCCTTTTAACATAGTTGAACTTTAAACTTTCCTTTCTATTCTCAAATCATGTTTTTAGGGCAATATATTATTTCAAACCTATATTTCTATTAAACTTTGTTCTTAAAACCTTTGAATTTTTTTTTCACAAATCAGATTCTTAGGTAATATATTATCACAAATAGTCAATATATTATTATATTCACCTGCTTTTAGTTTAAAAATGTAAGGGTGCACATTATTTGGTTAAATAATAATTTCTCATTTTGTAGGTTTAGTACAATATGTTGTTTTTTTTTGTGTGAAATGTGTCATTAATGTTTCTATGAGAAGTAAAAGAATATTGGACAACGGTACGTCATCGTTTTGTTCTAAAGTTGATTATCTTACATGCGCAGTTTATCCAGAAAATATAAAGTTATATATCTATTAAAAATGAATGGATATATTTAAATATTTTTGAATATAGGAGCATGACAAGAAACGAGGAGTGGAGAACTTTGGTGACCCTCTTGACCTTGATAACCAGATCACGCCCATGCCGACCAGTCTGGCAGATAAAAACCAGTCAACCACACCATATGGTGCCATAACCAATGGCGATCCTAAACCCCCGTCTCCTGAAGGTAAATCTTGCGCCATCAGTAAAGCCTTCATAAATGCTTACATGCCATTAGCATAATTTTAACATGTCATTATTGGTTGCTACTTGTATTATCCACATTTGAACTATTGTGCCTTATTGTAAAGAACTTACCTTTCAAAGTTTTTGAAGTGAGCATATAAGAATTTTACACCAGCTACTTGTACAGACCGGAATAACTAGCTCAAGGGTAACTGTTTACAGTAGTAAATGGTTGAGGCATTAGAATCGCAGCTACTGTTTATCTCTGTGTGATCAGAAGAGGCGACTAAATGGGTTGGAATACTTGGAGTCAGCTCTAGCAGGTGAGGTTGTTTTGACCTCTGGTGTTGCTTTGAAGTTTGAAACACCTATCATCTTCCTGTTTTGGCACCGTATGATCCTATACTGTGTTGGTGCTCTGTAAAACTTAATACAAACAATATACATACATGTATAAGAAAAACCTGCAGGCAATTTGGCAAGCAGAAGTTAATAAAAGAGTTGTATCATCTTTGGCTAAATTATGACCATTTGTTTTAAATATCTGCTTTTGACAGAAAAAAATGGTTTTCTTGCCCTTTTTATCAAAATATATAAACTGTATATAAAATGTCTGTTTTATATAGATCCAGATTTTAATCCTAAAGAGGCAAAGAAAATGGAAGAAGAATTAAAAAAGATGGAGAAAAAGAACGAGAAGAAAACATTCAAGGGAACGGCAAAATCAGTCGCCCTGGCATCCAGACTGTCTCCAAAATCTCAACGTAAAAAGGACGCCTTATTGAACTCAACAGCGCAACTTAAGGTATGAAAATATGTCATACAGAGTAATGCTTAACCTTTTGTCATTTTGTCAACTTGTAGTATTTACCGTTTAGGAATGGCATTTTTAGTAACATTATTTTTAAAAGTTGATGTTGTGGTTTTCATTTGTACTCTTAGAATGCTTGCTTTAAGCTCAGGGTATTGGAAAAAGAAATTTCTTGGTCATAAAATAATCCTCAAATTTATAAGTTGATTCCTTAGCATAGACCTAGTATTCATGTCACACAGCCTCTGTTACTAATTTGTGTAATTCATGCAGAGAAGTTGACACTTACTTGTGGGGAACTGCTGCTTCAAAATCCAGAAAAATTTTAATTTATCAATAAATGATAACTTATATCTGACCTAAATCTTACCTTTTTACCTTTTAATATGCCTGTTTAAAAAAAATGGGTCATATACGTGTAATGGGAATGCCAGTGGCAGACAGGTAGATGCCAGTAGCAGACAGGTAGATGCCAGTTTTGTCCAGAGCATAATGAATGGAGGGATTTTAGTATTACTTAATGAAGATGTTCCCTTCACGAAATGAAGCATCATGCATATGAACCAGATTTTCTTTGGGTCACTCATAAATGTATTAAAGAAAATGCTTCTCTGGAGGTTTGGTCAAGGTCACACAGAGAGGTCAAATGTCAAATGAAATTATGGAAATGTGTGTACAAACCATTTGGTCATCATGAGTCACAGTCAGGACACTGTTTAATTTTATGACCTGCATATTTTTATGACAATGGTACCCTTGTTTGTTGTAATGTTTTATATCTTTTATTTTGGCTTTGATTGTTGTTATATATGTTTATTATGATTGATTTAATATGATTCAATATGATGAGGTATAACTGTATGTGTTAACAGGGATTTGTGAACAAGGCATTTTCTAGGAAAGATGAGATGGATGAAAATGAAAAAGCCCACAAAGCTCACATAAAGAGATTCGAGGTTCATCACTAGTTATATAATAACTACTAACTTTACATGTATTTAGCTGGATTATATACTAATTTTGCCATTCAGGAAGGAAGGAAACTGTATTCTTTTGCTCATATTCTGTATAAGACTGACCGTCTGTTTCTCACATCATTCTGATTAAAAGCCTGAAAAAAGAATTTATGGGTTGACAAGTCAAAGGTCAAGGTCAAAAAATTATAAAATTTACAAAATGAAGGTTAAATTATCATCTGAAGTCCACAGAACAAACAAACTTCTTTAAAAAGTACATTTGCTCATGCATATGATCTTTGACCGTCTCAGGAAAGATTTGTCAACTACAGAAATCATCAATGAGGTTGAAGAATAATTTGACTATGAAAGGTAGTTTCTGTCAAAAGTAATTTTGCTATGATTCCCTGTATGAAGATCAAAACTTTTAAGGTAAAAGGTCAAAGTTTAAGATTGCTGAGCTTAATTCATGCATTGTTTGTCTGTGGCATTTTGGTTTGAAAAAAAAACATGTATCTGGGTTAATAGGGCAAAGGTCAAAGTTGCAAGTTATAAACAATTTCCGTTCAATCACTTGAGAAAGCTATGGTCTTCTGCCATGAATATATTCCTTGTCATTGCTAAAAATGATCATATGACCCATGTTGCTCTCAGGGTCAAGGGTCAATGTTTTATATGACCTTGTCATGAAGGAAGCATATGTCTTATACAACAAAATCTTCTAAAACTAATACATGTAGCTGCTTTATTGAAATGTACTCAGAACTCTATATATGTATATCATACATGTAAATTATACTAACAAATTGTAGATTAGAGTCTCTTGTTATATGAACCTGCTTTGGCATTTAGCTTTATTGTCAGTTAGAAGCTATCTAACTAGCTTATACGTATAGAAGGTCCTTGAATCATACTCCAGTTGCTTTAATATCAGTGTCTGTAAAGAGCCTGCATGGCTTCAAATAACTTGCTCCCACTCCCCTATGGGTTCGTCTCATTGATGTGACATGGGGTTTTAAATGACTTCATGTGAGGAAGCTATCTAGCTAGCGGTCCTTGAATCATACTCTAGTTGCTCTATACTCCAATCATACTTGCCTGAAAAAAGGCAAAAAGAAGCACCAGTGGCCATGTTTATACCATAGCTGCAAAGTAGGCATAAGTTTTACCTAAAACTCATCAAAATGAGTAAACAGATAAACAGAAGTTGCAGACTGTACTTTGAATTTTATTACCTCATAAGAGCACATGGCATTCTCAAAGTTGACACATTCTGTCTGTCATTATTTGTCTGAGTGTTAGATTACCCATGCTTGCAGAACAGAACTAGGCCAGCCCAAAATTTCATGCAGTCTGTCCAGGCTGATTTTACTGATGCCTGTGATAAATTTTAAAATAAAATAGATTAATGATGAAATTAAAATGATCAAAACAGTTATCATGTCCCCAATATTCTTATCTAGGATGAACAACAACCAGCATCTCTTCAGGCTTACTTTACATAAAATGAGCGGTGTCACGACAAAGCCAACATAGTGCGTTTGCGACCAGCATGGATCCAGACCAGCCTGGACATCTGTGCAGTCTAATCAGGATCCATGCTGTTCGCTTACAAACCCTATTACAAGTACAGAAACTGATAGCGAACAGAATGGATCCTGATCAGACTGCACGGATGCACAGGCTGGTCTGGATCCATGCTGGTCGCAAACCCACTATGTTGGTTTTGTCGTGACACAGCTCAAATATGATTTAACAAAATTAATCAAAGCGCTGAAAGCACTGATGTATTCGCTGCGCATTATAAATACATATGTGTCTTACTAAAAACGTTGCAATTGTAACGAATAAAGGAATATGGGCCACTGAATTACAGATTATTAATCTGATAGAGACATTATTTAACACTGGTTGTTGAATATTACATTGAAAGAGGGAAAGAAAAAAGAAGATTTTAAGTTTTTGCTATACACATATAAAGAAAATCAATGACCCCCGGGGCGGGGCCAATTTTGACCCCAGGTCTTTTATTTAAACAAACTTTGTAGACACTCACTAAAAGATGTTTCATGCTTAATTTCTTAACTCTAGCTATTTGGGTTTTTTCAAAGAAGATTTTTTAAGTTTTTTTGCTTCGTCTTTTTTTGTCAATGTTCCTCTTGGAATTGAATATGGCAGTATTTTGGCTACTATTACCCAGGATGCATCAAATCTTGGAAAATCCCGAAACACATGATAACTTGCGTTAGAACAACCCCAATAATACTGAATTTAACTGTATGACGTCTAAGTTACTTCTCCATCTATATTAAGCTCCATGACATGTCCAATCAATCAGTAAATCAATAAGTTGATTGATCATTAGAACATTCAATCAACAATCATCAATCAGAGAATGAATCATCGAGTCAATGAAATCGAGGAAATCAACACTCTGAAATTAAACAAATTACATCAACATAAAAATAGAGTTAAATCAATTTCCTATGTCTGAAATGCATAATTATCATTTAAATAAAAACCTCCAAATTTATGGTCAATTACAATAAACCCATTAACACTTTCTATATGATCTACGTAAATAACCGAGGTATATCGAGTGAAAAAATACGAGTTGCTTCCCTTATCTTCGAGTAAAATTGATATCTCTTATGCTTAAACAAAACCGCTAGTTTGTTCTGATTAAATGTCCGATTTTAAAATGTATTACACCAATAGCAAACGTTGGATCTTAGCTTCGTCACAGTATATTCTTCAACACATCTTTTGACTCCACAAAGTATTCAAATGAACAGTTAAACCTACCACATGTCAGACCATTTTACATACGATTTATACAGTGAGAAAACAACCGGTTATCTTTATTCCTAAAACTACTGATAAGAAAAGCCTCTCGTCTGCTAGTTCTGAAAGTGTTTATCGGTGTATTAAATATTTACAACACATTGAACAGCTTACTTAACCTGTAGGTATATTAACATATAATATAGCTATATGCTTTCTATTGGCCGCCACAATCATAAGTTCATTTAATGAAGTTATTATAAAATACATCATAATCATAAATAAATTCTAAACTCACCAGTTCGTGGAATTGAATGTACCAATAATAGCATTATCTTCTTCAAACACGCATACTGTCAAACTCTCTCTCTCTGCTGTAACTTCTGCAAAATATAATAAACACAATGTGCAAAGTGATATGAATAAAATGTGAGATTAAGTAAACAGAGAGCTAGATTAACGGATTTTTCTGAAAACAATTCTCAAAGGTTCCAAATCACGAAAACTGATGACATTTCAAATCAGACCACACTCATTACTTAATTAAAAAATCATCTATGACATACACTCTATAAAACACTAATTTAAACCAAATGCAACTCAAAATAATACTGACCAACTATCAATAATCCATATTTCCAATAAATTAAGAACACTTTGAACTTTTTACAAACAAAGCCGCTTAAACATAGACAAAACTAGTGATATTGCGGGAAACCAAGGGAAACAACTCAAACAACAAAAAATATATCAAGACACCTGAATTATCAACACTGTTACACATCATGAAATCCAAATAAGAATTCCAAAACAGATTACATTAAGTTCAAATAATATTGGTAAGTTTTCTGTACCTACTTATAGAAAATGATGAGATCAGCTTTCACATACAAATATAGCGTCGAAAACTTTGTTTTGGTACGAACTACTTCCTTACGCAAAGTTAACGCGAATGAATACTAATGATATTTTTTACTGATTATATCCTGAAAACATGCAAATAATATACGATAGAAATAACACAATCAAAAATGAACTACTGACAATTCAAAATCTTATCACTTGTGTGTGACAAGAAAATCTGTGTAGAACTACTTTGCGTTGTTCGGTACCCATTCTTCTATTGAAATCCCGCAAATTGTGATAGAACTGTATTCACTGCTAACGCAGCGAATACAAAAACTAAAAAATAACCAAAAGGATAATGTGATTCATTTATCACACATGTTTATAAAAATATTGACAACACCAAACTCAAAAATAAATACTGATTATGCACATTTACATTCATAGACTAACAGATATGTTTTTGTGTTGCTTTAGACTTAAACAATTTTATTCACTAATACATGTTGTCAGTTTTCAGTGTGTCTAACAGTTCTATACCTCCTCTTTTGGGAAATTTAAATTTGTAATGACTTTTTTCCAAAAATGTCCTTGAAAATCTTGTTGGTTTGGTGAGTTGTTTGGTTCTTGTTTAAGAACTTCTATTTTCTGTGAAACAAAATCTTCTCCTAGCTTCAGAACCTCAGTTTGATAACTCAATCGGATTGCCACAAATACCTATGATCGCAGGATCTTGTATGAAATGTTTTCCATTTCCTGTGAATGGAAGATGCTTACATTGTACTTTTGCAAACTTCTATTTCTTTTTTTTTTCTTTTTTTTTTTCGCTCTTTTATCGAGAATAATTATTTTTCCACTTCTTACAGGAGTGTATGTAGCTGAGGTTTTAATACTTACATTTAATTTTTGTTATGAATTAAAACTCTATAACTAAATGTTCCTAATACTTGTATTAGTAATAGTGGTGTAGGACCTAAAAATGGTGGTGAGAGGCATGAAACCTAATTTATAGTGGTGTAAGACCTAAACTTAGTGAAATATACACACAAGACATCCATTTATAAAATTTATCCATTTTGATTGATTTAAAAAGCCTTGATTATTCCTTGTTCAATGTATATATAAAAAAGAAATGAAATTCTTAAATGTATTACTTTTTAAGTTATTGTAGTGTTAAGTGTTATTCAAGTTGACTTTGTTAAACAGTGAGATTTTGTTTTCTAATCATGTGTTCATTAGTCAAAGACTTTCTGCAAAACAGTTTTCAGTGAAAGAATATTTAGAATATTAATTTTACCATTTGTGTGATAATGTACAACTTGTTTTCTAGGTGTTCCCCAATGAGCTGGAAAGCCAACCAGAGTTCAATGGCTTCAAAGACTGGCTACATACATTTGAACTTTACAGAGGAAAGAACATGGGCAATGAAGTTTCTGATGAAGGGAGAATTGTTGGAAAGTTTAAGGTAATTAACTGTTTATTAAAATAAGTCATTGTATAATGAAAGTATTAAAGTAACTCATTGAATAATGAAAGTATTAAAGTAACTCGTTGAATAATGAAAGTGTAAGGTAATTGGTTGTATAATAATGTAATAAGTTGTATGTTCATATAGGTGTCTTCTCTACCTCCTTTCCCCCCCCCCCCTTTTGAGGCCTCAAATGGTGAAGAAATGCCTTATTTAGACCCCAAACAGTTGTTTCCGTTTGAAAAATGTTGTATAAAAAGTTACTTTTTCGGCGCCATTCTCTATCAAAAAGATACTTGATGGGGGTTTCAGAGGGGGATGTGCCCCCACCAGCTTAAGGGATTGAAGGCAGCCCCCGTCATGGCCAAGAAGATTTTGGATTTATCATAAATGAAGATAGATGACTCAATATTTTTAACGGTTACTGAAAGATAGATATATCTATTGTGCTATGTTTGCACATATAAGAATGAAAATATGTCTTATTTTTAAAAAAAAAGTGAGAGCAAAATGTTGACTGTGTCAGAGTATTACACTATGGCGAGTTATATACCTTGTATATATTTTATACAGTAAATGGGTACTGCATAGTAATTTTGTTCTTGATGATCAAGGGGAGATTATTTTATGATAATTTGATCATTATTGGCAAAGCAAATGTTCCGGATGCCAGTGGTATTTTAAGGTAACTGATTCTATATCGAAGAAAACCAATTTTATTTTTAGGTAACTGGTTTTATATTAAAGTAACCATTTGTACATTAAGGTAATTTATTGTATATTAACCCATTACTTCATATACACGCCTTTTAACGCCTTTTTCACCCACCCCCCCTTTTTGTTGTCTCAAATGGTGAAAAAATGCATTATTTAGGCCCTTAACACTTGTTTTTGTTTGAGAAATGTTGTTAAAAAAAGTGACCACTTTTTCGGCGCGGCCCCCCAACCAAAAGATACATCAGGGGGTTGCCAGAAGGGGGATGTGCCCCCTTCTGTTTGGGGGGTTTGAAGGGGGGCGGAGACCCCTCATCGCCAAGAAAATTTTGGACTTGTGAGAGGCTATAAATGACCCCAGATTGATCATAAGGTAACGTGTAACCAACGCTGAAAAGCATTTGACTCTATCTCAATCCATTGAGAAGTTGCAGCACTTTGAAATCAATTATAATGGAAAAACTCAACGCAAAATAGTGATTTTTGGCAATTTTGAGATGTCCCCTCGTTGCCATGGTAACAGAAAATTTAAGCCTGAGCATGTTGTTGCAAGGGCAATGGTCCAGTCAACATTTGTGCCAAGTTTGATTAGTGTTTAAGCAGTTTTTATAGTATTATAGCAATTTGAACTTGTAACGGGAGACTTTTCAATGAAAACAGCCATTTTTCACAAAATGCTCATGAAGTAATGGGTTAAGGTAATTTGTAAATGAAAGATGGTATTGCAGTTAAACATTTAATGCACAGTTGCAAATAGAAGTATAAATTATTTCATTTGTATTATTTGTACATTTTAGGGATCACTGAAAATTTACAAGATACCACTACCAGCTGACATAGAAGACAAAACGATTACTGGAGGTGACCCATCATTTGGACTCTTCCAGGGCCTTCCTGGTAACGAGCCAATTAAGGTCCTAGTCAGAGTTTATGTTGTCAAGGTATGTAATTACTGGTCTCTTTAGGTGTAAGAATGTGATGGCTATTGATTCATTATGTACATTACTTTTTATCAGAATTCTGGTTGCTATGGTAATAGAAATTGTAAAATTTTGGCTTTATAAGGTTGAACTTGAATATTGAAATAATATTGAAGTCATGTGCTGAAACTTGGCACGAGTAAGTGGTAATATGTATACATATTTTTATTCCCTGGGACCAGAAATTCCTTACAAATGATATAACTCAAATATTGCATAATAGGTATCAGGTTTTAGAACTTTTATGTTTGAAAAGATTGCAATATAAAGATTATTCCTCCTTTTTGTGCATTAAGATTAAAATTTTGCTCTTGTCCGTCTGTGTGTCCGAGTGTCCATTCATCCATTCCATGTTGTCACATGTAGCTCTAAAAGAGCTTGAGCAAAAGTCAACAGACTTCTCAGGAATCAGCATGTGAAGTTGTGCAATTTGGGTTTCGTGTGTGCATTAATAAGTTTTGTTAAGAGTTGTTCGCCTTAACTTAGTAAAAATTTACAGTTTTTAACATGATAACATTGCAAAAATTGGATGTCGTTTTTATGTCCCAACCATTTATGGGTAGGAGTCATGTTGAATTTCCTTTGTCATACTGTGCTGCTGTTCATCAGTAGACTATCTTTTGTATTTAGAATGTATAGCTACATAAGTTTGTTTTCTTATTTCAGGGTAATGACCTTCACCCTGCTGATATGAATGGCAAGGCAGATCCATATTTAGTTATTCGTTTGGGAAACACTACGCTGAATGACAAGGAGAATTACATATCCAAACAGCTCAATCCGGTGTTTGGAAAGTAAGTTATTATGAATAACATAACTTTGAATGGAATTTTTTTTTTTCTACATAACTGGACTTGAAATAATTTTTCGAGATTTATGTACCATTTGATGCCCATCTGCACCAATTACTTGTGATCATTAGTTAAGTCGGTTTTTCCAGCATAACAATTTCGATTTTAAAGAATTAACAAAAATTGTAAAAGAATTTGAATGCTTTTAACTCAAATTAAGCTAAGAATTGAACAAAATATAATTGTTACTTTAATTTTTAGTAGATTTATTACCTTTTTCTTATCTTTTTAAGTTCCCCAGTTAGTTTGAGTAAGAAATTTAAATTTCACTTTTTCTTTTTGACCTCAGTGGAGTTCCTATGGATAAAAGAATATTATGTTAAAAGTACTTAATTTTTGCATATGAACACAATATTGCAGTAAAGAAAAATAACTCTGCCTGCCTTAATTTCACTGCTCATAAGGCAAAAATTGAGTTTCTTCCCTTTGAGCATTGTTCAATGTTCCACCCACTTGTCATTGAATTTTTGCTAAGAGTTTAAAAATCAGTAAGTTTTAAATTTCAGGGCTAATGTTTTCCCATCTTTCTTTAAAGTCAGATACCCGCAAATTCCCAAGTCGGGCGGATGTTTTATTATTCACTATTTGCGTGCAATGCTTCAATAGTAAATATATCTTTTCAAACCGCAGACCTTTAAATCATTCGTATATTTTAATTTGATTCACCGAATGATGGCAGATTTAACAGATTAAGATCTAATGTTCGTAGATTTGATTGTTATGCTTGGTAAAGATCAACTGGAGGGTCACTGTAATGACAATGCTAAATATTTTTTGGGCACCAGCTTAATGACTGACTGATATTTTTAGGGCACTAAACTTAAACACTAATTATATGGTTATATTTTTAACATTTATATAATGCTTATAGACATTTTTTAATATTTTTCTTATAACAAACTGGTATTCAATGTTTGTGTTTTTCTATATACCTGTATTTGGGTGTTTGTCCATCTAATTATATTAGGTCAGATCAGATTTAATTAAGAGTAAAAAAAAACTGACCTTGACCTTAAGTGACAGTAACAAAAGACTAATGCCGCTGTGAGGTCTGACCAAATTTCTAACACAAAATGGCTACACAGTTGAAGTCTTGGTATTCAAACCCTTAAACTTCAAAATGAACTGTTCCAAATGTAAAACAGGACAAGTTCATTTCACAAATTCAGTGATGTAAGAGTTAAAGTAGCGCGCCTCAAGATTTATGTTAATTTTCAATAAAATTTTTAAAATATGTGTAAAGGAATAATAATGTGTAGTGACCAAAAGCAAGCAATTTACACTAACAACTCGCGTAAATTACTAAAATGAGGTAAAACTGTGCAAAAAAAGCCCTTACTGCATTAGTAACGCATTAAAAATATAGTCATAATAGTGAGAAAAAAAAGCAGTCATTAACCACATGTAACATGTCAATTAATACTTGAATCTATAATATTTTTATATTCCTAAAGTCTAAGTCATATTTTATATAAAGTTTGCTTTATTGAAATATTTTGGCTTATCTCGGAGGCATGTAGCTTTAAAGATGGATTTAAGCTTCCTTGAGGTGTGATAGACTAGTAAACAACCAAGATCATCTGTCCGATGAGACTTAAATAACATTCTGCTGATGAAATAATAATTATATGTTGCCATTAAAGTTTTCTTTTCTCTTACAAAATTGTATATGATTATTTCTTGTGTTTTCTGATATATTATTTCCTGCAATGTTCTCAGTCAGTCAACAAAGCCTAAGTCACATAATTTAGTTAAACCTGATTATAAACAGCACAACAAACTGCAACCCTAGCTGAATTTCAGAAATGGACAATTTTTTATTTTTTTGAGTCCTCAGACCAAACAAATAATGGTAGCCAAATTTCAGACCCTGATGTGCTTATTTGCAAATACCGAAAGTAGTCCAAACTCATGGAAGTAGTTACTTCCCTTTATATTTAAGATCTGTGTGTCAATTTTTGAGATATCAAGATGTAAATTGTAAGTTAGTCAGCCACCAGTACTCAGCCTGGTCAGACTGCATCGATATACAGGCTGGCAAGGCTTCATACTGGTGGCAAAGGCTAATCATTTTATGTTTCAAGCAGGGAACAAAGGATAAAAATTTCACATACATTATACATGCAAGCTTAACAGAGAAATTATACATACAAGCCTGACAAGGAAATTATACATACTAGCCTAACACAGAAATTAAACATACAAGCCTAACACAGAAATTATACATACAAGCCTAACACAGAAATTATACATACAAGCCTAACACAGAAATTAAACATACAAGCCTAACACAGAAATTATACATACTAGCCTAACACAGAAATTAAACATACAAGCCTAACACAGAAATTATACATACTAGCCTAACACAGAAATTAAACATACAAGCCTAACACAGAACAAGCCTAACATAGAAATTATACATACAAGCCTAACACAGAAATTATACATACAAGCCTAACAAGGAAATTATACATACTAGCCTAACAATGAAATTATACATACTAGCCTAACAAGGAAATTATACATACTAGCCTTACATTTCAATTATACATACTAGCCTTACATTTCAATTATACATACTAGCCTAACAAGGAAATTACACATATTAGCCTAACAAGGAAATTATACATACTAGCCTTATATTTCAATTATACATACAAGCCTAACATTTCAATTACACATACTAGCCTAACAAGGAAATTATACATACTAGCCTTACATTTCAATTATACATACTAGCTTAACAAGGAAATTATACATACTAGCCTAACAAGGAAATTATACCTACTAGCCCAACATTGAAATTATACATACAAGGAAATTGTACACATAAACTATACATACTAGCCTGCATCTGCAAAGTTTCTCTTTTACATTTGATCTAATGGTCATTTTTAAAAAGCATGTAGGAGAAGAAGACTGTTATATAGAGAGAAATTGTTATTACTGGTTAGTTTATAATCCAGGAAAGCTCGCTAGGTGGAATGACCACCGAAATACGGCCAAAATATGTTTAAATTCAGCAAGAAAAACAAACAGATTTAATGTCTCAAATATTGTAATTAAGATCATTTAAAACTATTAAAATTATAGAAAACAGTTGAATGTATTGAAAACAATTGACATTGAAATGAAAAATCATAACCAGTAAGTGTATGTCACAAAATATTAATTTTTTTCAATGCTTGATGAAATTAATTTTAGGGTTGACAAAATATATACATATGTGAATGAAATTTATTTGGGTGGTCGGCAGTTTTCCAGAATGTATCGCACTTGCTGCGATAATGGCGACATTTTGTGAATGTCATTACATTTTGCGTATGTCATTATTATAATATAGGTCTTAGATCTTACAAGATACTAATTTGATTTGATCTATAAGACAATTATAAACCGTTCTTTGTTTTATTGTTTTTTATTTTAGTTGGATTATCTTTCAGCTGAACTTTAAATATTTTACCCTGACTTATAATGACTTTTAAAATATTTATATAATCATGTTTGAAAGATAACAACAGCTTATGTCACCTGTTGAACAATAATTATTAGGTAGGAAAAATAATTTACCGTGCTCGTTATTAAAGTGGATTGGTCTGTAATGGACACATTTTCCATAATTATTTCAGTATTAATGAAAAAAAATATAAAAGTATCATTTGAATATTCTTATGAAATTTTGTTTTTAAAAAAATGTTGATAAAGTTGTATTAAAAATGAGGTATTATGAAAGTTTATATGATAAATATTCGTATTTTGTTCAAGAACATTTTATTATCCACTATATAAATATATGAAATATCCCATCAAATATCTCACACTTGCCAACAACATCAATTTTTAACTGCAGTTAAGTTTGGTGTTATGTCTCGTACTAAATACTATCAGACCTTCCATCATAGACCAATTCACTTTAAGACAAAACACAAAAATTATGTTTTATATTAAACATATTTTTTTTAAGAAGCAAATTATGTCTGGGGATTAAAATAAATGCAAATTGTCAGTAAAAAAATAATTTCATTTGCTAGATTTTTAGTTAATTAATTTTTCTTAAATTTAATATATGATAGAACATGATAGTTCACCTTTTGTGAAAAATTTCAAGTAAGTATTACAGAAATAGTGTCAGTTTTAAAATGTACGGTATTATAATTATTCATATATACCAATAGCATATTGAATCACCTTCTATACCAGATAAGTTTTCATTGCTAGCATGCATTTAGCTATATTTAATAATGATAATAAAAGAAATATTATTAATATTTACAACTTAAAAACAAGTTCTTGCGAACCTGAGGATATATTATTTACTAGTAAATTTTGTTTTTAATACCAAAATTAAAATTCTTTGAAATACAAGGCTACGATACAACAACACAGAAAACTGTTTTTCCGTGTTATTCAGTAAATTATTGATTTTGCAATAACAAAGACACAGATTTTTTTTTACAGGGATAAAACAAGAATTTTTTAGCTTAAATAGTATTATGTTATTATATTTGATAATTTCAGCTGTCTGATTGAAAAAAAAAAACACACACTAATATTTCAATCATAATTAAATACTCAGTATTTGCATCGATCAGTTTTCACAGAAGCTTTCCATTCACATTGTGTAACATTATCTTATACCATATGGTAGCAATCCAAGTTTCAACCCCCCCTGCCCCCCTTCCTTGCTTGACCACGCCCCTTATTTGTGCAACATTCAGGTAGATTTTTCATTACAGATTAAAAATTTGATTCACAGATTTAAAGAATGAAAAGGAATACTTGAATTTGTTTTAATGGCTGGGAACATGCAAGGGAAAAAGTAACTTATATGTATCAAATTTCCGTCTGCATGCTTATACTCTAATGTGTATACAAGCAATTTAGCTTTTTAAAAGGGGCTTAAAGGTTAAGGTCATTGGCTTTGAAATCAATTGCCTAACATGGTCATGAATAAGAATCCCGCAAGAAAAATTCAAATATTGTAAGAAAGCTTACTAGCTTGATTGCAGACGGTCAGTAACTTGACCCAGGTGTTTGCCCCTCCTTAATTGATGCTTGAATGGTTAAACAAGGGGTCTTCATTCAACCTTCGTCACAATTATGACAAGAAACAAGAGAGAAAAAAAGAATTTTACTATGTATTTTGGAACTCAAAATTTTCTGAGCAGAGATCATGTTCATGACTATTTTCATATAAAATACATGTATATCATATTATGACAAATGACAGAACATGCATTTCTTTTTACAAAACTAGTTGGTTCTAAAATTAAACATGGAGTTTTGCTGAACACAATTATGACCTTCTAAAACTCCTAGCTCCAACCAATGTAGATATTCATGCTTAAAACTTATCACATGTGTTTTTTTTTTCAAAACAAGTTGGTTCTTAAATCAAATATGGAGTTTTACTGAAAACTATTTTGAAATTTGAAAAATTCCTTGTTAATGGTCAATCTTTATAACCAATGAAAATATTTACGCTCAAAACTTCACACAGTCATGTTTTTAAAGTGATTACTGTTTGTCACTGTGATTCTACTCATTGCATATTTTTATATTCCTGAATTATTCATTTCCGTTTGTCACCTTAGATACTTGCTTCATGATTCAGTCAAGTCAATGAGGGTTGTCAAGTGTGCCGACCGTGTGCCAGTTTTTTTAACATTTTTTTTTCCTACAGAATATTTCAAAATATCTATTGTTTGAGAAATCATATTAAATTGTTACATGCCTGTTGTAAGAAATCAAGAGAAGGAAAAAAATGTACGCATGAAAATATGCGTCAGTGGTAATAACCAGTTGCGACCATGTGCACGTGTGTTGTTTTCGGTTAAACTCGTCAAGACATTTTTTATATCGTACGGTGCATTGCCTTGCTTACATGCAAAATCATATCATGTCTAACTATTATTATCCATGCAATATAATGTACTTAATTTGCAGATAAAATCAAAATTTGAAAATCTGGCATGCAATGATTTCTCCAGTTTCTTTTGGTATTGACAAAAGGTTAGGGACAGTGACCCTTATAATTAATTAACATGAACGCCATTGTTTAATTTAATTAATAACCGGCGATAAAATTTCAGAACTATTTTATGACAACTTACATTTAGTGAAATATTACCTTTACACCCAGTATTTGGGAACTACTTTTGTTATGAACACATGGTATTAAAATGAATCATTCTGTGGACTTGACCTGGTTTGACTCTGGACTGGTTCATTATCTGTTAAGGGGTTTCAATATTGAATTACTAAAACTGAGTATCGAACAGTGGACATCTTACAGTGTACCTCTTGGGCGGATGATATCTATAATGATGTGTAGACTGGCTTAGCTCTGTTCTGGTGATAAAGGTGTTGCAATATAATGGCAGGCACTCAAAGGTACCAGTCTTGTAACATCTGATTGGCTTATAATACAAAAACTGACCAATGATAGTGATGGGATTTCAGACATTCTTGTGTCTTTTTCCTTTCTTTTCACTATACATTTATATTAAAAGTACTGCAAGCCCCTGACTAATCTCTCACTTCACTTCTTCTAAAAGTACAAATTTGTGTCATGTGAGAGGCTGAAAAAGAGGTATTAAATTGAATAAATAAAGAAAATAAATAATAAATAAGAAAATAATGTATAAAAAATGATTGAGTTATTACCAAGTTGCTCAAATCACTGTGTGCATTAAATTTGATCATAGGTAAGGAAAGATGAAAACGTCGTAATTATTTCAGTATTAATTTTACACCATTGTATTACTCGGGACATTGTATGAATTATTCATTCATAACTAACTTTGGAGGTAAGCCAGAATTTACAAACATAGTAGTAGTGTTTTGCCCGATCATTGTTTTTATCATCGGTATAAATCGTCTATTATTGCCAACAATGTTTTTAAAGCACAATTTTTGTTATATTTGTCTTCTGCCGACCACCCTTGACCGTCTGATTATTCCAGTTCATCAGTTCCTATAACGATCCCCGCGCTCGCATTGTCAACAAAAATGTCTATTTACGATGAGATTTTGTAAAGACAATTTTCAAATTATCTTTTAAAACAATACATGGATCACACTGATTTTGTGGTATCTCTTAAAACAAAAGAACATATCTATCGTTGATTGTTAAATGGCGAACAAAAATTGACGGAATGCATTGACGTTTAGTGAGCCGTATTTCTATTTATCTGATAATGATTCCGGTCTGATAGAGATTTCGATAAAAGCATTGACGTATTAAGAAAGGGAAATAATTTTACCTAAAATTCTCCTTCGGTCTTCAATTGATCTACATTTGACCAGATTTTTAGACTTGAGGCGAAAATTTTGCATTAAATCTTTACTGACATCCTTTAATGAAATAATGATAAAATTTTTCTTTTTTTTTCTTTTGGTTCATCAGTGTGTATGTTTTTAAATGTTAGAGAAATTAATTGATTGTTTATAAGTTTTTATTTGTACATTGTATATTTACAGTACATTTATGTGCGAAACTTTAGGTAAAGTAACTGTTAACAAACAATGCTATGATGACTAAAATAATGAACTTTATCATGATTAATTTTGTTTTATTTTCTTATTTGTATTTTTATTCATTTTTAATTATTTTTTTAAATGAAACCTAGTGTCTGTTAAAAAGGGGGGGGGGGGTAGGATAATTATCTTGTGTGGAAAGTCACCATATGACCTTTACTGTAATAATGTGACTTAAAATCCATCAAACAAGTAAAAAAAATAAACATTTACCTTTTTACTTAATCATTTAAAAAATATATATATATAGTTTCTAAAAAGAACTCTACTCATTACTTAACTGTTTTGAATAAAAGTTTTAAAATTAGTTATCCTAACTTTACTTCAAAAAATTAAATTTCGTGTGCAAAAAGTCTCAATTATTAATTATTAGATATTATCATTTGCTAATAAAGACACTTCCTTGTGTGGAAATATACATGTACCTAATACTATACAAATGTACAAAATTCAGGAGCGTAAATTGGAATTGTTAATTGTTTTTTTAAATGCCCTTTTTATGTAAATTATACAAAATAGATTTATTGAATCAAATAATTAAAGTAACTTATCTAGTGACGAGCTCAAATGAAATGTTTGTTTTAGCTCGATTTAATTTTTCATTAGTGTCTTAGCCTGTATAATTTTGAACAATTACCTAGCGCGTTTATTGTATATAATTTTATACATGATTTAATTTAGGTATCATGTTTAATATTGGTCCGCGTTTTTTTTAATCTATAGATCCGGGAAGACGAGCTAATAAATGAGAGTTTTGCCTCGTTTCACTTCATATGCACTTTGATAGGTTGATTGGAGTTTAGGTTATACATATTTCATTGAAATTTGACGATATAATTTTTAAGAAAATAAACTCAAGATTTATGTATTATCAATAATTTAAATTGTGACGAATGATAAATTAGTTATATTTGCTCACTTGCAGATATCAATTGATAATAATTGAGTGAATTGCCTTTGATGTGTGCATTTGTGTGCATTTCTTTGAATTACAGAGACTTTGAAGTCTGCATAATTAGTGCATTTATATGTGTGATTCATTACTAACAAATTTGTCTTTTACTATGTTTTTTTTTATTTAAAACTTTAGTGTTGTACGCATGTACGAACAAAGTTTATTTCTCCATTTATTTTGCTGTCAGCTGTATTTATTATGAAATTTTGACTCTTTGAATATTATCAACAATTATAAGAGACCCAATCCACCATGTGTGTCATGTGTGACCAGACGCAGTATGGTCTTCTGCTAAATTTTAGTAATTTTAACCTCGAAAGCTGCTGGAACTGGAAAAAGTTAGCCTATGTCACCAGTATAGAACGAGGCCAGCATGCACATCCGTGCAGTCTGACAAGGCCCTATATTGTTAGTAGCTGTATTTTGGTGTTTTGATATAGAAATCCCTTAAATTATGAATGGACTGTTCTAAATTCAACGCAGGGCAAGTCCATTACACAAATTTAGTGTAAATATTTTACACACACTATGTCAGCAATGTTGAAAAGTTCAGAATGTAATAAAATTGGTGAAATAAGGCAAATATAATTATGTCCTCAAAAGTCCAATCAATGCAAGAGCATATTAAAACTTATTAATTTTGGCAAAGAAGTTGATATTAAGATAAGTCAAATAATATACATGTTTGTCAAACTTGAATCTACAGAAACAAAAGGAAATGAAAAAAAAAGTATTTTTGTGAAAGTCCCAGTAGACAAGATTATGTTAAATAGCCTCAAAATATGCAGAGACTTGCACCTTTTAAATTCCTTTCATCTGTAAAAGTTTTAAAAAATGAATAACTAAATTCTGTCCAATCTACTTTTCAATCTCGAAGCATTTTAATATGTAAAAGGATTTTTTTCTAAAAAGGTAGTGAATATTGAAATGACAAAAGAATATCTTATATTTTTACAGATGTTTTGAAATTGAGGCAACGTTTCCAATGGAGTCATTGTTGACGGTCCAGGTTTACGACTGGGATCTTGTCGGGATGGATGACCTGATTGGTGAGACGAAGGTTGACCTAGAAAACAGATACTACAGTCGACATAGGGCAACCTGCGGAATTTCCAAGAAATTTGATGTGTGAGTATTGATGGATTATATTTTTAGCTCGACTATTCGATAAGAATAAGTAGAGCTATTGCAGTCACCCGAGCGTCGGCGTCCGCGTCGGCGTCGGCGTAACCACTTATGTTAAAGTTTTTGTAATAGTTCAAATATTTTCAAAGTCCATTGACATATGGCTTTGAAACTTTGCACACTTGTTCACCATCATGACCCCAACCTGTAGACAGGAGAAGGTAACTGTATCAAGCATTTTGACAGAATTATGCCCCTTTTTAGCTCGACTATTCGAAGAATATGAGAGCTATTGTAGTCGCCCCGGCGTCCGCATCGGCGTCTGCGTTGGTTAAAGTTTTTTGTAAAGTCAAATATCTCAATTATTACTTGAGATATTCAATTGAAACTTACAATACTTAATATTTATAGTAACAAGGTACATCAGATTGACAAGTTTGATAACTCTGCCTACAATATTGACAGAATTATGCCCCTTTTTAACTTAGAAATTTTGGTAAAAGTTTTTTGTAAAGTCAAATATCTCAATTATTGCTTGAGATATTCAATTGAAACTTACAATACTTATTTATAGTAACAAGGTACATCAGATTGACAAGTTTGATAACTCTGCCTACAATATTGACAGAATTATGCCCCTTTTTAACTTAGAAATTTTGGTTAAAGTTTTTTGTAAAGTCAAATATCTCAATTATTGCTTGAGATATTCAATTGACACTTACAATACTTATTTATAGTAACAAGGTACATCAGATTGACAAGTTTGATAACTCTGCCTACAATATTGACAGAATTATGTCCCTTTTTATTTTAGAAATTTTGGTTAAAGTTTTTTGTAAAGTCAAATATCTCAATTATTGCTTGAGATATTCAATTTAAACTTACAATACTTATTTATTGTAACAAGGTACATCAGATTGACAAGTGGGATAACTCTGTCTACAATATTTACAGAATTATGCCCCTTTTTAACTTAGAAATTTTGGTTAAAGTTTTTTGTAAAGTCAAATATCTCAATTATTGCTTGAGATATTCAATTTAAACTTACAATACTTATTTTAAGTAACAAGGTACATCAGATTGACAAGTGGGATAACTCTGCCTACAATATTGACAGAATTATGCTCCTTTGGAACTTTTTTGTTAAAGTTTTTTTGTAAAGTCAAATATCTCAATTATTGCTTGAGATATTCAATTGAAATTTAAAATACTTTTTTGTTGTAACAATGTACATCATTGGCAAAAATTGCATAACTCTGCCTGCAATATTTGCAGAATTATTTGCCCCTTTGAAACTTAGTAATTTTGGTTAAAGGTTAAAGGTATTAAAAGATATTTACTTGAAACTTTACACATGCACTTAGGGTCATAATTGGAGGGTCATAATTGTATGTCACTGACCAAGTTCCATAACTCTATCTTGCATTAAGGCTGATTCATATCCCCTTTTCTACTTAGTCTCTTGGTTAATGTTTACATGCAAGTTTTACATATCTCAATAACTATTAAAGATATTTATTTAAAACTTCACATATGCATTTAGGGTTATAATTGTAGGTCACTGACAAAGATCCATAATTCTATCTTGCATTTAGGCTGATTTTTCTCCCCTTTTTCAACTTAGAAATTCATGGTAAAGTTTTGTTTGTAAGCTGTTATCTCAATAACTACTGAAGGGTTTGCCACTTTGTGCCTTTTTTGGGACAATTTTATGCATTCATAATAATGAAGCAGTGATTTACTTGATAAAACATCTTAATAACAAGCCTTTGTACCTTGTCTGTCAAATTTATTTTTCATAGGTAATTAGTATTATTATATTCAATAAAACACCCTTGTGACATTACCTTCCGAATAGTCAAGCCAATACTGTATAATTAGACTCTCTCTAAGGCCTATAACATGAATTTATAAAAAAAAATTAGCCCTTTTGTCAACTTAAAAAAATTAACATTATCAAGGCTCTTTTACTATCAAGCACTTAGAATAGTCGAGCGTGCTGTCCTTCCGACAGCTCTTGTTCGACTTAGAATTTACGTTAAAGTTTTTGTAATATTTCAAATATTTTCAAAGTCCATTGACATATGGCTTTGAAACTTTGCACACATGTTCACCATCATGACCCCAACCTGTAGACAGGAGGAGGTAACTCTATCAAGCATTTTGACAGAATTATGCCCCTTTTTCGAGTTAGAATTTACGTTAAAGTTTTTGTAATAGTTCAAATATTTTCAAAGTCCATTGACATATGGCTTTGAAACTTTGCACACTTGTTCACCATCATGACCCCAACCTGTAGACAGGAGGAGGTAACTGTATCAAGCATTTTGACAGAATTATGCCCCTTTTTCGACTTAGAATTTACGTTAAAGTTTTTGTAATAGTTCAAATATTTTCAAAGTCCATAGACATATGGCTTTGAAACTTTGCACACTTGTTCACCATCATGACCCCAACCTGTAGACAGGAGAAGGTAACTCTATCAAGCATTTTGACAAAATTATGCCCCTTTTTCGACTTAGAATTTACGTTAAAGTTTTTGTAATAGTTCAAATATTTTCAAAGTCCATAGACATATGGCTTTGAAACTTTGCACACTTGTTCACCATCATGACCCCAACCTGTAAACAGGAGGAGGTAACTGTATCAAGCATTTTTTTTACTATCAAGCACTAAGAATAGTCGAGCGTTGCTGTCCTACCGACAGCTCTTGTTAGTTATGATTTTTAAAAGATTATTGACAGGTTATAATTATGGCCCTATGTAAACGTTTGTTTGAAACTATAACTCAAGCTGCTAGGCGATTTCTTCATAAATTGACGGCAGCCTTATATATAAATCTATATATACGTCATGATTATCCAATGAAAAGCAATGTTACAAACGTGCAGAATTATAAGATTATTTTCATATATTTCTACATACTTTAGTTTTTGACGTCAAATCACAAAGTCTTGTCAGTCCCCACTGTAGGTTCAAATGTTGTCAAGAACTTGATTTCTTACATTTGAGGAAGCTCATAGTCCACCAAGCTTACAGGAGTCTGGTGATTTCTACACAGATACTGTGTGATCTAATAAAGGGCACCTTAGGATCGTTTCCACCACCAGTAATGCTTGAAAAAGTTGTCAAATGACCTTAACAACATTAATGCAACTTTAAAAGCAAGAAAACAAACAGTTCAGACAAAACCTTTTCAAATGTTTTTCTTTTTGTGAAGATGTGGTGGAAACAAATTATTTTGAACAATATCATGAAAATATGTCAACTTTTTTTATCATGGACTAACATAGCTTTTTCTTGTTGTACAGGAAATTAACTGAATTACAATTTAGAATTTAGTTAACTTAGCTTTAATTTATTTTGTATTCATGTACATCAAAAAAAAAATTTATACATGTACATGTACATCAAAAAAAATCTTAAAGTTGCAGCATTAAGAAGGAAATTGTTTGATAAACATGGAAAATAATCATGATTGGCTGCAATGTAGAACTAAAGTGACTTTTTTCTATGCACCGGATATTGATGCATGTGCATGTAATGATATAGAAATATTTATATCTGAAAATTGACACCAATTTAATGAAGATAAACAATTACTTTTCTTAATTTCAATGAATATCTTATGATAAATTGATGGGAAGTTTAGTTTTGTCATTTGTAACTTAAGGAAATGGGAAATAGGTGGAGTCTATGCTAAGCCCAGCTCCACTTAACACCCTCCCAGGGTTATATCATATCAAACATTAGCAAAAAAGTTGCGCGCTTGAGCTTTTGTTTGAATGTATTAATACATGTATATTATAAGTACATGTGTACTGTGTGCCTACTTCATACATGTAAAAGAGAATGAAACAATAAAATATTGATTTGAATTCTTCCTAAGGATGGGCTTGGAAGAAACTTTTGTATGGCATCTGTACTATCATTCCATGCCAGATTGCAATGGCTTCTCATAGGTGTTGTCAACTGCAATAACTATGTTTAGATTGGTTAATTTCAAAATGAGGCACAGAATGTAACCAATCAAAATTGCTGTAATAAAACTTTGTCAAACTATGAGTATTGAATGCTTTTTCTTATTCAAATTAAGAAAATTATTACTTCCTGGTGTTGTTTTTGATTGTAATTAATATAATATGGACATGACTGGCTTTTTCATCAGGGACAGCAGGCATTCTGGGGCTCTTTGTTTTCTATATCCAAGCTGGCTTCAACTTAAAATCTAAAGTTTAAAAATATTCTCGCCATATTTTTGGCATCTTTTTACGGTTATAAATATTGTTGTATTCAAGTAAAATCTTACTTTTCACATGTTACCTGGATGTAAAAACACTGTCATTATGTGGGCAGATACGCTCACTGTTTCAGTTGTGTCTGTCAATAAATTATTAAGTTTAGCACAAGTATTTTATATTTATGTCTAATTTATATCTAATTTATATCTAATTCAAACTAATTTGCAGCTGACATATAAGGAATTATGTTTCAGACGAGTTACAATATATCATGCTGATATTACACACAAAGGAGTTACCTCCCTTTGGAGGTTGACATGTTGCTTTAATTTTATTTATTATATTATATTTTTTTTTCAGATAAATTTAATTATTCAATCTTGCTTTTCATTAGTAACATTAATGTCACCCCAGAGGGATATTTAGATTGTATTTGTGCCTCAAACTATATGTTCATTTTATTTAAATGAGCCAATTCACAGTTAGATTTGTTCATGAATTATGGAAACTGGAATTAAGACTCGCAGATTGATAGCCATTTTGAAATATTAATATATACTTTATGTGACATTGGCATCAATTACTGATTAATTCACAATTGCTTACAAAAGAATCCTTTTAATTCTGGCTTTGACAAACTGCGTAGGAGTTTAAACACATGGTGGTTTTTCCAGCATGGTCGTCCATAAACCAAACTGTTTTATACATTAAGTTTAATATAATATGCTATTATATGCATTAATCATTCATCACAATAAAAGGACCAATACATTTTTTCAGCCTGTGTCCGTATAGATTTTGCTCAAAGTGCTATCATAAATTATGACAATGCAATCGATTGAATAACATGACAAATTGGTGCTATATGACCTTTCTCTACCTGTTCAATATAACCATATTGATGTTCAAGTCCTCCTATGAGAAAGCACCCTCAACATTATTTATTATTTCATTTCACATATTAACTTTTTTAAAGAAACTCAATTTTTGAGCTCTTGAAAAAATAAAGTGAGGAATTGCTACAGCTAACTCAGGAAACATTGGTGGTTCTACTCAGGTGGCCTGTTTGTGCCTGAAATAAGTTAAGCGGGAAAGTGATTATATGACCTTTACAGTGTTGATGACAATATACCCAACCCCCAAAACAAATTCTAGTAATATCAACATCTCAAGGGTCATACAGATTTTTAATGACATCATCAACATCTTTTTTTTTACATCATCTTTAAAATAACATTAAGGGTAGTTTTGTCATATTTTAATGGAAATAATTTCAGATGTATATTTCATGAAAATACAAATTAACAAAATTTGATAATCTTTTCGTAAAGATAATGCAAAATTACAAAAGAAAAAAAGAAAGAATATGTATATTATGGTAACAAGTATTCAAAGAAATGTGGTTTTAAAGTTGTTTGTACAATAAACAAAACAGTAGTGTAAATGAAAGGAGAATTAACAATAAAAACAACTAAGTGCTGATCAAGATATGCGTGTTAAGAAACCTGACTGTTTTGACCTGCATTGTTTTTGCTTGCGGGGTTTTGACCACATCCGTTTGCCAGCCAGCACTGGCTGTTATAGAGTGAAAGTGATCTGGTTAAAGCCATTAGTTGTTGAAATCCACACTGCAGCCTCCCCATTTATAATTGGCGAGTGGTCAAACTGGTCAAGTGTGCTTTCCTGAAAATTTCCGTAAATAAACTTATTTTAGTCGTACAGTAATGGAGGGTTAGTTTCAGGTTTACAGATTTGATGGGCATATGACACATTAATAGATGAAGATCAGAATATAGGCTATGCTATTATTTTCTTCTTTATCTTTCTACCATTCTGTATATTGATGCATATAAATTTTGCCACTTAGTAAATAAAACAGTAAAAGAACAGCATGCACAGTTAAAGGCCCATTATGCCTTAGAAAACCTCTTTTTTTTTATATCTCAAAAGTTTTTTTAAATTTTGGCGTTCTTTTATAGTATCCAAAAAGTTACTCATTGGCTAATTACCGAAACCATCTTTTTCATCTGTTGCTTTCTGGCAATTAATTCAGTTATAATGAATTAATATTTTATATGGAAGCCAAAATAATGTGCCTTTAAAATCAGTCCCCTTAAACTTAGGGTGTGCTTTTTTTAGCTCACCTGAGCTTGCTCAGGGTGAGCTTTTAGGATCGATGAATGTCCGTCGTCCGTCCGGCCGTCCACAATTGCTTGTGAACACTCTAGCGGTCGCATTTTTGCCTCAATCATCATCAAACTTGGTCAGGATGCTTATCTAGTTGAAAGCTCGGATGAGTTCGAACATGGGTCATCTCAGATGAAAAACTAGGTCACAAGAGCTAAAAATAAAAAAACCTTGTGAACACTCTAGAGGTCACATTTTTGACCCAATCATCATCAAACTTGGTCAGGATGTTTGTCTAGGTGATAGCTCGGATGAGTTCGAACATGGGTCATCTCGGATGAAAAAGTAGGTCACAGGAGCTATAAATAGAAAACCTTGTGAACACACTAGTGGTCACATTTTTGAACCAATCATCATCAAACTTGGTCAGAATGCTTGTCTAGTCAATTGCTTGGATGAGTTCGAACATGGGTCATCTCTAATGAAAAACTAGGTCACCGGAGCTAAAAATAGAAAAACCTTGTGAACACTCTAGTGGTCACATTTTTGACCCAATCATCATCAAACTTTGTCAGGATGCTTGTTTAGATAATAGCTCGAATGAGTTCGAATATGGGTCATCTAGGATGAAAAACTAGGTCACCGGGGCTATAAATAGAAAAACCTTGTTAACACTCTTGCGGTCACATTTTTGCATCAGTCATCATCAAACTTGGTCAAGATGTTTGTCTAGGTGATAGCTCGGATGAGTTTGAACATGGATCATTTCGGATGAAAAACTATGTCACAGGAGCTAAAAATAGAAAAACCTTGTTAACACTCTAGTGGTCACATTGTTGACATAATCATCATCAAACTTGGTCAGGATGCACGCCTAAGTAATTGATCAAAGAAGTTCAATCATGGGTCATCTCGGATGAAAAACTAGGTCACAGAAGCTAAAAAATAGAAAAACCTTGTTAACACTCTAGTGGTGACATGTTTGACTTAATTGTCATCAAACTTTGTCAGGATGCTTGTCTAGGTAATTTCTCGCATGATTTTGAACATATGTCATCGCGAATGAAAAACTAGGTCACAGGAGCTAAAAATAGAAAAATCTTGTTAACACTCTAGTGGATACTGTTTTGATCCAAATATTCTGTTTAATTGGTCTGAAAGTTTGTTTTGATGATTTCTAAGTCAAGATCGAACATGGGTCATCTTGGATGAAAAACTAGGTCACACCGCCCAAATATGGAAAAACCTTGTTAACATTCTAGTGGTCACATTTTCGACTCCATTATCATCAAACTTGGTCAGAATGCTTGTCTAGGTAATTGCTTGGATGAGTTCGAAATCGCATGTGAAACTAGGTCACCGGAGCTAAAAATAGAAAAATCTTGTTAACACTCTAGTTGCTACTGTTTTGATCCAAGTATCCTGGAAATTGGTCTGAAAGTTTGTTTTGATGATTTCTAGGTCAAGTTTGAATATGTGTCACCTGGGTAAAAAACTAGGTCGCACTGCTCAAATATGGATAATCCTTGTTAACACTGTAGTGGTCACATTTTTGACTCACCTGTCATGAGACTTGGTCAGAATGCTTGTCTAGGTAATTGTTTGGATGAGTTTGATAATTCAGGTGAGCGATCTAGGGCCATCATGGCCCTCTTGTTTAAATTTCAGATCAGGGTACAATGGATGGCGTGATCCTGTAAAACCAACTCAGATTCTATCGAAACTATGCAAGGATGGTAAGGTGGATGGCCCTCACTACCAGCCAGGGAGAGTTCGAGTTGAGAATCGAATATTTACAGCACCTATTGAAGAATTTGAAGAGGAAGATGGTAGGTCAAATACTGTTTTCAAATATTAAAGAACTATCGAAATTTTGTTTTGAAGTTGAAGAACAGAAGATTAACGGTTATAACCTGCAGTAAAGAAACCAAAAGTTCGCATTATAGAGCCAGACCAACATGCACGTTTGTGCAGTCAGATTAGACTCGATGCTATTTATAGTCAAACTGTAGAAATCCTAAAACTTCAAAATTTTAATGGACTGTACCAAATTTAAAACGAAGCAAATTCATAACATAAATTCAGCAGGTTAAGGAAAGCTTTTTTTAATCAGTAATAATTCTTTGGTTATATTTTGATACATAATTATACTGGGTAAAATTTCTTTAGAATATTCAGTATTTTAATTTTATCTGTCCAACATTATGAAACTTACCTTTTTATTTCTATTAAAAATTATTCTTATTTTTGAATAAGCACAAACTGTAAAATTTAATGTTTATTTATTATATGCCTTGAAGTGTTACTAAGAGATAATGCTTTAATTAATATTTGGATAATGAACATTCTCTGTTTCTCCATTATTAAACTATTTTCCCTTCTTTCAATGCCTGCAATTTGGTTGGATGGAATCAGCCACTGATCAAAGGCATTTTTGTCAGAGTATACTGTGTTTAATCAGGCAGTGGCGATGGTATAAAAATATACAAGAACAAATTGTTCCTTTATCACCGAAATAGATAACCTGTTCGGAAATAGATAACCTGTCCCGCCAGTGGTGATATACAAATATTGAGAACATTTTTTACCCGAAGAAACTGCCCATCTGTCAGTGAAACAGCCAACCAGACCAAGAAAATATTTGGAAAATTTTATCTTTATGTTTATAACAGATTTTTCAAAATATTTTTCTTTTATTGTTGTTTTAATATGTGTCTAAAAATAGATTTGTAATTTATTCAGTCCAAGACAGCAAACTTTTTACCAAGAATTGATCTTCAGATTCTTTTTTTTTCTTTTCTTAGTTTTTTATTTTTGTTACAAAAAAAAATTTCTTTCTTTTTTTGTTCATTTATTGAATGTATACATTTGTATTAAATCTCCAAAAACGTCATAAGATCTACCAGACTGATGTGTAAAATATATTTTCATTCTGCTAAAAATTGCTAACCATTAGTTGTAACCCTTTTATATTAATGCAGGCATTTAGTTTTTCAATCCATTAAAAAGGCTTATCTCTGGATTAAATAAAACTGTAGGTAAAAGGGGCTCCACCAAGATTCAAAATTGAATTTTTTTTTATAGAATTAGAAGATCTTGGGCACTAAAACAGTAAATTATGAAAGAGATAATATTTTTCATCAGAATTATATTGGATGACAAAAATATAGTGTGAATTCTTGGCCAAATTTGAGTGTAATGCATTTGAACTCTTTAACTTTCTAGGGCATTTTGCATAATATAAATAATCAGTTTGGAAAATTGGAGAAAGAGAATTATCTGAAACTTTGCAAACTAATTATTGGTATAGATCTATATTAAATGGTTTAAAAATCTCAAAAAAATTTCCAGTCAGGTCCTGTCTAAAAAAACGAGTGAAGTCCCTTTAAGCCTATTTTTTATTGTATAATAAAGTTCAATGCAAAACAAATTTTATCACTGACCTTGTTCTACATGATACATAATTTATTTCATGATTAATTCTCGTATACATTTCCGACAATGGAAGATAGAATATCATCAAATTACGAACTTTATGTATTTCACAAACCTTAAAATGATTTTAAATTAGACAATAATTTCCCATTTATTCAAGAAATTGATAAAAGCACTTTCACAAATTAGAACTTGAAAGTGAAACTGAGTCTATAAATATAATTTTAAGAATGGTAAAAGCTTCGGCCTTGTGGTAATGACTGCTATAACAGCTTTTTATAGTGAAGGGGTGGTTTTTTGCACTTAGATTTTTTAGCTCACCTGAGCTTGCTCAGGGTGAGCTTTTAGGATCGGTGAATGTCCGTCGTCCGTCGTCCGTCGTCCGTCGTCCGTCCGGCCGTCCACAATTGCTTGTGAACACTCTAGCGGTCGCATTTTTGCCTCAATCATCATCAAACTTGGTCAGGATGCTTATCTAGTTGAAAGCTCGGATGAGTTCGAACATGGGTCATCTCGGATGAAAAACTAGGTCACAAGAGCTAAAAATAGAAAAACCTTGTGAACACTCTAGAGGTCACATTTTTGACCCAATCATCATCAAACTTGGTCAGGATGTTTGTCTAGGTGATAGCTTGGATGAGTTCGAACATGGGTCATCTCGGATGAAAAAGTAGGTCACAGGAGCTATAAATAGAAAAACCTTGTGAACACTCTAGTGGTCACATTTTTGAACCAATCATCATCAAACTTGGTCAGAATGCTTGTCTAGTCAATTGCTTGGATGAGTTCGAACATGGGTCATCTCTGATGAAAAACTAGGTCACAGGAGCTAAAAATAGAAAAACCTTGTGAACACTCTAGTGGTCACATTTTTGACCCAATCATCATCAAACTTTGTCAGGATGCTTGTTTAGATAATAGCTCGGATGAGTTCGAATATGGGTCATCTCGGATGAAAAACTAGTCACCGGAGCTATAAATAGAAAAACCTTGTGAACACTCTAGTGGTCACATTTTTGCATCAATCATCATCAAACTTGGTCAGGATGCTTATCTAGTTGATAGCTTGGATGAGTTCGAACATGGGTCATCTCGGATGAAAAAGTAGGTCACCAGAGCTAAAAATAGAAAAACCTTGTTAACACTTTAGCGGTCACATTTTTGCATCAATCATCATCAAACTTGATCAAGATGCTTGTCTAGGTGATAGCTCGGATGAGTTCGAACATGGGTCATCTCGGATGAAAAACTAGGTCACAGGAGCTAAAAATAGAAAAACCTTGTTAACACTCTAGTGGTCACAATTTTGACTCAATTGTCATCAAACTTGGTCAGGAAACTTGTCTAGGTCATTGCTGGGAATAAATCGAACATGGGACATTTCGGATGAAAAACTAGGTCACAGGAGCTAAAATAGAAAAAATCTTGTTAACACTCTAGTGGCTACTGTTGTGATCCAAATATTCTGTTAATTGGTCTGAAAGTTTGTTTTTGATGATTTCTAAGTCAAGATCGAACATGGGTCATCTTGGATGAAAAACTAGGTCACACCGCCCAAATATGGAAAAACCTTGTTAACATTCTAGTGGTCACATTTTCGACTCAATTATCATCAAACTTGGTCAGGATGTTTGTCTAGGTAATTGCTTGGATGAGTTCGAAATCGCATGTGAAACTAGGTCACCGGAGCTAAAAATAGAAAAATCTTGTTAACACTCTAGTTGCTACTATTTTGATCCAAGTATCCTAGAAATTGGTCTGAAAGTTTGTTTTGATGATTTCTAGGTCAAGTTTGAATATGTGTCACCTGGGTAAAAAACTAGGTCGCACTGCTCAAATATGGATAATCCTTGTCAACACTGTAGTGGTCACATTTTTGACTCACCTGTCATGAGACTTGGTCAGAATGCTTGTCTAGGTAATTGTTTGGATGAGTTTGATAATTCAGGTGAGCGATCTAGGGCCATCATGGCCCTCTTGTTTATTTTTAAGGACAAACTTGAATGAATGTCTGAGTTAGATAGCAAAAGGCAAGTGTTCTTTTTTTTTTTAAATATTTTAATAGGCTTTTATGTAAGTACCTTAGTGGTCTTATGAAAACATGGTATTTATTTTGACATTTGGAACGAAGGAATTATTTTTAACTCAACTTTTCCAAGAAAAAATGGAGCTTTTGTCATGACCCTTTTCTCGGCAACAGCATTGATTAACATTTGAGCCGTGTCACGACAAAACCAACATAATGGGTTTTGCGACCAGCATGGATCCAGACCAGCCTGCGCGTCTGATCAGGGTCCATGCTGTTCGCTTACCAACCCTATTACAAGTAGAGAAACTGATAGCAAACAGCATGGATCCTGATCAGACTGCGCGGATAAGGGAAGATAATCCAAAATTTCATTTTTGCAAATTTATGCCTTTTTTTGCTTATTTTGTTTTGTTTTTGTTTTGTATGTCAATTTCTCAAATACTGTCAAAGAAAATCACATTAAAGTTGGAAAACTTGTTCAATTTTTAAATTGTAATACATTTCTAATGGCCAGGTAACTTTATCATTTTTTTCTTCACAGTTATTCCCCCCTTTTTGTCTTTGAATTTTTTGGTAATTTTTTGTTATTTCTCAAAAAGCATCAAAGATATTTCCTTTGAACTTGGAGTACTTGTACCATTATCATTTTCATTTATTGATGTATTTATTTTTGTCGATTGTCACTCCTTACCTATCATGCTGCGTAATTTTTTTGACTATTCTGTATTCTGTAAACATACAGTTTATCCTTCTGGTCATTATAAATAACACCTGATATTAGTACTTCCAACATTAGTACCTTTTTAACTGTATAATAACATACAGGATAGTTAGAAATTACATATTATATTTCTAAACGGATCTGGAAATATGAGTAATTTTGTATACTATAAAACAATAAGTACAAAATTAAATCTGAAATAAATTACCAGCCAATTGTTTTTGTAATTTCTAAATTACCGACATAAAAGTAACAAAAAAATATTAAAAGCAATTTTCAAATTACTGACATATTTTCTCAAATCTGAAGGTTATATAAAAGAATGGTATAAATTGTTATTGCTTAAAAAAACAACAAGAAAACAAATTCATTGCTTATTTCATGTAAATTAATTCTATTTTAAGAAGGGCAGACATTTTGTTTCACATTTTTACAGTTCGATCACGCCTATAACAGTGAAGATAATGGTCAATCAAAAAGCTGCGGAATTGTAATAAATTTGTTTCTCGCTGCCTTCTGTTTTAATTCCGTTCTCGTATATTTTATAAACAACCGTTAGCTGTAAAAGTCAACTAGATAATCATCCGTACATGCTAATCCAATAAAATACACATATCTCAAATTATTACTTTCATGCTACATTCGGAGAATAAGTTAATTACAGATTAATTTATTATACAAACAGGTTTAGTGAGCGAAATAAAGAGAACTAAGTACCCCTCCTATTGGTTCCCTCTGATAAGACTTCTCCTATTTCACTTTAAATACCTCAATTATCCAGAATTTATTTTATTAAGATATTTCACAAGATAAGGATGATGCATGCCTCATTTGAAATATTGGTCAGCTTTTGTGATAAGAGAGATAAAAATCTTTTAAATCGCAAGAATTGCAATGTTTTTTTTTTCTGGAGACATTTTGTTTTTTAGGTACAAAGATCTATAAAACCACCTGTTCTCTATTAATCTAATGGGCATTGTTTTTTTATAAATTTGCTTCTGTATGAACATTGTCTTAACATGTTTTGAATAGTTTTATAAGGGTTTTAGATGGTTTGAATAAGGTTTTACAATTTTTTAACATGTATCGATTACATTCCTGATCCTAGCATATAAGATTTTGCTGTATATGGTGATAGTTAATGTGAGAGACAGGATTTCAGGTCTTCTAAACGTTTGATTTCAAGCTAAATTTTTGAAATAGATCCATCCTGCTTTTGATTTGGAGCCACTCATTGTTGGCATAAGGGATTTTGATGATTAGAATGCTAAAATTGTGGAGCCAACAGTTCAGGCTGGCCTAGCTGAGAGTTGGACCATTTCTCTCTGACAGACTAGCTTCTGAGTAAACAAACTAAAACAATTGAGGACACCTCCCCTTATGTTAACATGTCCTTCAAAATTTTATCAAAATCTAATGAAATATTCTGCCTCACTTACAACATGACAATCAATTTATATGCTATCCTGAATGTTTTGTCCACAAAGCCCAGTTTATTTCATTAATGGAATATTTTTCCAGATTTTAATGGGAGGCTGTCAATTTTATGGAGAGGATCTAATGTGATGTCTTCCGCACCAGTTAAACAACAAAACAATGTAATGGAAATTCAGTAATTTGAAAAAGGGATTAAAATAATAAAAGTTTGATTTTGATTGTCATACCATATGGCTTAGATACTGACCAGTGATGTATTGTTAAAGTTTTTTTTTTACATCTGACGCACATGGTTTATTGTAAATACATACTAAAAGGGCGAGGCTAACCAATTGATTTATGTATTTTTATTACATGTATTATTAGAATTACTGCTCATGAAAGAGATCTATTGTCAGATGTTAGTCCAGGGTCTTTGGATTCCTTTTAATCAAAACTTGGGTAAAGTATAGGAATATTTTAATATAAATGAGCCATGTCATGATAAAACCAACATAATGGGTTTGCGACCAGCATGGATCCAGACCAGAGCTTTGACCATTCCTATCTCAGTTGTTTGTCAAACTTTATCAGTATATCTGGTAAATAATTTGTATATAAAGATAATGTTGATGATAAAAGTGCCATCAATTTGTCAGATCACTTTTACATTTATCAACATTGTTTTTATGTCTTTGAGGGTTCAGTGCATTTCTGTCATGATTTAAACTCCTGAATTCTTGAAATGAATTTGTCCAGTTCTGTAAATAAAAATGGCCATTATAATTTTTGGGGAATCAGTAGAGTTATTCACAAACGGGGAAAAAATAAGGTCACTTTTTTAATTTGTGAAAGTTGGGGAGACATGCGCTTTTTTACAAAAGCATCCTCTAGTTTAAATACTGTTACAAAAAAAACTTGCCTCTGCCACCAAGAGCTTGCAGACAAATTCTCGGCATTTTCATTTTTGAAAACTTTTTATCAACAGAGAGTCACAAATTGAAGGCAATGCAGATAACTCTTTAATAGGGTGGTGATTAATCAATATAGATATTGTTTTAATTCAGTTAGATACAGTCTGGTAAGTCATGAGTCATAAAATAGTATTGTGAAACAGAATTGATCTGAGCAAAATAATGTTGCAGGTCAGAGGAAGTCAATGGATGAACACCTGGCCCTGGCTGTCCTTAACCACTGGGAAGAGATCCCTAAAGTAGGCTGTAAACTGGTTCCCGAACACATTGAGACAAGGCCCTTGTACAACCCAGAGAAGCCGGGCATCGAACAGGTTTGTCATATTAGACTGCTTTACAAAAGAATTTTCAGTTGATTACACTCTGATCATAGTCCCAGACTGTGCACATGTCATAATTTTTTATGCTGTTACGCATCTTTTATGATATTCTGTGTTTTTGATCTAAAGTAAGCATATTTTCGGGCAATATTTTCAAAGTGACACGATTATGAAAGGTATTATCTTGCTATTTTTCTGTGTATGCTCACAACAGCCATATTAGGCTGAAATAGATAGTCTACTAATGCCATCTTTAATGGTTTATATTACTGAAAGTCTCCAGGTCTAAAATACAAATTATTACTTTTGAAAAGTAAAAAAATATTAAAATTGCAGGCTGCCAAAACCAAAATTTTAGACTGGTATAGAATTTTGCAAGACTGGTTCTTACGTTTGTATTATTTTATACATTTGGCTTTCAAGGATTTCTAAAAATGATTATTATTATAAAGGTATAATTTTCTTGAGAAAATTCTGGTTTGAAGAAACATTTTTTTTCTTTATTATTTTTAACTTTGAACCTTTGATGTCTGAGGTTTTAAAGAATCTGTATGAAAATAAAAACAGAAAAATGTGTATGTTCATGTTTAAAAATTATTATTTTTTTCTTTTTTAATCCCCAGGGTAAAATAGAGATGTGGGTTGATATGTTCCCAATGGACATGCCGGCCCCACCTCCAGCTGTGGAAATAAGTCCCAGGAAACCAAAAAGGTAACAAAACACCAGTGATATCAAACTAAAACCAAAATATGCAAGGGCTGTTTCGAAAAAAAAGATTTTAAAAAGTATATTTTGTACAGAAAACCAAAAGATAAAATGGTATTAATGGCATTGTTAATGGCATTGACGGTAAGTTCACAATCACTATGTTGACACCCCTTGTATATTTATGATATTTTAGATTTTACGACTTATTTTTGTGAATTCCCCATCTCTGTTTAAGATATGCCTTTAGTTACTCTGCAGAAATTAAAAGTAATAATCTTTTGCCACTGGTATAGCAGTCTGACCCAGCTCTATTGTGTTGGTTAAATAGCTTTAAATTTTCACCTTGAGCTCCCCAAAATTGACAAAAACGAAAGCTTGACAAGTCCATTTAAAAATACATGTATTATGCAAGTTAAGAGTAAAAAATGTTTATTTTGCCATGTTTCTTGAACCTATTCACTTTGCCTGCTATGAAAGCTATAAGTTAGACAATGATCTAAGATAGTATTCCAACCCTTACTTTATATGAAGACAAAGATATCAAGATAGTACTCCATCCCTTAGTAGACAAAGTTCCTAGCAAAGTACTTCACCCCTTACTTAATAAGTAGACTAAGTTCCTAAGATAGTACTTCACCACTTACTTTATTTAGTTAATAAGTAGACAAAGTTCCTAAGATAGTACTTCACTCCTTACTTTATAAGTAGACAAAGTTCTAAGATAGTACTTCACCCCTTACTTTTATAAGTAGACAAAGTTCCTAAGATAGTACTTCACCCCTTACTTTATAAGTAGACAAAGTTCCTAAGATAGTACTTCACCCCTTACTTTATAAGTAGACAAAGATCTAAGATAGTAATTCACCCCTTACTTTATATGAAGACAAAGATACCAAGATAGTACTCCATCCCTTACTTTATAGGTTAGTACTTCACCTCTGACTTTATAAGTAGACAAAGATTCTAAGATAAATTAAGAAAGCTTTTCTGTCTGTAATGAGATCAAAGTTATTCTCAGTAAATGCTTATGTTTACATCACTACATTGTCTGTGTTGTTACATTCAAATAAGAAAGTCTAATTTTTTACACGTTCGACCCTTGACATACTCGATAATCAAGTAACGCTTGTGCTCATTGTTTTTTTCCTGGCCTTTTTTTCTCAATTTTATTCTGAATTATAGACCAAAAAAGACAATTTGTGTTCATAATAATTCATAAATTGAATTGAAATCAAATTTGCAATGATAAAACATTACTTTTAAAGTCATATATCAAACGCGGCATTAAAAATACTATATCAAATGTGTCCAGTAAAACAGGAGAGCTGTCTGTTCTTGCCTCCTTTAGGAAGAGTATTCTCCTACCAGACGGTACCTAATCACGAAGTATATACATAGATATATTTATTGATGACAGAAAAGTGAAATTAAAGAAACTTAGAAGGAACATAAAATAGATTTTCTGACAGAAAAAAGATTAAACAGATGGGATTTTTAGAAATTAATTATTTTAAAAAATACCAAAACAAGATGGGTAAAACACCTACAAGATTGCTCTGATCTGTCAAATGTTTTACAAGCCATATGGTTTTAATTGTTTTTTTTTTCCTGCAGATATTTTTGTTCAAGGCAGATTTTTTATGAATTTTTATTGTTTGCTAGTTTATATGAATAAGAATTGAATAGGGTTCTTTTCTTTTCACTATATAATGGGGGCTTGTATAAGGACTTTAACAGTTTAAAAAAGTGTCCCTTCACTATCCAAAAATGCATGCTTCACAACTGTAAAAAATGCCCCTTTTACAGTAAAAAATTTGTTTTGTTTACTGCTACAAAACAAAAATAACAAAATTTCAAAGCTACATTTTAAAGCAGCACCTTGAACACTTAATAATTCCAAGTACAATTAATCTACAAGGTTGTTACAGCAATCTCAAACCTTTATGTTTTGCTTCTTACCAAATAAAGTAAGTTCTGATCAGTATCAGACTTCTTCTTAAAAAAAAGATTCTAAAACAGTTACTTCACAATTTCAATAAAAATGGTGTTTTTCATTAAATAGAAAAGCCTAGGATTCTTCGCAATTAACAGAAAAAGAGCCGTTTTAGTATAGGTTATTAATTTTAAAACTATTTAAAAAAATTTCAGCTATGAGTTACGCTGCATTATTTGGAACACTGACGATGTTGTCCTGGAGGATGATGCATTTTTCACGGGCGAAAAAATGTCCGATATTTATGTAAAAGGCTGGATTAAGGGTCAAGAAGATATGCAGTCCACAGACATACATTATAGGTAAGATTTTTGCATAAAAGATAAATGATTCTTGCATAAAATATTAAAGATTCTTGCATAAAACCTGGGCACCCAGGTATACATTAACGGAGACAAAAAAATGCATTAACAGATAAAATCATTTTAGCGCAGGATTTTAATTACGGATGACTCAAGGCACCATGTAAAAATACTGCAATGATAGCCCAGCAAAACCTCTCTAACAAAATTATACCCCACCCTCCCCCATTCCCCGGGAAAAACTAAAACAAAGCAAAAATATACTACGATTTTATCAATGAACTGTTATTTTTTGTTTCCTTAAAAGGAATGTAAAGTCTATTATTTCATGAAAAGGAACGATTTGGAACTTTCAAAGCATTAAAACAACTTTGCAAACAATATTTAAATGATGTGTAGGCGGAATGTAACAATACTGCATAATGAAGAACTAGTTTCTATAGCGGTTTTTATCCGGAAGTGGATGTTGTTCGGTAAAGGCTAAACCTGTAACGCCTGCGGAGATATAGCTTATAACTCTGTATACATTGCAAGCAATGTATACAAAAACAAACTGAGTTAACAAGATGATAGCATTTGATAGCATTATATTTTAAATCCTAGACAATAAGCATATATGGTGCTTCCAATAGATTTCATATGGCAGAAAATAACATAAGAAAAGTAAACATTTTATTTGTTTTTGTATTTTGATTACCATTTTGGTAATTGTTATGCCCATGACTGTGTACAATGTATATGGTATTTAAATTCATATTGTAACGGAGATATCAAAAGATTTTTCCAAATTAGCTAGCAAAATTCTGTTAAGAAATAGTAAGAAAGTGGTCTCCCTTGCACTAGATGTCTGTTGTTGAATTAGATAACATATATACAACTTTGAAATGTTATATAATATATATTGTTACCTCAGTATAAATGTACTATAAAAAATACACAAATTGCAGTTAAGGCTATGATCACATAAGTATTGTTGTCGTTTTTTTTTTCAAATTTGGTATTGTAATATTGTTTATAATTATATACATGTATATAATCAGTTCAATAAATACAAACACTTTTTTTTCTCGCTTTTGACGTTTTGTCTTCTGCAGAAAAAATTGAGCCTATAAAATAACAAGTATCTGTTCAACTATATGCTAAACGGAACGTGATGTAAACACGGAAATAAAACTTTGTCAAATAAAAACAGAATCTTTTAATACGAATACAGCAGCATAAAATACAGTTAATTTTTGTCACACAAAGTCGAGACTTGTTTTACGGCTTTAATGAAAGAAAGTAACAATACAAAATTATATGCTCTTTTTCCCTTCTTTTATTTACTGTATTAGTTTGAACAGATTAATATTACTTGGAAAATGTATAGTTGTGTCAGTGTCACCATTTTTATGGTGGCTCATATTATGATTGAAAATATTGATAAAGCCAATATAATCTGTTTTTAATTGAAAATTAATTCAACATTGTAGATAAATTGTTTAAAAAATGATATTTTATAAATAGTGAAATATCCAGCCAAAATCACACCCAAATTGTATAAAATTTTCACCATTTTCACGCTTAATATTAAATAGAATTTTCATACAAAAATTCATTAAATTAAATTTTGATATAAAAATCACAGCTAAAAATTTCACAATATAAAACGAAAATTTAAAAATCACTCCAAGTTGAATTAAATTTTCAGACTTAATTGCAATAAATAAAATGCATTTTTATTTCTTAATTATAAATCTTGTCAATTAAATTTTTTGACACTAGTTTTTTTTTAATGTAATATTAAACATTGTGTTTTTAGTTTTCTACATCATTCAGGAAACTGTTTTTAATGATTTAATGTAATACTGAATTTTTTTTTCTGACACCAAAGAAAAATTGTTGAAATATATGGCATTTGTACCTGACCTTCATGTATATGGTCTGCGATGTACCCTCGCATGAAACCGGAGCACTGTTTGCATTATATTAGAATTCTCAGATGAGAATAGATAAATTGATTTTCCGCTTGATGATTTAGGTACAAAGCAAGTGGAATAATTACGTGGCCTAAAATTAATTTGCTCATTCAGAATTCCGACATACGATCCATCCAGCCTTTGCAAGAACTAATGTTTGGTCTATGGAGAATTCTTATTATGTTTTCCTGTAAATTACAATGGATTAGGAGTGATTTTATGCTCAATATAAAATAAGGAAACTATAATATGATTCTTCTGAAACAAACAAAGCCTTTTTTTTTAGCGTTAGCAATAAACATCTATGGTCATTTTTAAATTGTACAATTTGTTTAAGCTATATATCTACTGCAAAAATTATTATTTTAATTTTAAAAAAGTATGCTTTCAAAATGCTTGTGAGAAGGAAATATGGTAGTAATTGCCTTTAAAGTGAATGAATGACACAAACTGGTCTGTGCTTAACAGATACAACCATTCTTAAAATTGGGTGGGGAGGGGGGAGAGTATTTTGTTCCAGAATATTTTATTCTATTTATGTTCAATATCCATGTGTGTAACATTCTATGGAACAGATAAACTTCTGTACATGCCATAGTACAGGTACAGCGTGAATGACTGTAGAAAGGATTTCATGACCAATCGTAACGATAGTGACTTACTCCTTCCGGGAATCAAACCTGGGTAAATTCCCGATTCACAATCCAAAGCTCTACCTATTGAGCTAACTGGATGCCTTATTGGCCATTAAAATTTTAAAAACTGATTATTGATTCAGAAATATCATGAATGGTGAGATGTAAAGCTGAATTGTATTTTGGCTTGTTTAGATGTCACATCAAAAATATATGCACAATCGTGCAATACAATTCAACAGTCTCAAAAGTGGCATGGGTACGGTATGTGATAAAAAGAATGAGCAGTATAGTGATATTTGTATGCTTGACCGTTTTAGTTCAGGACAACTTGAGTGAATTGGATGTACTTAAATCTTCAGTTCTTGTTGAATTATACATGACATCACCAGTATGTTGTCAAAAAAAAAGTTATAATTAAAAGTCAACTTTATTTGATTTCTGTGATGTCAAATACTTATGTGTCATGCATTTTGCTCTGTGTCCGACCCTAAACTTGATGCTTACTGTCTGGGTAAACAAAATAATTTTTGAAAATAAAATAAATATTTCAAACCACAAGAACTAAAATTGTTAGATGCCAAACATATTTATATATAAAGATATCATACTGAAAAAAAAATGTTCTGTTATCATAAATGTCAAATGTGTGACATATAAACCGTAGGTTTTAGTTTTCCTACATAGACGATTCAAAGCGCAGTTGTATGCAGTTTGTAAAATCATGTCAGTGTTCCTTTTATTTTCCACAATATTTTGTTACCGTAAATTAATGACAATACTTAAATAGTTATTAATGTCATTGTAAAAAGAAACATCTTAAAAAAATTTCAACCAATAAGAAACACATTTTTCATTTTGGAAATTAAAATTTTTCATTAAATGTGAACTTTGATCGTAAGCATTTTGTAAAGACATTAAAATTGTTTAAAATGTTTCCCGATTTTGACAAAGAGACAAATTGCTTAATATGTACACCTGCATCATCACATAGAAGGTCAAACATCGCGCTTGAAAATACCGCCTTATTTGATATTACTTTCACGACTTTGGTTAGAGGATACGCATAAAAACATAGACGATACCTCAAAACTCACCGTTTTGTACGCTTTTTAAACATTTTTTTGAAACAAAGTTGTCAAACGTTCATATCTTATTTCTGTACCATTTAGGCTAAGGATGCAAACAGAACATCTTCCATATGAAACTGTTGCTATTTGATATTAAATGCTCAGTCAGTCAGAAATATACGTGTTGAAATATAAGAATGGTTGAAAGACCGATGAGAAATAAAATTTTCTGCAAATAATCGTAATGCGCCATCGTTGCGAAAATGTGCAGATGTCATGAAATGAAAAAAAATGCTATCTTCAAACAAGAAAGAGTATTAATATTCCTTGACTGGCAGCCGTAAAATGTTCACGATTAATTTTTTTTCAAGTCATTTCAAGTAATAATAATAATAAAAAAAATGAGAAAAAAATTCTACCATATCCAGATCCATAAATATATTTCTTGAATAAATAATAAAAAGAATAATAAATTTTTAAAAAAGGTACTTTAAATGACAATGCACTTTGTGTAAAGTACGTTGATAGAATGTTATTGTTAGTAGGGACGATAGATGAGTTATAATCCATTTAAGAGAAAGAAAGCAACACGGTAAATCATAAATATTCAACGATAAGAAAATATTCTTATTGAAAATATGTTGACAGGAAATTAGTCAAACTACGGGCAAAAATAGGTGACAGTACATAAAAGGATAAATCAGTTTTAAGCGTTTTCAAAGCCGGAGTAATCTTTACTGAAACTTTTTGGCGGATTTGTAAAATCGAACAATGCAAACTCGAATGGATTATAAGATAACTGTAGATAATCGTTAAAGAAAGTTGTGATTTATTCATTTTAGCTACCCCTTAATAAAATGTAACCCAATCTTTTAAACAACGGCCTTTTGTATGGTTTGGAAATAAAATGTCAGATAGGAAGAAAAAGCCATATTTTCAACACTTTTTATGTTCTTTTAACCTTAATTATGGTAATGACATGCAAAATAGGAAATTTCTTAATACTAGCTTTTTGAAAAGGTGATGTAAATAAATAAACAGGTACAGTTGGAAAATTATAGAATTCTTTGTATTTACAAATATAATGAAAAGAAATAAAAAACGTTAATTATTACCTTTCTTTACAGTATATTAAATATATTTTTTGTGAGCGGGGGGGGGGGGGGGGAGTGAAAGAAATGAATTGTTAATATTTTAATATGCTTATATTTTCTTTGGGACTTGTTAGAACACCCTTTCAGACAATCATCAAATATTTCATTCACTTGTTTATTTCAAGGTATTCAAAATTGTATACTTCTGTATTTGATTAAAAAAAAAGAAGAACCTTGACAAAATTAATATTTCTACTGCCATGCCAAAAATATATTAAAATTTTATCATTAATTATTGTAATGTTTATAATAAAATGATAAAATTAAGTACGGTAAATAGAAACTTGGTTTTGAAGTCATCAGGGTGTTGGTACAAAAAATAAGATTATTTTTATTTTCACATCAGGCCCATATTGTATATTGATAATTTACTTCACTTTATTTAAATTTATTAATGTCTGTGTTTCAACAATGTATAAAAAAAGAATTTCTTTTAAAGCAAACCACAAGAAAATTAATCAGATCTTTAGTAATAATTTTAAAATTATGCACAATTTGTATTCTTTTTACCTTCTGGATGCTTTTCACAATAATAGCCTAGTGGTACCCTCTTAGATAAATTACAGCATCATATCCTAGTCTTTCATTTTTTATTATACAATCTTTTAAATTAACAATGGATTGTTCCAGTTACAAAATGAGTCAAATCCATTCAAAAACAACAGGTTAAAAGGTCAAAATGTTTCAGAAATATAGAGAAAAATAGCAAGAATTATATAAAAATTTAAAAAGTTGCTTTATGAGATAAAAAAACAACATGTAAAAAAAAAAAATTGTTTACGCACCACTTCTAAAAATTAACAGACACAAACATGTGAAAAGGTCTACCAAAAGTTATAAATATTATTGTGTACAATATCATATGTGTTACATAATACATGTACATATTTATCTACTTCAGGTCTCTGACAGGGGAAGGTAACTTTAACTGGAGATTTATATTTCCCTTCGATTATCTGGTTGCCGAGGAGAAGATCGTGATCTCAAGGAAAGAGACTTTGTTTTCCTGGGATGAGACTGAAACTAAAATACCAGCACGACTGAATCTCCAGGTCTGGGACGCAGATCATTTCTCAGCAGACGACTTCCTAGGTAAAGTCATAAAGTAGTTCGTAGAAATTATTCACCAAAACCTGAAAGTTGTCTCTTAATGGCCTTTTCTTGTCAATTCTCTCACAGTTCATCTTAGAGATTCAAACCTTCTCTTACATACAATCTTTATGTGCAGATTTTGTAAAAGACAAAGTAGGCACTATTGTTATTTTAAACAAACATTTGTACATAAAAGAAGGCTTAAGACAAGTTTATTATACACCTTTTGCATAAAATTTAACACAAAAAAAAAACACAGAAAATTATGCGCAGAACGAAGAATTTCCTATCTGACTTGAACTCACCTCAATTGAGACATTGCAGAGCACCAACCTTTTACATTCCTCCAAAAATACATAAACCAAACAATTCAGACAGAGACCACAATGTGCAGACCGTAGAATTGAATATAAAAAACACATAAAGCTACATAACCTAGGTCTAAATTATTACTGGTAACAATTGATATAACAGCACTGTACTTGTCCATTCCAAATATGAGCATGGCATCATGGCATTAAAAAAATAAAGACTCCACACAAGACTAAATCAAGCAAAAGACATGGATCCCCTTATGGCTTATGCTGTAAATACTTTCATAGACGTGCTTCCAATTTAATGGGGGATTTTTTAAGAGCAAATCTTTGGCACTACATTGGGCGCAAAGTATGCACCAAGATATTACATGTTCTTCATATATTCAATTGCAAAGGTCAGCTCACACAACAGCAAAAAAAGCCAGTTTCCCCAAGTTTCAATACGGCAAATCACTCAGTAAAAGACATGGACATGTCATACAATGGTAAAATAGTGATGAAAACAAAACGTTATGTTAAGAGGAAGTATGGGTAAAAAAAGATTTGTGCAACAACGCTGTTGGGAATGAACCTGATCCAGGGATAGATTGGAAAGAAGAGATTTTCATTGCTACAAAACTGATTTGCGAGGAAGGGGAAAAAAGGATAATAAAATTTTTGTAAAATTTGTGGAGAAACTGTCCGTGCAATGAAGATTAATTGAAAATACTTACCACAAGCAAAATCAAAGTGCTGCAGCACTGAATGCGACGGACATGCAACCGGAGAGACACCAAGGCTTCTTTTAGAAAAACAAAACAAAATAAAAACAAAACACAAAATATATAACAGAGAAAATTTGTTCCATACAAGTTCGAGATTTGTAGAGCAATATATTTTGTGTCCCAAATTGATATAATTCAGATTTTCTACTTTCAAGCACTTAAATACAGAATGAAATTTATGCCTAAAAACTCTGGTCAAACTTGTAAATCAGTGTCCTTATCGATTTATTCTAAGAAATGATATGTAAATAGAAAAAAAAACTATCAACGAAATATTTCTAGAATAAATCCAGGCAAATAAACTTCAAACATAATACATTGTACATTTGAGAATGCTATTTAGAATTGCTTCGTGTTATATCATAGTGGGCATACAGACAATAAAATATAAGTCATTCGTATTTTTATTTCTCTTGGATATGTCTCATTAAAAAAAAAATGGTTAAAATCATCGGCAATTAATAGTGTATTTCTTAGATTTTTTTATTTACAAGGTAAAGATGTAGAGGCCAGAGCACATCGTTTTTATTTTAATTTAAATGTCACTTAAGCACTACAGTGTTTAGTTGTCCTTTTCAACTTCACACTAAATTCCATTTTCAACTTGTTTGCTTCTTACAATTGTATAGCATTTCTAAAACTATTGCATTACAATCCGCTGGTTGTACTTCCTAATCGCCTGTCCAAAAATCAGAACAGGTAAAGCAGAATCTATTTTTAGAATATCGAAGGTTAACTCATATCATGACCTAGTAAAATATGTAAACAAACCACAAGAATCGGAAGTAGAACTGATATTATAACTTCCTTACCATGATTTCAAGACTACATGGCGGTAAAGTGTCTTACATGCATTTTCAAAAATAGATATTTATACTAGCCATTGAACTGTATCTAATATATTAATAACTGCTGAATATTCAGCTAAACCCGCGGTATGAGTCACGAAAATAGTTCTTCTTTTATTAATGCGCGAGTTATCCTAGAGTCACGAAAACTTTTGATTTGTTAATAATAATGTTTTGTATAATGTAGAAATATTTATTTCCTACTAATAATGTCTTGGAACTCAGAGGTTACACTTTATTGTAGTATAATTTGCTGTCCTACTTTTTCGACAGCGGTAAATCGTTTCAGCAGTAATTTGCATATTGCACAATAATACTACGGGACTACAACGTTTTTATCAATAATATACGTTCATATTTTAACTTGGATAACTTAATTTGAAATTGAAAAGGCTAAATATGGAAGACATTAAGATATCCAGACAAAGTATGGGAGTTTTGAAGGATCAAATTCATGTACTATTTCTTGGGCTGTTAATTGGTTTAGGACACATTGCGCGAGTGTAGCCAACGAAATCCCATGTGTAGATGACTTAGCTCTGAACGCGCCTGAGGGCGCGTCCGTCGCAAAAATGAAGAAAATAATAAGGATACAACTAACATTTTATACAACAACAAAAAAAAAAAAAAGAAGAAAAAAAACTGAATTATAAAATAATTTGTTAAATAAAAACAAAAATGTTATGCACATGAGATTCAACAACAGACTTGGCTCTATTTTTAGAATTATGGTTCTATTTTTAGTAACATTCAAATAACATCCCACTTCAGAAACAGATTTTCTGTATAAAGGGTAGTACATACCTGAACTTAGTTTGTGATTAATAAATTTATAAACCTGTCTTGACATTCAAGTGTGTTCCTCTAACATTAGTTTATTTGCGAGTTAAAGTAATTTACTTATAACATTTATAGTAATAATAATATTTATTCATGAAAATGAAAAGCTTTTTTAGAAAAAATTTTAAAGCTGCATGCCTCAAGATGAGCAAAAATATTTCAAGAAAATAAAACTTGAGAAAAATGTAAATGTCTAAGAAAAGCAAAAAGATTCAAGTAATAATCTTCATGTTATAAAATATGTGGGATAAATGACTGATTTTGTAGATTTTGCACCATATTTCTACTGTGTGACTTAAACACAGTAAGGGCTATTTTTACCTAGTATTGACCTGTTTTTGGTAATTTATGTGAATTATATGTGTTGTTTGAAATGTGTAAATTATTTACTTTGTTCACTCCAAATGTTGTACTTTTAAATACATTTTCAAAATATTCATGAAAATTGGCATGAATCTGGAGGCAAATGCTGCTTGAATAAGAATTAATGAAAAATGTTGTGATTAATTAATAAATATTTATTACATGAAATTTTGCATTAACGAAATAACTCTTTCAAAATAGAAAAAAAAATCTTTAAAATTTGCTGCCAAATATGTGCCACATTCCATTCTTTTTTTATTTTTAGGTGCATTGACTTTGGATCTAAACAGGTTTCCAAGGGGAGCTAAATCATCAAAGTTATGTACGTTGAACATGTTAAAGAATGATGGAAGTGTTCCACAGATGTCTTTATTTAAGCAGAAACGAGTAAAAGGATGGTGGCCATTTGCTGTGAAAAATGAGCAGACGGATGAGCTGGAATTGACGGTAAGAATAATTTTTTTTTTAATTCATGCAACGTAAATTGCAAATTTTGATACAGAAAATATAAGACCTCTTTTTTGTGGGAATGGTTTTGTACTGTGTTGTTATTAAAACATTTTCAAGAGCTTTCCCAGTAAATTGTTTTTCTATCCATGAACAGGCTCAATCAAACTGACCCTGTAACATTTAATTTTCACTGTTTTAGACATTTGTTAGGATTCTTTATTATCCCCCGCCGAAAAATTTCAGCGGAGGATATAGAAATAGTCTCCGTCCGTCCGACCTTCCTTCCGTCCGTCCTTCTGTCCGACATTTTTGTCCGGAGCATATCTCTAAAAGTATTTGAGTTATCACCTTGAAACTTCATAGGTGGATAGACCTCATTGAGGAGGAGTGCAGTGCACAAGAATGATAACTCTACCTTGCATGATTTTTGAGTTATTGCTCTTTGTTATTTTTCAAAATTGATTTTTGTCCAGAGCATAACTCCAAAAGCCTATGAGATATTAACATGAAACTTCATAGGTGCATAGATCTCACTCAGGAGGTGTGCAGTGCACAAGAATGATAACTCTACCTTTCATAATTTTTGAGTTATTGCCCTTTGTTATTTTTCATACCTAATTTTTTAACCTGAGTGGAGCATAACTCAAAAAGTGTTTGAGATATCAAGATGAAATGTCATAGGTGGATAGATCTTATTGAGGAGGAATGTTGTGCGCAGGAATGATAACTCTTCCCTATACAATTTTTGAGTTATTGCCCTTTGTTTTTTTTTCATGCTTTTTTGTCCAGAGCTTATCTCAAAAAGTATTTGAGGTATCAACTTGAAACTTCATAGGTGGATGGATCTCCTTGAGGAGGAGTGCATTGCACAAGAATGATAACTCTACCCTGCATTATTTTTGAGTTATTGCCCTTTGTTATTTTTCAAAATTAATTTTTGTCCAGAGCATAACTCAAAAAGCCTTTGAGATATCAAAATGAAACTTCATAGGTGCATAGATCTCACTCAGGAGGTGTGCACTGCACAAGAATGATAACTCTACCTTTTATAATTTTTGAGTTATTGCCCTTTGTTCTTTTCATACTTTTTTCAATTCAATTTTTTTCTCAAAAAGTATTTGATTTCATAGGTGGATAGATTTTACTGAGGAGGGATGCAGCACACAAGAATGATAACCTACCCTGCATATTTTCAGTAATTGCCCTTTGTTATTTTCAGCCATCAGTATTCACATAGGTTTCAAATCTGTAATCACTATAGCCATCAGTTTTCATTACCAAAAGACCTCTTTAAATGGAATTATTCCGCTCTACTACATATACATTCTTCCAATGAGCAAACACATTCGGCGGGGGATGGCCATGTTGACATGGCTCTTGTTTCTCTTTATTTTACTGAATAGAAATAACTATTGCACAAGCTTCCAATTTTCAAGTATATTATTTTAAATGCAAAATGCAAACATGGATGAAAAAATGATTACGTGTATAATACTGAGCACGCATATAATGATTTCAATGCATTTATTTGTGTTGCATCGGATACGCATACATTAACCATATCGTTCATGCACAATTCACAAGTTGTACATTCAATTATTCCATTCAAACATTTATTTTACTGAAATGATAAAAAATTGATTGCTGAAGAGGTATTCTTATTTCATTACAAATATCAAATATTTACCAAAATTTACTAGGACAACCCTTGTATATTACAAAAATTCTCGAACATTTGGCTAGCTTTATACAAAGTCATGTATAGATAAAAGGAAAAAATCATGGTATTTATGTAATGAGATTTTTTTTTCCAAAAAATTATCAGAGAATTTGAAATTTTTTTATTTATTTATTTTTTTTTTTTTTTGAAAACCGGACACTTATGTGCTTAACTATATGAGAGGGTCTTATTTACATCAGATTGCAGTCAAATAAGAAATACAGACAAAGGTCTTCAAAATATCATTTATTATACAGTAAAAGATAAAGAAAAAATTGACCATAAATTCAAAAACTTTTGTAATTTACTTTTTGTAAATTGAGGAAACTTGACTTTTATGGACAGAAAGTTTTATATGACAGTAAAATTAGTGAAACTACAAAAGATTAGGGAACCGGCAACACAATGTGATATTAAATTATGAAAAATGAAAGTTTCTCGTTTTACGAAGGCCATCACCTGCCCTGCAAAGGTGTGGGATAGTACCACCATAGGGATAAACTACAATGTGTTATTAGATACAAAACATGTTTTCAGGGGTGCTCTTTTTGTTGGGGGTATGGGATCAATTTTTTTGGCTTTATTTAAAAAAAAATGTTTTTGTCATGAGGAACATGGTTTGTTCCTCTGTATGAAGACTTTGTATATGTTCAGTTGAGCCGTGTCATGACAAAACCAAAATAATGGGTTTGCGACCAGCATGGATCCAGACCAGCCTGCGCATCCGCGCAGTCTGATCAGGATCCATGCTGTTCGCTTACAAACCGTATTACAAGTAGAGAAACTGACAGCGAACAGCATGGATCCTGATCAGACTGCGCGGATGCGCAGGCTGGTCTGGATTCATGCTGGTGGCAAACCCATTACGTTGGTTTTGTCGTGACGCAGCTCAGTTTTAGCCTCACATAATTATGTTTGTAGTGTGAGGGCACAAAAAAATAAGATTTTTGCTGTCCAGTACGGACCAAGGACATGCTACAAGTTATGCCCTTAAAGGGTTAATTTTTTAAGCACAAATTGGTGGCAATTTACCTCCATGAGTATTAGCCAAAGATATGAATGTTGATCTAAATTAGGTCACGGTAAGACCTAAAATTTAGTGTACAGTAACCTGAGAGAATAAAAGAAAAGGAGGAAGTCCTTTAAATTTAATGGGCTGTTGGTGCCAAGCAAAGGGCCTGCTTTTCAAGCTGTCACACTCTGTACTAGTACAGTACTCACGCACCCAAGCTGTTTAACCTCTCATGATTTTAAAATCTATTCTTAGTGAATGAAGTGCTTTGAAATTATCATATTTTTTTATAAAAACATTTTTCACCGTCATCATTTAATAGGTTGATATAAAACAATTTATCATGTCATGATCCTAGAGATTTAAGCTGTAATAACTTTTTCATTTTCTTAAAAAATATCAAATTTCAAACTTAATGGTAACTTTACAATATAACGGATGATTTTTTTTTAGAGTAAAACTCTCCCCATTAACCATTGAATTGTTTTTAACGGCTAAAATATGTTTCAAACTTAATAAGGGTTATATAATTACTGATTAACAAAGAAATTAAAGTGTTAATTAAATTCTGTCATTTGAGTTTGTTAAAAATTAACGTGATGAAAAGATACCCGCAGCGGTAATTGTATATCTGTGCTACCAGCATAAAACCGGACCAATCAGTGCTTCAACAGTTGTTGCGTAATTTTGCCATTCCGTAAGTTGCAAATTCGCAGCTACAAAAATCCATAGCAAAAATGTGGCAGGATATAAGGGTAAAAACGAAAAAAAATGCCTCCTTAATGAAGGAAAACAATGAAAATAATTTGAAAGAAGTAACATCAGGAGTGAAGTGGGTAGATTTTTATTCCTTTCATTTCATTTGCCAGATGACACTGGCGATTGTGGGAGTGATTAGCAAATTGTGTGTTTTTGATGTAAATTATTGCATTGTTGTTTGCGTTGTTTAAACTGATGTTACCACAGAACATTTAATTAGTGAAGATTAGGCGAGATAAAATAACAATATATTCCCAGCTTAATGTCTCGGCCATGTTGTATTTGCATATTTGGACCTATTGTTTTTGGACCCCTGTGTCCGTCGTCCGTCGTCGTGCGTCGTCAACTTTTCACATAAACAACATCTCCTCTGAAACCAATGACTGCACATCAACCAAACTTTGCAGAAATGATCCTTGGGTGGTCCCCTTTCAAAGTTGTTCAAATGGTTCCGGTCTGTTGCATATGTAGGTCACAGGGCCAGAAAAGGATTTCAAAAAACACAAAATTAAAAAATCTTCTTGTCTGAAAGTACATGGGCCAGAGCTTTGATTTTTGGTATATGGTATCATCTATGGGTCCTCTACCAAAGTTGTTCAAATTTTGTCCCTAGTGTCAAAATTGGCCCCGCCCCGGGGGGGTCATAGGTTTTTCCTTATATGTCTATAGGTAAATCTAAAAAAAATCTTCTTCTCTGATTTGGCAAAGGCTACAGATTAGATATTTGGCATGAAACATTGTGTAGTAGACCTCTATCAAGTTTGTTCAAATAATGGCCCTAGGGTCAAAATTGGCCCCGCCCTGGGGGGTCATTGATTTTCATTACATACATATAGTGAAAACTTGAAAAAATCTTCTGGTCTGAAAGTAAATGGCCTAGAGCTTTGATTTTTGGTATATGGTATCATCTATGGGTCCTCTACCAAAGTTGTTCAAATTTTGTCCCTAGTGTCAAAATTGGCTCCGCCCCGGGGGTCATAGGTTTTTCCTTATATGTATATAGTAAAATCTAAAAAATCTTCTTCTCTGATTTGGCAAAGGCTACAGATTAGATATTTGGCATGAAACATTGTGTAGTAGACCTCTATCAAGATTGTTGAAATAATGGCCCTAGGGTCAAAATTGGTCCCGCCCCGGGGGTTCATTGATTTTTATTACATACATATAGTGAAAACTTGAAAAATCTTCTGGTCTGAAAGTAAATGGCCTAGAGCTTTGATATTTGGTCTATGGTATCATCTGAAGGTCCAATACCAAAGTTGTACAAATTTTGTCCCTAGTGTCAAAATTGGCCCCACCCCGGGGGGTCATAGGTTTCTAAATATGTATATAGTAAAACATAAAAAATCTTCTTCTCTGAATTGGCAAAGGCTACAGGTAAGATATTTGGCATGAAACATTGTGTGGTAGACCTTTACCAAAATTGTTCAAATAATGGCCCTCGGGTCAAAATTGGCCCCGCCCTCGGGGGTCATTGATTTTCATTATATACATATAGTGAAAAACTTGAAAAATCTTATGGTCTGAAAGTAAATGGCCTAGAGCTTTTGATATTTGGTATATGGTAATCATCTATAGATCCAAAACCAAAGTTGTTCAAATTTTGTTCCTAGAATTAAAATCGGCCCCGCCCTGGGGGTCATTGATTTTCCTTATATGTATATAGTAAAAACTTAAAAAATCTTCTTTTAAAGAACCCAAAGAGCTAGAGCTAAGATATTTAGCATAAAACATCTTCTAATGGGTGTCTACCAAGTTTGTTCAAATAAAAGCCCTGGGGTCAAAATTGGCCCCGCCCCAGGGGGTCATTGATTTTCCCTATATGCATATAGTAAAACTAAAAAAAATTTCTTTAAAAGAACCCAAAGAGCTAGAGCTAAGATATTTAGCATGAAACATGTTCTAATGGATGTCTACCATGTTCGTTCAAATAAGAGCACTGGGGTCAAAATTGGCCCCGCCCCGGGGGTCATTCATTAGCTCAACTTTTTTTTTTAGATATATACATATTATATATATACATACATATATATATATATACATAAATATATATATATATATACATATATTATATATATATATATATATTATATATATATCTTAATATATATATATGTATGTATATATATATATATGTAAGGAACCAATATTGTGTATGTATATATATTATATATAAAATATATATATATATATATAATATATATATATATATATATACACATACATACACACACACACACACACACATATATATATATATATATATATATATATCTTATATATATATATGTATGTATATTATATATGTAAGGAACCAATATTGTGTATGTATATATATTATATATAAAATATATATATATATATATATATATATATATATATATATATATATATATATATATATATATATATATATATATATATAGACATAAAAAATCTTCTTTTAGAAAACCCAATAAGCTAGACCTTAGATGTTTAGCATGAAACATCTTCTAATGGGGTGTCAACCAAGTTTGTTCAAATAAAAGCCCTGGGGTTTAAACTGGCCCCGCTCCGGGGGGCCTATATACAGGTGAGCGACTTTGGGCCATCATGGCCCTCTTGTTCAATAATGGTAAGAGTGCATGGGTACTTTTTTATTTGCAATAAAGCAGATCGGCTGTTTACAGTGTAAGAAGCCCAAAATACAATACCTTATTAGGTCATAAAGATTTTCAAAAAATGAGTATATGATACATAGAGTTCTCTTAATTACTTTCCGGTATGTACAAATGTACTGTACTGACAGATTCCCGGATAAGGAAATAATTGATGGTTAATAAGCATAAAATTCTTTTAATATTTATTCAATTAGATAAATAAAAAATATCAGATGTGTCGAGTAACATGTGTATATAAGTGCCTTTATCTTGTGAATTATCGTATATAATAATTCATTTTACGGGCGAGTATTGAGTTTTGGAAGATGTCATTGTTAAAACGAGAACAATCGGGCATTGTTTTTGAACAGGTTGTATTGATCTGTCCTCATGACAATAGTTTTAGATCAATTATCTGAACAAGAAAGGTCATTAATTCATTCATGGAAAATGATTTCATATTATTTATTTATTTGTTTGGCGTTTATTTTGTGCAAACTTGTATTGTAAGTTTAGGTATTGTTGTTATTAGAGTGCAAACTTTTAACCAAATGTTTCTGAAATAGATTGAGCAAAAAGTGTTTCGTACTAACTTAAATAGTTTTAGTTTTCTGTTTTTAGACTTCACTCTTATCCTAATTTCAGACTAGGCCCTACCTTCTACAAAAGAAAAATTCCTTTATAGTCTGCCCTAAAATGGATATTACTTTATAAAGTCAGACCTAAAATAGATATTACTTTTATTTCTCAATTTCTTATTTTCTCAAGCATCAGTCTTCCCCCTGTTTTTGATTCATTTTAGAATTTCTTTCTGAGTTCCAATCTGTATAAACTTTGCTTCTTTGACAAGTGGTTCATTAAGCGTATTAAACTTGTCATGATTTTGAATATAGAATTGTCTTGTATTGGTTTTAAAGGATTTTAAGATGAAAATTCTCATATTTAAACTGAACTAAATTTAACCTTTACCCTCTTTGAACAGGAAGTGTTTAGCCTTCGCCACCAGAATAGAGCCTGGTTTATACAGCCAGACTAGGCTCTATTCTGGTGGCTGACCAGTATAAAATATTAGTCCTAATATCCGCAAATTGATCATTGACAATTCCCAAAATGGTAGCTGTACAAGTCACATTTTATCCATTCCCACCTAAAGCTGAATAGAGTGCCATTATGGATAGACACATGCAAGAAGGTTTAGGGCAAATAAAGTCTGGTAGAATAGCCTTATTAAACTTTTGTACTGGTGTTTTAGGTAGAACAGCCTTATCTAATTCATACAAATTTATTTTAATTTGATTGTGTTGAAAGCTTTAAGCTAATTGAAACACCCTCTAATCCATCCTTGGGACCAACCAGTACTTAGCAATGAATGTAAAGTTTGTTACTCAAGAAAACATTGGCTTGCCCCTGACTGGGTCTGAACCCACGTTGTCAGCAATCCTTAAATTACTAGTCTGACGCATTAACCACTCGGCCATACCGCCACTCAACAGCCTCATTTGACTCTTGTACTGATGTTTTGAGGCTTTGGTTCTGGTTGAACAGCTTTATTTGACACTTGAACTGGACGCTTGTACTGAATTTTTAGGGCTTTCTATTTTTGCTTCTACCCTAGTATACTGATGTCATAGTGTTTCATTATTTTGGCTGTTGCCAAGGAAGCTGATATTGGTGTTTACCATTTTCAGGGTAAAGTTGAAGCAGAAATGCACCTGTTTACATCAGATGAGGCTGAGAAACACCCTGCTGGTCAGGGTAGAAATGAACCAGACCCATTGGAGAAACCAAAGTATGTCAGTTATACTAAAACATTTTGTCTTACATTGTATTTTTCTTTTAAACATATATCATATACAAAGGAATAATTTGTTCACTAAATAAAAGAGTTATTAATGTTCATCACTTTGCATGTAAATTTATTTCATTATTTTATATCAACAAAACCATAAAGTATGTTAACTTGATATGTATGTACATCTTTTAAGCACTTTTTGTTTCCTAGTTCACCTTTTGCTCAAATTTTGCAAAGGACTTTTTTGATGTGCATAGATTTATTAATCTCTGTCTTATTATACATTATTCTTTTTGTTCAAGTTATTGAAAATATCTTTATAATTATTCATTTACTGTTTTATTGAGTTCATATAATTAGAATTATATTCACTTTCTTGGCATTACTTTATTTTGTTGAACACATCATCATATATATCATTATGCACCATTTTTATTTCCAGTCGACCAGACGGATCGTTTATTTGGTTCTTGAACCCGCTGAAGTCAATTCGCTATATACTCTGGCATAACTACAAGTGGATGATCATAAAAATCCTCATTATTTTACTGTTAGCAGCACTTCTCGTTTTGTTCTTCTACGCGATGCCAGGATATACTGTGAAAAAGATGTTTAACGTTTAAGTTGCCAAAAAAAATTCCAAAAAATGTGTTTAATTTTCTTAGTGATCATGACTTAGATACAGCTGTGTTCATTTTTTGTTCCTTTTTTAAGACATTGCATGAAGTTACATCCACCTTCTGCTCATTCATTCATTTATTTTCAACAAATTGTTTTCCAGTCGACCAGATGGATCGTTTATCTGGTTCTTGAACCCGCTGAAGTCAATTCGCTACATTCTCTGGCATAACTACAAGTGGATGATTCTGAAAGTCCTTATTATCTTATTGTTAGCAGCACTTCTTGTGTTATTTTTCTACGCAATGCCAGGATATGCAGTAAAGAAAATCTTCAATGCTTAGAATAACTGACTTATTTTGGCTTTATTAGTAAAACCAGTGAAACAGATCATAGCAAATTTGCAGGCTATATAGTGAAAACAATATAGCAGGAATTGGATATCCTTGTGGTACACCAGAACATATATGTGATCAAAATCTGTGTAAAATTAGCAAACCACCTTTATTTATGTGTGAATGAGACTTGTTAGTGTTATGTCAAAGAGGAATTTTCCTTCAGAGTGTGCAATATTGGTTGATTTATTGATATTGAACTTTAGCTTGTTCTACAAAATGTCTTCATAGCAAATGTGAGGAGTAAAAAACAGTTAATAGTTATAGTGCAATAGAGCTGTGTAATTGATGCAAGATTTCTTCTTAAATGTGTGTTACCATTTTTTCAGTATCTATTTCTTAAATGAGCTATTATTACAAAGCTCATCAGTTTTGGTATTTTGAAAAGTTTTCATTTCTAAATAAAAAATCAGTTATTCTTATTACTAAATATTGGTTTTAGTCTTTTTTGTATTTTGTCATAATTTTCTAAAGTTGTTCATTGATCACAGTAGTGAACAATCAGATGAGGTATGTTTGAACGTCAAGATTTTATAATATTTACAAAATGTTTGAACAAGGTCTAGTAAATTATTCATGAAAAAAAGATATGACAATAACAAACTACAGACCTTGTGGTAAGTGATAATTTATTATTAGCAAATTATCTTGTATTAATAAAATACATATACTGTATTTAGATCTACTTGCATTTGATACAAACATTTTAATCTTCGGTCTTAAGTCAGTTAGATCATATGATACAAGTCTTATAACTGAACCAGAACAATGAATGAGAAGTATTGAACATCAAAAAGGATTATAATCCTTATAAAATGGAGACCCGACTTATAAACAACGTCTTGTAAGCAAGTACTAGTTAATTAAAATCATGTATAGTAAATGTACATGTATATGGTATGAATAAAATACAAAACATTTTGAGATTTTCTTGTAGAGGATTTTAGTGAAATTTTTATGCCTGAAATCATATTTGGTGTTTCTGAAATGTTATTTGGTGTGCATGAAATGGAAGAGCAGATATTTATTTGCTACTCAAAACTTAAAACAAAAATCATAATCGAAGTCATTTCCTATCAAACATTTAATTTTTTTATTTTATGAAATGAATTCATGTTGCAATAATGTGACATGGTTTCACATAATATATTAATTTATATAAGAGAGTATGATTTGTGTTTCATAGTAGATGATTTTGTATAATAATGAATGACTTTGTATAAAAATATATAAATATTTATAATCTGAATTTGTATAACAAGCATATGAATGTGTGTTAAATATATATTAATATGTTTAATGGATTTTGAATTTTTATAATAGTAGTTCATGAATTTGTATAAGAGTGTATGGATAAGTATGATAGCATTTGAATGTGTTTGAGGATTTATAAATTTGTATAACAGCACATGGATTTGTTTAAACTTGTTTTTTGTGAAAGTCATTCCATTTGTGATAAAATTCAAATAATGCATTAATGTTTCAACTTGTAATCACAAGGTGTTTTTGTTTGTAAATAAAAATTATTGATATTATAGGGACAATTAAAGTTAAGTTTGTTTCCTGTAACTTAAATGTTCAGCTGTTTTCTATTTCTATTTACAGTGCAACCTCTATAGAAAGACCCTCTGTAGACCATTGACCTCTTTACAACAACAGTATAAATTTTTCCCAAAGTCAAACATATCGATAAATTTAGCAAACACTGTTCATTAACAACCAAAATACTTTTTCTGCCAAAGATTTATGCCAAAATATTTCATGGGAAAAGGCTGTCTTCCCAGCTTATGGATTTGAGATCCTTTTTCACCAGTAAAGCTAGGAAGACCATTTTTGTGTGGACTTAAAAAAAAGGTTCCAAATAAAAGTTTTCCATAACAAATAGTGTCGATTTCTAATAAATTGCCTGATTTATAGATGTTGTACTAATAGCTAGTTATTTTAAACCCTCTTTTTTATTCCAATTGTGATTGTTTATTTTTCAAAATCTAATTCATAATTTAACAAGATTGCTTGTCATACAACAACAATTGGCTTGCCATGTTTGATCATGTTGTAATTCATAGAAAGAACAAATCAATCAATTTGTACAAATTACAGATCAATTTGAGTACTTTACCAAACAGGACTGGATAAAAGCCCGAATTATAAACCTGTTATATCTTTACATTACATACAGGAAATAAACTTAACTTTAACCCTACTTTTGTAAATCTCCACTATATGTGATATTGTTTCTTGTTGATTTTTTTCTAAAAATTTGTAAATATAGTTTCACCCTATATTATGTAATCATACCAGCACACATTATATGTGATGTAGTAAACATTGTTACATTAAAAAGTATAGGCTAGTGCACTCTACATGACTCTGCATTGAAAAATTACTTCAGTTAAACATTTTTCATACTGAATAAATCCACCATAATGATTTTAAAGTTTGTCTAAGGTTATGTATCACTATGTCATTGATGTCTCACTAGGTCATGTGATGTCTAACTAGGCCATGTGATGCCTCACTATGTGATGTGTCATATCACTAGGTCATGTGATACCTCACTAGGTCATGTGGTGCATCACCAGGTAGTGTGATGTCTCACTAGGTCATGTGATGTCTCAACAGTTCATGTGATGACTCACTAGGTCATGTGATGTCTCACTAGGTCATGTGATATATCACAAGGTCTTGTGATGTCTAACTAGGTTGTGTGATGTCTCACTAGGTCAAGTGATGTCTTTCTAGGTCATGTGATGTCTCACTAGGTCATGTGATGTATCACTAAATCATGTGATGATTAACAAGGCCATGTTATGTATCACTTAATCATGTGATGTATCACTAGGTCATGTGATATATCTCCAGGTCATGTGATGACTCATGAGGTCATGTGATGCCTCAAAGCGTCATGTGATGCCTCACTAGGTTGTGTGCTGTCTCACTAGGTTGGAACTGAATGCTGTCAAGCATTTTTTTTTTCATTTGAAAAAAAGCAATATGACTTGAGACTTATGTTATGGTAGGTCTAGTATTACTAGTTTGCCTGCAATATTAAACAAAGGTGCATTTGAAGTATTCTTCCATCAGTAAACCAAGAAAGCCACCATGTGGTCTGAACTATACCAGTGAGACACAAACCCATCTGAAGTAATATGGACAAAGCTTTGTTAATATATATTTGTATTATATCTTTTACCACATTTCAAAACTACTGCTTAGAAAAAAAAACATCCTACTAAGATTGTAGTGAGAGGGGAATGGTCCTTCATTTGTAAATAGTGTATTTAATTTTAGGCACTTATAACAAAGGCATGATATAAGGTAGTCAAAACCATGATGCACATTTCTTATTACAAATACAAAGTGTATTGTTGTTGTTATTTGAATTTGATAGCCTAGCCTAAACAGCCGTCATATAAACTCACATGTAGAAGTTTTGTTTTTGTTTTCTTGAAAAAAAAAGACTTATAGTGTTATAGTGGCAATAAACACATTCCAAAACACTATTCTCTTTGCTTTGCTTTGCTGTTCCACCTGTAAGCAGTATTCACACTGCTGCTCAAATAAAATTAATTAGGCAGGATTAAGTTGGGTTCTTTTATGTGGTGACCATCAAAATGGTACTAAAAAGTACAAGATGTGTTATAGCAGTTGTTCAAACTTGGCAGTATGGACAGTCAATGGTTCAGACCAAGCAGGGTTCAAACTTGACATTAGCTTACTTTCATTCAGGCACTTTTACTGGTTAAGAAACCTTTTTTGTCTTTTTTTTCTCATCACAATGGACCTAAAATGGTCAGATTTTTTCTAAACTGCAAATTGTCAGACAGATAACAGAATGGTGGTAATTCAGAAAAATATGCTGCAAACTTCTAACCTTACCTAGAATCTAATTCTGCTGCCATAAGTAGGTAGAGTACATTGTTACGAAGAAGAATTTATCATCAGTCGCAAAACTATTAAGTTACAGTGTGATGACGTGTCCATGCCATAAAGCCAGGACTGCAGTCTGACAGGCTGTATACTGTTGGCTGCCCAATAGTTAAATTGAAAATCACTCTTAATACAGTCAAACCCCTGAATCACTCATACTTGTAGTTCTTAATACAGTCAAACCTCTGAATCACTCATACTTGTAGTTCTTAATACAGTCAAACCTCTGAATCACTCATACTTGTAGTTCTTAATACAGTCAAACCTCTGAATCACTCATACTTGTAGTTCTTAATACAGTCAAACCTCTGAATCACTCATACTTGTAGTTCTTAATACAGTCAAATCTCTGAATCACTCATACTTGTAGTTCTTAATACAGTCAAACTTCTGAATCACTCATATTTGTAGTTCTGAATACTCTCAAACCTCTGTTAAAGACCACCTCTGAATAAAGAACACCTTGTAAATAAATGCCTTTTTTTGGTAACATTTTATTAAATAAATTGAATACAGTATTAACATCCAAAATAAGGCCACTATAAAGACCCAAGTTTTGTCCCTTTTGGTGGCCTTTGTTCACTAGTTAATTATAAGAATTCAGCAGCAGAAAAACATATATTGTCTTTTTAACTACAGTCATGAAGATACACCAGTTAATTTCTAATAAAATTTCAATGCACCACTTTGTTAAAAATAAAATTTTCAATGACTTGGGAAATAGGATAGAATGATTGCAAAATATGCTTTTTTTCAGTAAAGCATTTGAGGTGGGGGAATGTTAATGATACAGTGAACACGATTTAACAGTAATGTTGATGTAATAGTAATACTTGTCAACTAATATGGCACCTAAATTTCTGATTAAATGCTAGAAAAATGTTGTAATAACTTCACATAGAGTAATAGGAACGTGACTATATTCTGTACTATAGAAAACAATAACTTAACGTGTAATGACAATATGTTCAATAAATCAACTTAAATTGCTTTTTTTTTGCATACTTTTCACAGATTAGAAATAATAAATTCTTCATTGTTTCCATGCAGACAGATAAATCGCAACATTTGCCTAGACTGACACATTTTATGGAAACGTGTATTTTCAATTTCCTTGATGTACCATGAAATAGACATTAAATTTGATTGACAGATGCACGATTTGATGGACATGATACTAAGAGACGATAAACAGCTGAGAAAGTAAAAAAAGTTTTTTTATTTATATAAGAAATGAAATACAAGGAAAAAAACCTATTCATATAGTACAAATTTCAGTACATTACAGACAGAGACAAATAAATTTTAGACCAAGATCTTTCCTTCTATACAGAAGCAGAGTTTTGATTGAAAAAAACATTAAACCTTTCACAGAACTGAGACTTATCACATCTTTATTCATACTCAATGAAAGTAGTTCTTGAAAGACGCAAAATAAATGTCTAATAAAAAGTAATTGGAAGGACAAAGCTTTATCAATAGCTGAAACCAAAGGCATATTTAGCCAAGAAAATGATAATGTAGAAGTTCCATAAAGACCTTTGTTATACATTATGTACACTTACATAATGAATTGCCATTTGACCTTTCTTTTATTAAAGGTTAAAAGCAAATATATTAGTATTATATAATTTGAAGTTAAAAGCAATGTGAATCCTGCAAGGGCACAATTGAAAAAGATTAAAATTGCACAGGTCATTCCAGACAGGTTTCTGTTATATTTGGCCTAATCGAAAGGTGGTCAAACACATAAAATATTGAAATAGCAAACTCTTCTGTCTTAAAGTGATTGTACTACATTTGGTGACCACATTTTTAACCACTTGTGGCCCCCCATATATAATGTCACGCACAAGTGGGCACACACTGAAGTAGCACAATAATCCTCCATATGTGTTATATAGATTTAATTAATGTTGCCACTAGAAACACATTATGGGCAACTCGGTCCAGATAATCACAATGTTATTACTATTTTTTTTAAAGGACACTACTAAGATCATAAAGCCTAAAATTTGAATTCCTAAAATAGATCACCTGGGGCACCTAAATCAGACATATATGCAAAAGATAATTGCAAATTATATTCAGGAATAATTTTCTTTTTTTTAAAAGTCATATTTTTGTGCATTCTTAGTCCGATTTTAGTGAAAAGCGTTTCAACTCTTCAACTTTGGGTCTTTTTTTCACAATTTGAATTATTTTTTTTTGAAAAACAAGAGAACAATAGATCTTAAATTTTGCACTCAAGTTATTGTTCAAGACCTACATCGACAAGTGGAAAATAAATCTCCGAAATTTATTTCCAGTCAAGTCAATCTCAGTGGAGTCCCTTTAAGAATTACTTGAATAACTTTTGAATTGGAACTGGAATTACGAAAGTGATTAGTGCACAGATGTGCCATCTGATCATGGTCCGCACTGCACTGTTCAATCACTACTTTGAAATTTCCCTCTATAAATGATCAATGTTTCTGCCCAGCTTAAAAGACGAACAAGTCAATTTCAGATGACTTGTCCATGGTAAGGGCAAAAGATTTTTTATTTAAAAAAGACAAGAAAATATAAGATTTGTAGTATATTTATTTTCTCTTGCTTTCAATATTTATAATACATAATGTAATCAGGATTTATAAAATGATAAGACACAAAAACACCAAATACCATTCTTCTTCTCTCCTGTTAAATCACAAAACTGATTGTACATAAAAAAATAATTACTTATCTACCTGTTGTCTATTGAGGCTCTATTTTACTTTGTTATTTTGTTGCAAATTTTTTGGTTGTCAAATCTTGAGTGACAGATTTGAAAAATCAGATAAAAAGAAACATCTTTAAAAATCCACAATTTATAGTTAACTTGAAATAGGTCAATTTTCAAAAGTATTTTTCACACACTAACACTAAAAAATAAATTTCAGTATATAAAAGTAAGGCTTAAACTTATTTTTTTTAGCTTGATAGTGAAACAAGCATATATTAATCATGTCCACTTCCTGGAACTTACCAGTACTGGTGCCACATGAGGAAACATGATCTGACCTAAGAAGGGCACAAACCTATGATCCCTGGGTTAAGAGGCAGACACCTTAACCACAAGTGGACATGATTAATATATGCTTGTTTCACTCCCCTAAAAGTGGACTGGTTATATTTTTTTCCAAAAAAAAATAAATTTTAGGACCAGTCTATAAACAACAGGTAGGCTTTACAAAATACTCAGAATGTCCACATCTGAATGGAAATTCCTTATAACAGAAAGCAATATATGAAATTCAAATATACAACATCATATAAAGATATAATACTTCATTAATAAAAGGGACTTTGGTTTTACTAGCTTGGTCAAATATTAAAATATAAAATGTACAATGAAGTCTTACATAATAATGAGAAAATATGTTGCTAAAATATACATTGTAATGCAACTCCCAATTGTTTTGCCTTTGAACAATATACAGAAAAATTGTATATATATGATAAAATGGGAGAAAATGTAGTACAAATATACCTAAAATTTTGATACAGACATTTGTAATAAATATATTGGTGGGGGGAACAATTTCATTTAATTTCCCCTATTTTCTTAACAACAAAAACAACAACAAAAAGCTGATGTAGGCTGTACATGTACTGCATGTATGAAAGATATTAGGTTTTACATCCATCAATAGCTCACATAGTTTGACCCATTTACTAAATATTACACTTTAATTTGTAAAGCAGCTGATGAACAAGACTTGTTAGTGATCATGATCATTTGGAAGCTTACTAAATCTCTATAAGAAATGGTATTAAGATGAATATATTACGATAACAAAATAAAGATTATCGGCTACACTGATGGCAACTCCCTGATGTCGCTTTCACAAAATTTAAAAAACATGTCCTTCCGAGTTAATTTTAAGAAAATCTATACTTAGCAAGCCTCGTTGACCTTGACTCAATTTGACCTGAAACCCCGACCAGAGGGTAAAGGTCCAAAGGAGGATACAAGCACATCCAATATCTTCCAAATTAACACATCAATATCTTCCAAATTCAATCGTAAAGGTACTGTGACAAAAGAAATCTAAGGACCAACCCACAACTATATGTATATGCTCCAGGGAAATATTGCGGGTGCATGACAATAAACCTTATAAAATGAAAATAAACCAGTAATACTAATTGGTGGGTTTGATTAATCATATTCAAATATAGTATCCTTCCCTTCTCATCTTTCACTATATCATGTCACAAAATTATAAGCAAAAAATAGAATTCTTTTCATAATTGTTATATCGTTATATTTTTTATACCTTTATTACATTTGTTGCTACTGCGTTCTCCCATTATCTCAGACCAGTGATATTTGCATTTATAATTGCAGTGACGTATATAGTGACACCCTTAAAAAAAAATATACTCGTCTTTCAGTAAAATGTGACATAAAATGAGAACAATGTGACAGCATATAATGTTACATTATTTTACCTATCACCTTTAAAACAGGTCAACAACATTTTAGAAAAGGTGAAAAAAATCTAAAAATCTCTTTTTTTATAATTAAACTGTTATATAAGTTATACAAAATATGTCAAATATCATAAAGAAGTATTTAAAACAGTAAATTGTTGTAAAATTGGAATCTACTGTGATATTCCATTAAGCAGACACAACAAAATATGACATCATAGATACTAATTTTGCCATATTTAAAATGCTGAAACTCTTGTAAATTAATCTTCCACGTAATGATTGTCTGCCGCAACATCTGCCTTTTATACAGTTTAAACAAATCAACATTAAAATAACAAGTTGGCTGAAATCAGTTACTTCCCTTTCCCTTTAGTAAATTTTCAATCATCTTTTTAATTTGGTAATTACAAAATTGTGTTACTATAAATAGAACAAAATATGAAATTCTGTTACTAAAAATAGATCAAAATATGAAATTCTGTTACTATAATTAGATCAAAATATGAATTCTGTTACTATAAATAGGACAAACATGAAATTTAATCATTACATAAAAATAACACGCTGGCTATTATTTCAAGCACAAAGTCTGAGATTCAAATGGTCATGGAGCACTTAAAATTTCAGGTAAGCCTTAGCTCTTAAAGCTGTTTATTATTTAGCAAAATAATAACAAGATCTCTTATATTTTGGTAAAAAAACAACAACAACAAAAGACCTTAAATGTTGCAATTCCTAAATACTGATAAAATTTAATGAAAGAAAAAAAAAAACTTACAAAATATATCTACTGTCATTGCACTGATAAATAGAACTGACCCTTGACAAAAAACAAAACACTTATCTTTATTATTATACAAAAATACAATCAATTATGGTGTCTTTTTGAATGGTGAGTCACTACTCATAAAATGAGTAATATATGGATTGTTAACAAATGCTAACTTCAATGAAAGTAGACATAAAAAACACCTTGTGAATGTATGATCTGGCATGACAATCAAGTGGCAGTCTAAAAATATTAGGAAGGTTTAAATTTTATAAGTATTCTTCCTATAATTTGACCTTATAAATATGATGCTAATGGGTCAAACTCTTAAATATACCCTGGATATAAATCTTTTATGTATCGAATAAACTGAAATAATTGGTGGTCACGGTCAAACACTGGAAATAATTTAAATTGGTATGAATACAATTTTTCAATAGAATAAATATTTTTCATTTGAGAAAAAAAAATTGTTGGGATCTTACTAAGACAATAGTGAAAAAAAAAATCCCTTAAATTTACATTTGAAAAAACTGTAAGAAAGGTATAATCTTATTTATACCTATAACAATTATTTTGTGTGCATACTGCAATAAAATATCATAACAAAATGATGATATGTAAAAAAAAAAAGACACAAAAAAATAATACATATAAAAAGTCATTTAATCAAAAGACATTACTCATCAATTCATGCTGCTGAAATACCGTCATCAAACTATGAATATTGTTCTTTTTTCAGAACCACAAATTCTAGAAGAACTGAAGTCAGAATTAAAACTAAATGTTTGCATAAAAGGATAAAAGACCAAGACTGTGTCCTTATTAATCTGGGAACCATGAGTATATAGTTTTTCTAATATCAGACTCGGAAACTGTGCATAATCGAAACTTAACGAAAAGCTGTTGCATAAAATATCTCCGCAATATATATTGCCAGGAACGTACAGGACTTTAATCTTCAAACCTGTGCTTGAACAGACTTTCTAAACGGATGTCTCTCCGAGCTTTTATAAATCTATTAAAATTAAAATTGCATCATATTTAAAAAAAAAAACTGGCAAAACTTTGCTACACGTAGTTGCTTTTCTTCCTAGAATAAACAAATTTTCACACAAGGGTGTTCACATCCCCTTGATGAGAACATAACAAACAATAATAGTAAAATCAAATTGAAATATAATAAATTTAGATTATGATAGCAAATACGAAACAATACTGTAAAAAGATGTAAAACTGAAACTTATAAAATATAAAATATTGTTTTTTGCCGAAAAAAAAAAATCATTATTAAAGAAAAAAAAATGACAAATGGGTCAACAGGTTAGTCACCCAGTCATGTTTTTTTATTGACAAGAAATTAACTTCATGAATTCTTGGGATTTTAATATCTAAAAACTGTGGGGTTTCATTTCAGTAACAACGTACTTCTAATATTTATTGTCTGGATAAATAAACATGTGTTAAGTATGTGTAAATATATATATGTATATATGAAACAAACTAAAACGTAATACAAAATGGCACATTTCAACAATATATATATATTACAAATATATATATATATAAAACCCAAATCACTCAAACAATATGATTTAAAGAAAAAAAATACACCTAGATAATCCATGGTAACTTGTCATTTTTCCTGACTTTATCAACTGTAGATTATGTACAGATAAAATTCTTCACATTTACACATCTTTTACACAATCCACTGACAACTTCACCACGCCTTATTCTCTTTATATATGACGCTGTACACAGTTTATTCTTACACTATTCACAGTCACACAGACAGTTCCTTAATGCTGAATATTCATTAAAAAATGTTCAGTTTACAGTGGAAAATATGAAATGTACTGCACATGTAATGAAGTATAGAGTTCATGAAATGTTCATGAAATGTTCATGACATGTTCATGAAATGTTCATTAAGATGTTTGCCTTCCGGTTAAAATTACGTCTGCCATTCAACAACTGTTATTTATTTCTGTATGACATCCTATCACATTTCAAAAGTAAGTGTCACATAATCACTTCTTTCCACTTGCTTTACACCTTTTCTTATATGTCATACACTTTACACATATGTATAACACATATGTCTGTCTTGCACTTTACACATATGTCTTTCATATTTTGTAAGTTCACATTTACATACGAGTTTAGCTCTTCATTTAGAGTCAGGCATGCTGCAGACGGCATTCATTTTTCTATAAAATCTTGCATGAAATCTCTGCAAAACAAACCAGTAATCTCAAGGTACCAAAACACAAAGTTTTTAAAAAAAAAGTTTAAACAAAAACCATTGAACTTTTGCACAATTACAATACGGTTCAACAACAATGTTTCTCATCTGCATCAAATCCATAGAAATTCATTGACACATGGTCATCTACGGATTGACATCATCCATAAAAACTGGATAAAGTCTCATAAATAACTTTGTATAGCTGTATATTGCTATGAAATAGCCGGCACAAACTCCCGTGTAAAATTTCAAAAGTCTTATTTACGCACTGTAACAGATTCTGTAAAGTTTTTTGTCTAGAGGTAGCTAAGTTCTAGTGCATGATGTAAAGCGGCTAAATCGGAATGATTAGAAATTCTCCAAAAAGGCCAGGTCATTTGTTTCGCAGCAGCCTCTTCATCGCGACCATCTCCGACTACAACATACGTACATTTCTTTCCAAATCGTGACACGATTCTCTCAAAACAAGACTCTTTACCTGCAAACAATGAAATGAAAAATTTAACCAAATCACACCTGGATCATTCTCATATTAAAAAAGACAAAACACTTCATCAGATTACCTTTGATATTAAACGAGGTGGAAGAAGAATCACTTCACAATAACATGCAATAAAAGATATACAACTTTTATTCGACTGTAATTTTTTTGCATCAGTCATGTTGTATATGTTATTTGAATAACATAATAAGAATTTTTTTCATTTTGATAAGTCATGCTCCTTTGAAATACAAGACACTAAGCTTTATGAATCGTTATTTTTTTCTAAGTTTATATGTAATGTGATTTGTAAAGGACCATCAGGTTCTTTCATGTAACAAAACATGACACTGAAAGACAACAACAAGGCATTTATTTTATTTTTTTTGGAGAAAAACTAGCAAAATATACATGCTGTTTCTGATTCCAAAGTTAACTTCCAAATACCAAAATCATTCATGTATGCTCTACCATTATAATGGACTAATATTCAACTGAGACGTGGAATTTAACAAGGTTTACTTTACAGAAAAAATCCACATAAGATGGGTAGAGTGTATAGAAAGCATAGTGTTCAAGGTGTCTGCCATTTAATCACAGATCACATTGTGTTCATGATCAAGATTCCTAATATGACACCAGTACTGGTAAGTTCAAGGATGTGGACTCAGGAGTGGTTTTAATAAGGTCTTTCATCATAAGTACGCTAAAATAAACTTTTTCTTTTTTTTTGGTTGGGTTTTACATCATTCACACCAACACAGCAGATTTTCAAGCTTAACTGGTGGAGGAAAACCTCAGGTCCCTTCCATGCATTAATTCGGGCATGAACAGGCACCTGAGTAGAATGTAAGATGATAGCTTTTCCGAATGAAAGAACCCAAAGTCCCAGTGGGGATTTGATTCAAACCCCTAACATTGAGGGGCAAGCAGTTTGAAGCTGACCACTCTACAATGGAGCCACTTTGAAAACTTTTAAACTAATGAAAGATTTGGGCATATAGGAAAAAGTATGTTTACAATATTTTACCTATTTTAGTAGCACTATAGACATTTTCTATAGCAAATACACCACCAAGGCCATATAGCAAGGTTTTAGCTAGGGCAGGCACTAACTGAGTTGTCGTGACTAGTACATTCACACAGTTTGATCTGAAAATAAACATATATATAATGTATAATATAAATAATAAACATAAAACACATAATTCTACATATAATGGTAATCTTTTATATATATGGTAAAAAAAAAAAATGAAAAAAGTTCATAAAAACTATATGAACTTTTTGAGTGCTTACATCTTATATCAAGGATTGTGTGCTAACTATCATATTAGGTATGTGACTTGCAGACAACCCTGGAGAGAGAAAACTACTAGTATACTGTAGAAAAATGTTGAACAAAATGTATAGAGAAAATCATAATTATTAAGCCTCTATTATCCAATTGTATGACAAAAATGGAGACAAAACTAGCATTACTTACAAAAATATACTTGTATTATAAAAGAAATAATAATAATAATAAAGTACAAAATAGGGCATTGATTCTCAACATCTGACCTATTAATCCTATGGTTTCATTATAAAAGACTCAAACCAATCCTTCAACAAGTATATAGTGTGAAAAAAGGAAAGGGAAAAAAACAAATACACATGTATTGAGAAGAAAGCATCAATTTTCAGTGTATAAAACAGCAGGTTCTGCGAGCATACTCTTCAATTTTCTGTGATACAACATCACATGAAAAATTATAGCGTAAGCCCAAGACTAAAATTATATTCCTAATTAGCATTGTTTGCCACCATTCCTCATGCCACAGTGTAATTGTACGTAAACGTCAATATCAGGATAGTATTTTGGCATTAATTATTTACACAGGGATAACCCAAGGTTCATTATTGTACCTAATTTCTTTATAATTATGAATTTGATACTTTGTACAAAGATTTCAGCATGCAAACATAATTAAGTGTGTTTTCCAGCAAAACGTGCTTGGCATATTAAACCAAACCAAACACAACTTCGATTTTTTTTTATTAAAGTATAATCATATTTAGTTTAAAGTCCTTTCAAACCGTCAAGAAATTATTTAAATTTGGCCAATTTCATCATTCTCTATTTCTAAATACATGTACACATAAAACAATTAAACTATGAATATATATGCACCATCAGCAAAATTTTTAGGGCAGTAAGTTCTTTAACTATAAGCCAACTCAGGTCGTTACAGAATCTCCCGATGGTGACCAGTGTAGACGGAGATCAACTTGAATGTCATGTCCATGTCGTCTGATCCTGGTCTGCACTGTTTGTTATTCAGTCAATACAAATTTTGAAAATCTCCCTAAAAATGATGAATGGCCATGTCGGGATTGAAAGAAAGACAAGTCCATTTAAGATATTAGGCGGAGGTTTAAAGGGTTAAACATTATAATTACGAAGCCGTTTTCTTATATCATATGTTCTTACTCATATGTTATAGGACAAATGCAAGCCGGCCAAAACAGAACTTTAATCAGGTTTACGAAAAAAGGTAAGACTGCCTGTTATGTATACATACCTGGAATTGATGATACTAAGAGATTTAAGGGCGAGTGTTAACCAGTTGTCGGTAAGACTCTCAATTTCTTGACGTAGTTGAACCCACTGATCACGTTTCTGTGGTCCTATAACACCTATCAACACAAGACATTAACATAACATTAGACATCAACATTCGCACTTCACTCTTATCATGAAATGCTGTAAAATGCAACTAAAAATACAACTAAAATGAAAGAAAAGGCATGATTTTTCACTCTTTTTTTTTGAACAAGCATTGAAAAAAAAATGTTTTTTTAAAAATTTTTTTGAAGAAGCAACGAAAATATGGGTTTTTTAAACAGTTTTCCTATTCTGTAAAAAGGAAACTAGGATTCAATTTTTTACTCTATACTACTTTGTTTTACAGGCCTTACCAGCTTTAAACTTAAATTAATTTGTAATCAAAAAGAAAATCAAGTGACAATAAAGGGTCTGGTCAGACTATATGGCTGTTTTAAGACTTTGGCTTTATTCCAGTGGCCTAGGTAACGTCATTATCACAGTTAGTTAATGTGTTAGGAAAAAAAGTAAAGAACACAAGAACACGTACCTCCAACGTTGGTTCTGTAAGTATTGTACAGTTCCTTTATTCGGCGATATCTGAATGCTAATTTTCTCATCCAGTCAACTCCCCCTCGTACACCAGTTGCTAGGCACAAATTGGCATTAGTTGCTGCTTGTCGGAAACCGTCCGCAGCAAAATTATACGTACTGAAATTGTGAACATATTCAATTAATATATAAATAAATATGAAACAATAACAACTTAACTCTCATATAAACAATATATTGTTGTAATTTGTTCTTTAAATTAGTAATACATTTTAGTTTAATTGTGTTGGGTGCTATAACGTTATTGAAACACTTGAATCCGTTCCTGGAACCAAGCAGTACTAAGCAATGAGTATAAAGTTCCTTGCTCCTGGGAAAAATGGCTTACCCTGACAGGGTTTGAACCAGAATTAACCACTCGGCCATGCCACCACTCAAATTGATTCAATTAATTAAGTGGCTTTTGTTTTACATAAAAACAAACAAATGAAGCTACTTTTAATCAGTTTAGGTTCATTTTTTGCTACATTTTCTTACATAATTTTATAGATTTTCCTTTTATTTTTTTTCCATTTGCTTACACAGTACAACAAGAGGTAAAAAGTATTCAAGATCAATCTTTTAGCAAAGTGCTAATTTTATTTGATTCTTATTGAATTATGATTGTAAATAAGATATTTTGAAGAAAAATAAAGGTCAACCAGAACATGGTATTTTGTTTAGCCAGAAACATTTTATGACATAAATTTTAAGTTTTTCTTTCTTGTCTATGATCAAGCTAAATCGGGAATATTCTTAAATTTGTATCATATTTTATATATTTTTTTTTCAACATTGCCATTTATTTTTAAAATATAACCTGCTGTCCTGTTCAATTTTGATTTCTTTTTAAAACCATACCTTACCTTGCAAAATATTTTAAAAGTACTTGTCTGTCTTTTAATCTGGACAAAACCATTTATCAACTAGACCTATCACTGAAGGTGATTAATACCCCCACCAGCAACTTTTTGAAAAATAAGTAGTCTGAAGAAAAATTTCAACACAAACTATCAACTGTGTACAAAGAAATATTTCAATTAATTGTAATCTCAACTGGGGTCTCCAAATAAGCTTGCTTTTCACAAAGTTTGATTACAATATCTCATTCCTAACTCTAGTTATTGTCCGGAAACCATTTTTCTATTTTTAGGAATGGTGACCTTGACCTTGACCTCCAGGGGGTCAAAATGCAATACCAACCCAGGTCTTCATATAAGCTTGCTATACACCAAGTTTGATAACAATATCTCATTCCTAACTCTAGTTACTGTCCGGAAACCATTTTTCTATTTTTAGTAACGGTGACCTTGACTTTGACCCCAGGGGGTCCAAAAACAATACCAACCCAGGTCTTCATATAAGCTTGCTTTATGCCAAGTGTGATCATGGTATCTCATTCCTAACTCAAGTTATTGTCTGGAAACCATTTTTTTACTTTCAGGAACAGTGACATTAACCTTGACCCGAGTGGGTCAAAATACAATACCAACCCAGGTCTTCATATAAGCTTGCTATACACAAAGTTTGATAACAATATCTTATTCCTAACTCTAGTTATTGTCCTGAAACCATTTTTCTATTTTTAGTAACGGTGACCTTGACCTTGACCCCAGGGGGTCCAAATACAATACCAACCCAGGTCGTCATATAAGCTTGCTATACACCAAGTTTGATTACAATATCTCATTCCTAACTCAAGTTATTGTCCGGAAACCATTTTTCTATTTTTAGTAACCATGACCTTGACCTTGACCCCAGGGGGCCTAAATGCAATACCAACCCAGGTCTTCATATAAGCTTGCTATACACCAAGTTTGATAACAATATCTCATTCCTAACTCTAGTTATTGTCCGGAAACCATTTTTCTATTTTTAGTAACGGTGACCTTGACCTTGACCCCAGGGGGTCCAAATGCAATACCAACCGGAGTTTCCACATAAGGTTGCTATATACCAAGTTTGATTACAATACCTCATTCCAAACTCTAGTTATCGTCCGGAAACCATGATGTGGACCGACCGACGGACCGACCGACTGACCAACCTATACACCAAAGTTTGATAACAATATCTCATTCCTAACTCTAGTTATTGTCCGGAAACCATTTTTCTATTTTTAGTAACGGTGACCTTGACCTTGACCCCAGGGGGTCCAAATGCAATACCAACCGGAGTTTCCACATAAGGTTGCTATATACCAAGTTTGATTACAATACCTCATTCCAAACTCTAGTTATCGTCCGGAAACCATGATGTGGACCGACCGACGGACCGACCGACCGACCGACCGACCGACCGACAAGCTGACTCCTATATACCCCCCCTAAACTTCGTTTGTGGGGGTATAATTAGGAAATTTCAAAACGTACTGACTGAATAGCAAACAGTACAGACCTTGGATCAGATGGCACAAATGTGCTGGCTGATTTTGGTCTGCACTGGTTGCATGGATAAATTCAGCGACCACTAGCAGGCTTAATGTTAAATAAGGTTTGCATATTTTCTATCTATATAAAAATACCTTGTTTTCAGAGAGCTCTACTCCTTCAAACAATATTGGTCTATAACTAGAGAAAGTAGATATTTTATTGAATTTTATGTCGGATTATCTAGCAGGCATATTTACAGTGATAAAATTCACATCAAAGATGGATCCAACTTGATGGAATGGGGGGTAACCATTTTATCAAAGCCGGCTTAAAGGTATAAACAGGGTGCATGGTGATTATGTACCGATGATGGATGAGACTATTCTCACAAAAACACCGGAATTTTAACAGTGCAAAGCCAAGTGGTATAGATAAGGTAAAGCCCGGGATGAAAGTTTTTTTTTCTTTCGCTCATGATAAGCAGATGGCTTTGTATCACAACTCAATGTTTTAAGTGTCAAAAATAAAGAAAATGATTTTGATTTAGAAAACAGATGTTTCTTGAACTAGGTAAAACATGTTTTGGGTTCTAAGAAAGAAAAAAAAAAGAAGGAAAAAAAAAACTCGTTTGTATGTTTATAGAAACCATTTATAAATAAATCAGAATCATTTAGTTAAATAAAAGCAGGTGGACTGGGCAGGTTTTTCTCACAAATCTCCCAGTGTTCCATGTTTTGACTGACAGTTTGATCTATATAGGCTGTCTCTCTTCTATTTAAAGTCTTAATCAAATAAATGGAGAATAAGTCAAAGCTGAAGGTTCAAAATTGTGTGGTTTCACCTAAAAGATGTATTTTCTCCCTTTGTTACAAAAAATGTGTATTTTTTTGCGTATTTTTTTAATAAGACAAATAGCTTCTACAGCATGTGAATAAATATGCAGACTGACCTTACTTTAGACTGGTTCCTTGCGCCACCATATTGGTCACAAGTGTTCACAAGTTACCCTTCTAGAATTAAATTCTGATCAATAAAGCCTTTGCCACAAGTATAGAGCCCAGAGCAGCCTACACATCCATGCAGTCTGTCTGACCAAGCTCTTAACTGTGATATCCCTAAAATTAATAATGGACAGTTCCAAAAATGGAAGCTGGGCAAGTCTATTTAAGATATTCAGGTGAATGGTTAAAGAGAGCCAGTGGTTTACCTTAAATCTTGTCCATTGTCATCTGATGAAACATCATCAATATGTACTTGATCACATTCCTGAAAATATACAAACATCATAACTTCACAACATGTCACATTCAACATTTGTACTTTTATTTATGAATATATGTTTGTATTCCTTAACCAAAGTCAGTCTCTTTCAACTTTCCCACAATTCCGGTTGTGGAACTTCTTTCAATGTCTCCACAATTCAGTTCATAGAACTTTCTAACACCAAATTTAACTATCCTTCACTGACAATTTTCCTACATGACTGACAAAAAGGTGGAATTCAATAAAACATTTTTTTTTTGCTACATTAAGAAATCAGTTTTATGGTTGTGGGCAAACACCAATGAAGGCAGTAGAATACAATGTAAAATGAATTATGTCCCTTTGACAATACTCTGGTCATACAGGGTGTGCTGTGTCCACTAATTAAATAAATATGTTAAATTCTTTATGACACCTTACAGTTGCCAGGATGTGGCTACAGGTCAACAGGGGGTTTATTTGGACAAACTTGCACACATGTGGAATTTATAAAATAAATTAAAACATAAAATTTTCCCTGAAGACATTAATTGGCTCTGGTTTTTTTTACATTTTCTCATTCAATAACAAAATAATATGTGTATTAATAACAATTGTATAATATCAAAAATTGTTGAAATAAATAGGAAAATGCTATGTAAAATAGAATACTTTAAGGGAATCCCAAACTTTAACAAATTACATGTTACAAAGTAGAATACATTGTAGCATTAATTAGGGAAATAAAATAAGTAAGGGGCCATAACTCCTTCAAAATTACATTTATCATATAACCACAACAATAGATAATATCATGCTAGTTGTAAAATTATTCCAACGCCTCACACTCTTCACCCTCACCCCATCTACAACCCCACCCTTTTTTCTTAAATAAACCCAATAAACCCCTGTACCCACTTATAGTACAGATCACAAGATTTTAGTTAAAAAAAGACTAACAGGTGAGTAGATCTCAGCATGGACTTGTCAAAGAAAAGCTCTGCTAATCACTTTTGACAGATGAGATTGGTATTTTCAAGTTTTCTCATGAGTGTCCACATTCTTCTAACATGTGGTTCTCATTCAAACACATTTTGGGGGGCTTTAATGCACTATTGTCTTAAGTCACTGGACTTAAATAACAACATAAGACATTGTCGCATTTATTAGTCATGAATAATGATAAACACCAAATTTTTGTCTCAAAATCACCTTGCATGCATTTGCATTTTTTTTCCCCTGCCTTTCCTTAAAACATAAATTATACCAATTAAAATAAGTGTGCATGTTATCTTTTTCTTTCATTTCATTGATATAGGTATGATTACTTTAAATATATAAATACAGGGGAAATTTTTTTTAAGATTATCTCTTAAAAATCTCTTTTATAATGATTAATGTATAGGATAAAAATTATTAAACACTTGTTAAGGAGACATGAAGTCAATTAAATGTGACACTTTTTTGGCTTAATTGTATTAATGGACTATTCCTGCTTTGGATTTGGAACAGTCCATTGTAAGTTTAAGTGATTTCAATTCAATTTTTTTAAAAGAAACCAAGGGTGGTCAGGCTACATGGATGTGTAGGCTGGTACTGGTGGTGTTGGTAGTTTTCACTCTGGATCACGGCACATTGAATTTACCCGAGCAAAGTTTAGCCACCGCATCATTTCTGGGTTGGCTGTTTAGCAGTTTACCAGAACTAGTTCCCTTCATTTTTGCAAGGAACTGATTACTTCTGTACACGCAAGAGCAGAGGTGCAGTGTGAATGACCGACTTCAGAAGGGATTTCATGATCAATCACAACAAGTGACCTGCGATATACGGGAATTGAAATCAGGGGTCACCTGATTTACAATCCAATGCTTTAGCTATGAAGCTAACTGGACAGCTACAATGTACAGGTTGCAAGGCTTGTTGAATACCAATAAAACTGTAAAGTCTTTAATAAATTACTTCCAGCAAACATCAATTTTATTCATCAGAGTATCAATTAAAGAACCGATTCTAGCAGAAAAATACATGTATAAACATGGATACGAACATCAATAAAACGCAAGAATAATGCATGAATGAATAATTACTGATTAAATACAGCAGTAATCTTTATTATAGAATACTGTTTCCAACCCATTAACAGTATAGACTCTAAACCTTGTCAACTGAAAGTTTCACAATTATTAAATATTTTACAATTTTTCGTTTATTATCTTTCTGTATAATCCAGCTATGAAACATTTTCCAAGGCAATACATCTAATCAATAATATATAAAGATGTTTTGTTTTTTTTTCTGAGAAAAACCTCAGCAAAAATATATAAAGAAACTTTTCTGAGAAAAACCAAGCAAAAATATGTACTGAAACTTTTCTGAAAAAAAGAATTTAAAAAAATTGCAAAAAAAACATAAGGAAACTACAATAAAATATATAAGGAAACTTTTCCAAAGAAAACTGTGGCAAAAAAAAAAAGATTCAAGTTTCATTATTATATTATGATAAATGTTAATTTATTTTACATTTTAAATATTTTTTGTTTTTTCCCCCATACAAATCAAATATATTACTGCAACAACATGTAATTGCTTCGGATTTTTATGTCGGAAGATGTTAAGTCTAAAAAGAAAATGAACAAAGTAAGATATTAAAAGAGACAAAGATGTTAAAAAAATTAATCTGCAAAAGATAAAATTGCGATGAAGTTAAAAAAAATCTGAGTTCAAAATACTCAAATTAACTACAAAAAAAGACCCAAATTTCTTTCACATTTTGCTTGTTTGAAATAAAAGTGTTTCAAATTGAAACGAATTACCCCTTAGAGCTGTATCTGTCAAATCAAATTTGATAGGAGGGGAAGCTGTATTGGATTAGGGTCGGAATTTGCAGAAATTTTAAGTGTTTCCACCTTCTCAAGTATTAAATGTCATGATAAATATGTACCATCTCTACCAACCAGCAACCTGTTGCCACACTAAGTAATCCCCATGAACTTTTCCCTTTCATTTATTGCCAGGGGTTTTCTTTGGAAAAAAGATTCCTCCTGTAATTTTGCTACGATATTCCAGGAGAAAAAAGTTCCATTATATTAATATAGGTTAACCCTTTGAGTATTCAACATAAATGTAACTTGCTTATGCTATTGGTACTGAGTCAGGCCAGTGGGATCGAACATCTGAACGTGTAACTTGCTTATGCTGTCAATACAGAGTCAGGTCAGTGGCGTGCCACACATCTGAAGGTCCGTGCAGTCTGACCAAGGCTTTATAACTTTGGTTGTTCAATTTAAGCAGTTTGATCTTGAACACCTCTCACAATAACACTGCACCCACAGGGCATGTGCACTTTACAAATTTAGACGGGTTAGGTAAAAATAGAAATCTTATTATTATAAAATAACATTGGATAATTTCCCTCTTTAATATTCAGTAACAACGAATGAAAAGGACTGGTAAAATCTTATTTAATCAGAGAAAATTTCTTCAGACAAGCATAAATCTTATCTGACGGGTTATTTCCATAATCTGCCAGTTATTTCAATAATACAGAACGATCACACTTGAATTGATGTGGCCTCGAATTGTGTGAAGAATTTAACACATTGTGACACCCAGTGTTACAAGACAGTAATCACTTGTACCATAAAATTTTCATCAACTCATTTGCATAATAATTACAGAAAATGTGGCTAGATAAAGACCATATAACAACGTAAACTGTAAATAAATTTCCGCTTAAAGAAATCGTTAAAAAAGAAAAAAAAACATCACCGAACAATCTCCTATTCATAAAAAGAAACAACCTGCAACTTTAATGCCCGCTTATTTATATTACATATTAAGTTAAAACTTAACTTTCCGTAAGGATATTAAATATTTAATCTAACAAAATGTATAAAAACTTCAAAAATTCAAATACATAATTATGCAATTAAAAGAAATCTATTTATAATTCAATATTCTTCTTAAGCGGAAAAAAACTATATACAGGGACAATTATCTTGTTATAAGTGAAAACGGGTGAAAGTATCTAACCAGAATCTTGATATAAAGATTGATAGAGGGCCCTGTCATGACGATGTTTTCATATAATTTTGTTAGCAGTTTGCCAGAGGCTCTTCATTTGCTTAAGAAAACATTTCATCCGAAAGACATAGGAGGTGAATGGCGAGTAAAAATATTCAAGAAAAAAAATTTGTTTTCATTCAGATTTTTTCTCAAGTCAGTAGTAATAAAATATTTCAAAAGTGTATTAATTTTTGTATATTTGAATTTTAACCCTATGTTAAGCTCAAAAGCTTTCCTTTGGCATATTTAAATTTTAACCATATGTAAAGCTCAAAAATGTAGATATGTACTTTCCTTTTGCATATTTAAATTTTAACCATACCTAAAGAAAGAGATAAAAATTGGCATCAATTTCAAATGAATGTTCAATATAATGTTAAAGAAAAGAAAAATGGACAAATGGGCAATTTATTTTGTGTCTGCAAACATTTCTAGTTTCTCATTATTTGGTCCTCCTATCCTTAGGTCATCTGAAGAAATGATAAAATTCCTAAATTACTTTTCTGCTTACATTCCTTGCTTGAGTCGAAATATTTCCTCTTAAATCAGTCGCTGTCACATGTCACGGAAAAGGCAAACTGTCACTATGCCTGCGCAATGCAAGCCGCAGCAGGCTAGCCTAAGGTCTGTTTATACACTACGGACAAATTCAATCCTAGTTAGCAAACCATCTGACTTTCACCGCGAAACCCTGGAGAGTCTATCATTCAATTAATTCACTTGAAATTCAGCGGAAAATGTGACAAAAATTATGTTCAATTTGCCATGACATGACAGACAATGGTCAACGTCCCTGGCCACTTGTGACCGCTGTCCGAGGTGTCAATGTCCAATACTGATAATGCGCTTCACTGATCCATAAATGGACTTAATTAAGTGACCAGTCTATTACAATCATGTGGTCAAACGGCCAATCACAAAGTTGACAAGTAAAAGTGACCAGTAATGGACAATTGATCATTAACCGTCTTGTATACGCACTCCAATACAATTTCATTTACATGTTTAATGGAAAAGCACTTTCTCCCGTAAGAAAAGCAACATTACGGTTGAGCAAATATTTTCTATGAGATTATGTGCGTTTGGAGAGTTATAACATGAAGTGGATGAAGTATGATGGAAACTGTTTATACGCTATGTAAGAGGGTCCTTGAACATCTTGAGAATGTATCCTGATAGCCTACAGCATACTGGGTGCTCTTAATACAAGGAGATGTTGTGTAAAAACTCTTCAATCCTAACTACCACCGTGAAAAGCAATTTCAAGTGGCAACATTGTATCATATTATTCTATCACATGAAGTACAACAATGCTACAAATACAAATCTGTTCATTTGCTTCCTGAAGTATCAAATTCTGAGATTTAAGTTTATGATTTATATTAAAAAAATTATAATACAGAAACCACAACAAGTTTTTCCTTTCCTAATTTTTGAATTTTCGTCCTTACTTCATTTAGATTCTTTCTCCTTAATTTCCAATTTGTCTTCCTCAATTGCTAATAGCCTCTAGTAAAACAACCCTGACATAATCATGGCTAAATCATAGGGTAATTACTCTAGCAGTAACCCAACCCCAGACCCTCTGGCAGACTTATCCAACCAGCCAGTACCCCCAGGGACACCTTGAAGCTAAACAGAGCTTGAACTATGGTTCCACTTTTTCTCTAAATCAGTTTCCTTGTCATCCCAGCCTCCCTTAACAATCAACTTATACTCCGACATTATTCTATAAGTTCATCCTCTCATTATTTTGAGACTTCTTTTTATGAGGTAATGCCAAAGGAATACGGAGAAAAATGCTGTCATTTATATTGTATTAGACTCTAACCATTTCTTATTGTGTCTACGATCTAATGTATATACCGGTACCTTATTTTCTGTTAATTACTTCACACATCATAAACCAATGAAATAGTCAATTAGTGTTATTTGTAGCGTAAATGCCAGAGCTCAAACTCATCATCCTAGTGAACTGAGCATGTTTACACATCTTCCCTTATCTACCATGCCAGTAACATCTGACACCATTGTGCCGCCAGCCCCAGGCACGCTGACCAGACTTGTTATTTACACTGTTATATAAACATTCTCCACTGAGACCGATCAACATGTATCATTCTACCCATAATGCACTTGAACTGGCTGGGGTATACATTTCAATTGGGCAAATACCAGACTGTTTGGATACTTGCATACTGCTATTCCCAACTGAGTACACATACAAGCAATATCATTTTGCCTATCTGCCAAAGTACAACAAATGTCCATACTGTTCTCACTGAGGATGTTGAGGATGAATATCATTTTTCACAACTACTGATATTATCTAATCAAAACTGACCAATGTGAGCAACCTAACACCTCCAGCAAGGCCTTGGTGGAAATTTGTTAATTAAGTGCCTAATGAAGCTTGCAGGAGAAATTTCTGGCTATTTTAACATGAACAGAAAACCTGTCAGACTGAAGGTCAGTAACTATCCACTCATAACATAAACATCTGTCTATTACAGAAATCATACTAGAATGATTTCATGAAATTGCCATAGTTTATCAGTGTATCGATCAGGCTGATCAAAGTCTCAGTAAAGAGGTGTCACCTTCCTATCAGAAGGTCAAAGATTTTAATCATATTCACTCAAAAACATATGATTAGCATTGCTTATTTATTTAATACAATGTGTATTAACAAGAAAAAAGAACTTACCTCTAAATCATTGAAGAATAGATGAGTATCTGCTAAACTAAAGATCATTTCTTCCATCCGTAAGCCAAGCTGTACAGAGGCCTGGGGATCCTGAAAATATAAATAAAGTTATATATTATTTTTAATATACAATTGATTTTTTTTTCTTCTTTTTTTTTCAAGTCTTGAGCTGGGTTTTGAGGGGGGAGGAAGAGGATTCGCGTGCGTGGTAGAGACTTCAACCTGCTACAAAATTTAGAGCTTGATTTTTATCTTATTTGAAAATAACTTTCTATTGTTTTACGATTTTTAGATAAGTAGCATTAAAAATACCTGTAGATATATTATCAGTATAGAAACATAATTGTTTAATTCAAGAAATAAACACTACACCAGGCAAAAGCATTTATTTTTATTTTTTTTGGGATAAGAAATAAATTTTCCTAAAAAGTTATATTTTAAGAAGTCCCATACAGGATGGCAAGAACTCAATCTGGTATCTTATTTGACAATCGCATTTATTTCTAGGAAATATATTATTTTAAATGTGTCTGCGATCTACAGAATATCGGAATATTATGCCGTCTCCGGTTATATAATCCAACTACCCTAACATTGTAATGTTTAATTTTAACATTTGTAATGATAGGAAATACCAAAACCTAAAAAATTCCTGAGTACAAAGATAGGTTCTATTTGATATTAGATTTTTCACCGGGAGGCAAACCAAATACATTGTACTAGAATTACAGTAAATCTATCAATTCTTTACAGAGCTTTTTCTGATAAATTATAAATCTTAAGTTATATTTTGTCCATGTTTCATAATTTTTTATTTTTTATATTTTAATATAACATATAGAGGATATTAAATGAGTGTGGATTTAATACTGAATGAGATAATACTTTATGGAATGAGTTGTATAAAATTATTTTATGCGAGCCTGTGGTGAGCATATCATTTTTTTCAATGAGTTAAATAAATTTATAGAAATGAATCTCATACACTAATATAATATTCTATTTATAACATAACCAACATTAGAACTGTTATAGTGAAAAAAAACAACTTTTTTTGTTATTGATGCGCCTTTATTGTAACACTAACATTTAGCGCGTCTTTACGATACATTTATAAAACACAAATTACGTCACGTCAAAATATATGCACGGCCATGAAATACCATTTTTACAGAGTCGCAAAAGCTGTATGGGTACGTGATAAATTAGATCATACAAGTTGAGTTCCTCAATACAACACACTGCCTTGCATCATACAGTTCTAATCAAATTTTCTTTGATATTCAGTTTAACAAATTTACTTTACATGAAGAGTAATTAAAAAATATACACATGTGTTGTTTTTTTACATTTCTTTTTATTTAAAAAAAAAAACAAACAAACTTTTTCAATAAATTTCACTGTCATAAAAAGAATAACAGAAAAAAACAAAACAAATAAATTATAAATAATTATAAAATTTGTATGAAACATCACGATTTGAATCATACAATTTTATAAAATGACTCATATGGCATTTACAATTTTCTAAAAATAGATTTCACAACAATTAAAAGATAATATTATGACCAATATCCGAAGCTCAAAGCTGTACCCACGAACCCAAACAATCCGTTAAACATATAAAAACTTGTCATTTTTTCAGCCCATTATTATTGAGCCCCTATACATAATTGCTCCCTAAATGCCAAGCAATGGTGCTTAATTGAATGTTAATGCTTGAAATGTTCACACAGGGAAATTTGCAGAAAATCCATTAGTGTTTTACATTTTAACAAAATCATCGGCAGTAAGAAGAGTGCATTTTAACACTCCCCTGAACATAAACAGGCATAATTGACCACTAATTCTCGTTTCACAAGGTTACGCGGTACTAAGTGCTCATTTTGATTGAAGAGAATTCGCAAAATTATGAAATTATGGAAATCTAAATGTGCCTAATGTACTAATGTATTCTATAAATCGATTTTACTGTGAAAATGTAAATACATAAATGCAACATAAATAAAAGCGGGGAAAATTGCCGGGGGTAATTATCCAGCCTATTGTATCAACAGATAAGTTATGTTATTAATCATGAAAACAAGAAAACCTGTCTGTTATAATGCTCAAATTAAAATAGCAGATTATGAAAACCTCAATGCGATCAAAGTGTTCTATTGAATTTATTCTGTCTAACAAATAAAAAAATAAGAATCCGGCAGCTAATAATTTAAGTCTGAAAATCATGAGAGAATTTTCTTTCTGTTGTTTGAAAATAAAACCATTCTTTTCCCCCTTCTCTAGAGCTTCTATTTTTTTGTTTGGTCTTCAGAACAGAACAAAAAATGTAATATTCTTGCAAAACAGAAGACACCATACTTGTTTCATAATGTTGTGTTTGCTATACAATGGAATGTCCTTCAGGTGTTCTTGACCTTCCTAGCTGGTGATCAAGGACACTTAATGGTTTTCCTTGACCATGCAATTAGGAACAAAAAAAATCGTCCTTGACCTTTTTACACTTTCATTGACAAGGCAAGACTGACTCAGAGACAGTTCAATATCCTATTTCCTGAGAATTATGAATAATAAGGGTCAAAAATTAGTTTGCATGATTTTTGAAAGACAAAATATCAAATACACAGGTAATGGAATGCTTTTTATATGTCTTTTTCTGGAATTTCTGTTATTTTCAACAGATGCTGCAAGAATGCTATGTTTATATGACAATAAATTTTACGGTCATAAAATGCACCCGGACTTTCTGCGTATGAATATAATAATGATTGCGTTAATACTAAAGTGTAATATCATTTACAAACATGACATTGGAGATGAGCTATTAGAAAAATTAAAAATCATCGCAGTACATCTCTCCTGTTCCCTCAATCCCGACAATAACATTATTTTATTGAGTAGAAACTCACGACCCACATTTCTTAGATGTTATCAATAAAAGTGAAATAATTCCCGTTTATAGACAATCACTTAGTGATGAAACTTGATTAAAGTAAATGCTTGAAATTTCCGCTAGAATTTCATAAAATGGCAAATATTTTAAACATTTCAACTAGTCAAGAATATTTTTCCTAAATATGTCCAACATAATATCGATTAAACTCATTTTTTTCCACATACCCTGGTATACTCAAGCTTGCAGAAGAACAAATGCTTATATCAATGAAAAAAAAATCAACATGCTTATATCAATGAAAAAATGCAATATTTTCTTCATCATCTATATCAAGAGGAAATGATAAAATACAATCAACTTGATTTATATTTGTCACTTGTGTAGACTGGAAGAATAGGTCTTAACAACAAAATTGCAAACAAAAATCATTACGGGTCTATATTTACTCAGAAAGAAACAGATTTCGACCATTAGGCTGTCAGCCCAATCTGTTGATTTAATATCCGTACTTAATAGATCTGCATAATTTTCCATGTTAAACCATTGATTTTCTGTTAATGTCAATACAAGTGATGATTTGGTAAATAACAAACTTAGTATATTCAATAATTGATGAAGTTCTGACTGGACAAGATTAGGTTATTCCAAGCAGACGACGATTTTCATATAAAAAAAACTGAAACAGTATTTTTTGTACACCATTACGTCAGAAATGAGAGACAACGAAATTCAAAGGTTTTTGCATGAAATATGAAATATAAATGAGCATGAACGGATCAAACGGAATAGTCAACTTAAAATTATCTTCTGTAGATATAAAAATGATGAAAAACATAAAAAAAACCTATTATTATTCTTTGTTATGACAAAACGCAGAAGTAATTTTTATCAAACAAAAAAAGCAGACGCAATTTTTTTAAACAATGCAATGTAATACCATTCTTGTTTGCAGATGTTACAGGTTTGATTATAATAAAGCAGGAACACAATTCAGAATGCTTTGTACTTCAAGTGCCCTTCACAAAACCTGTCACAGACTTCAATACTACAAATATAGGATAATACCAGAGAGCATTATGGGAAATTAAAGCATTGTCAATGTAATCGGTCCCTGGGTGTTCTCGGCACTCGGGAGGGTCTGACTTAGATGTTATGTAAAGAGACAGTAAAGAATCGACTGTTTCCGCATATATCGGAAGACCTTTGAAGGCGAGCGTTCCGTAAATGCACGCCCCAAAAACAATACGTTTTAACAATTTTCAACATCAAAGACATTGAAATAGCTGATAATGGACACAAACCTAGTTCAAAACAGATCTTATGGAGCCTTTGAAAATATAAAAGATTTAATACTTAATTTAAACAAGTTTCCAGTTCTGAATTGTTTATAATGTATTGTTGTATGTATTGTGCACATACAATCTATTACAAAACAAATAAATGCCAATGAATTCACGCCCAAATTACGATAGTTCATTCAAAGAAGAAAATGTTCAAAACTGTGTTTTTAAAAATTTTTTCTCTAAGAAAAATTGCACAAAAAGTCGGCTTGATTTTTTTTCCATTTTTTTATTTTCCTTCCTTCCTTTCTGTATAATGTACTAAGGAACCTCATAAATTAATTAGAACATGTTCTTGTAGACTGGGTTGTAGATTTTTTTTTGTTTACAAAGCAAACACAAACACCTGGCAAACTTTGACAGAAATTTATCGAATCAGTAAACCAGTCAAAGAAATGAGCAGAAGAACATGAAGGGAAAAGAAATGATCATACTGCTTTGAATGTCTCCAGTCTAATTCTTGTTGTTAAATACATATCATTCCCTTCTACAGAACAAAGGTGGCAAAAATATTCCACAGATTTCTCTTTTGTTTTTCTAATAAATTTTCCTGCCACTGAAAATATTCTCATCTTCAATTAATGTTTTGTATTTATATATTCCACAGATATTTTGTAGTCTTTCTATTGCCCCGTTTTATCTACTAGACAATAAACACACAAGGTAAAGGAATTCATATTTTCAATAAATTTGTTTAGTCTTCATGAAACCCGACAACCACAAAGGCTAATCCATCTTCTCAAATGAAAGGCCCTCAAAACAAACAGAAAATTTTTAAATACAACCTTTTATAATTACATAATAATCTAAAATAAAAGACTTAGTTTTCCGAAACACACACAACAATATATATTATTGCAAGCAGTGTAAAGAAAGGGTTTTTCCCCTTCAAATGCAATGCCAAATTCATACACTAATTATCATACATTTACTACACAATTTGCCTTTGATGTGTGTGACCAGACTCAAAACTGATGGGAGCTCAATTTTTATACTGTATTTTCAAAATTAAAACCCTTTAACTTTAAATGGACTGTTCCAAATTTAAAGCAAGGGCCGACCCATTATACAAATTCTGCCGGTTAAAGGTTAAAAAACAAACGTACCTTTCCATATCTTTGAGCATAGGACCCCGTTAACAGTGAGTGGAAAATAATTATAGTTTCATCTAGATCCCATATAAATACACGTTCTAAATCCGACTCGGGACTCGGTGAAGGATTCTGCCGCCGACCTTGCCTATTTTTACTTCCTTTTTGTCCTGAAAAAATAAAACGAAAATAATTCTTTTACTAGACCATCAATTATAATTACGGTAAGTAACTCAATTAAAAATATGAATATTCTTTATTAGACTATCTTTTAAAATTAAGTTATTCAATTAAAAATAATATGTATTTTTTGTTAACTATCAATCTAAGTTAACAACAAAGTATGTTGGAAATTTGACTTTGGAATGATAATATAAAAGTATCAAAAGATGATGGATGTTTCCTGCAACAGTAAATCTAGAAAATTGCCTATTACTAATAACAGTGTGAGTATCACTTTAAACTAAACAAAAAGAATCATATGAATATATAATACATACTAGCTCTATCTAAAGGGGGTGAAGGACTTGTAGGTATGGTATACTGACCGCCACTATCACCTGAAAATATACAAATATATATAAATAATTAAAACACAAAAAATATAATCTCTTATAAAATAATGGTAAAAGTTCTGAAAATTCTAAAAGAAAAAAAATTTCATATAAAAATGAAAATGATAATTTTTAGGTATTTGTCATCACAAAATTTATATTTCGTCATAAGTAACCCTCCCACTTTTAGCGGGAGACTTCCACTTTCTGCAGCCATATTTTCAAAGATTTTTCTTAAAATAAGGGGTATTTTCACAAATTAAAGAAATCTCCCTATTTTTGATGTCAGAACTTCCTTCTTTGTTTATTGCAAATTCTAAAATCTCCCTCTTTTTGAAGAAAAATCTCCCACTTGATCATCGAAAAAGTTCACATGTATGTATTTCGAGGATACATAATTTTTTTAATTTGACCAGGGTTATCAATAATTTCAGATCAGTTTTTTTTAAGGAGCATTATGACTGAAATTTATTGAAGCACGTTTATATTAGAAAGTCGTATTAATATTTCACATTTTATTTGCATGAAATAAAATATCATAATTATGTCATTTGATATTGAATTTACATATTTATTGATTGATAAACAATTTTATAAAATACAACATGCCTAAGGAAACCCTGCAATGTTAATTAAGATGCCTAAAAATTATTTGCTTTCTATTTATTGCACCCCCCCTCCACTCCCCCCCCCCCCCCCCAATAAAAAAAAAAAAATATATATAATTATATATATAGGTCCGCTGCATACAGTATATCTACGTGATACGATTACCGATATATAAAAAAATTTATATATATATATTGCAAAAGCTTTATTAAATAATGTTTTAAAACTCAAAATAAAAAGAAAATTAAAAAAAAAAATTGTCTTTTTTTCTGAATATAAATATAAAAGTAATATAATTAAAAATGCTATTTTGAATTTGCCGTAACTTTCGGTTACTTTCGGCCTTATCGTTCTTTCTCAGCAGCATTTATACAAATATAATTCAGACAAAACAATTGAAGCGACGTAATGTAAATATATATAAATAAAGATCATAAAATTCAATATGATCATGAAATAATAATATCTATTCAAATCGGTAATCTAAACATCAATAACAATTAACATATGATGTAATTTTTTTTAGTTCATTTTTTTTTCGCTAAAACATCTACCCCCAACTTGTAAGAGACATCTCAACTTTCACATCAACGTTGTAAATTAGAAAACTAATTAACTATGTAAAACTGTATTATTCTGGTAAAATCTGTAATCAAATTCTGTAATCAGGCCTTGAATCTAATCTACATGCAAATCTGCATTAATCCCCTGAATCAAGTGGTAGGAATTACTTAATATACCATAACATACAGTCTTTCGGTAACTTTCTAAAATATCACCAAATAACACTGATTTTGGCGATAAAATTTAAGAAATGAAATAGAAGATCCCTGCCATTCAAGCGGAAAAACGTTCTCACGAGATATTATTAGTGATATGCAACTTTTTTACAATGATATAAGTAATATGACCACGCTTTCAAACTCCAAGTCAGGAGAGCTGACAATAGGGAAGGTAACTCTAGTCAGCTATTATTTTCTGGGTCTCTGGTCATCAAAATGAATTGCGCGACCCAAGATGGGTGGGTAGCGTGACGCGATTATGTTAATTGGAAACAGTGGATTAATTGCAGGTGTTTAAAAGGTCAAAACTACACAAATACAGACAAAAACTAAAACATCCTTGCGTGACTTGAAACTGCAGTACAGAATAAAATATCATTATAGTATTTCAAACCGTTTTACAAATTGTACAAAATTTGGGGAATGTCTCTTAAGCCGAAAATACCATCGAAGTAAAGATGTTTTCATCGCTTAATCTCTTCATAACTTTGTTTAAAAAAAAAAACTAAAAAAAAACATATTTCTTTTTTCCTCGAGAATCATGCTATTTTTCAACTTGTAGACATAAATATTTAAGATTCTTTTTTACAACAACGTTTTTTTGTACGTTTATCATTAGTGAAAGAAGGGAAAACAAACTTTTCCTTCAAGAATCAGCGCCCACTGGGGCGACAGTGTCAAACTCAATGTTCGCAATAAAGCCCCTTACTGCTTGACACCCATTAAATCAGGAAAATATATTTCAAAATTATTTTAATGCTTTGTCCACATTGTCATCTGTCTATGTCAGTTGTACATTTAACACAGTTTTTGCAATGTCACCTTTATGATAAAATTTATCGTTTCTGGATGTAATCCATTTTTATAAGAATACAGAGTCAGTGGTTATCAATTAGTACATGCCACGATAATCCTTTACAAAAATTGATAATTTGATAAATTATACATCACGATTTTTGAAGATTTACTTTAGTGAAATATAAGAGAATTTTTTTCACCCTTTCGCACCTTAAGACATTTTTATTAATGAGTAAACTATCTACCAATAAATACTTATCAAAAAAATGCCCTAAACTTTCCTTATTTACAGTAACGGAGAGAGAAAAAAAATTCTTCTGAAAAAAAAATATGAAAGGATTTGACAAATTTGTTTTTAATGGGGATACAGTGAAAAATATTAAGCGAGTTTTAAAAGGATTAAAATATTATCATTGAAAACTTGACATATATATATATTAAACATTCTGGCCCTGTCACACTTATGGCAATAATAAATTGCTAACTCTGATCTCTCCTATATTTGTCCAAAATAAATTTTGTTTTGATGCTAAAACATTTTTATCTTGTGATGGAAATTTAATGCTTTTTGGTATCAAATTGACTCCTTTGGGTTTAAAAAAATATCTCATAGTGTTGTTAGGGAATACACAGTGCTTAACTTAAAAAAAAAATCATAAAAATTAAAAAAAAAAAAGATAAAAAAATTTATTAAATTGAAAAAACAATATTGAAAGAACTAATGAATTTTATTTTTAAAGAATGTCCAGTAGCGCATACTGATAATTTTATTCTGTTTTGTGGCATTTTTATATTCCGTAATGTTCCCTATAACTGGGATAAAGGAACTTTGATACATATCCCATAGTTCCTCTTTTTTTAAAGTCTATAAAAGCCAAACATATTTAAGATCAAAATCTGTTGCAAAAATTTTAATGCTGACATATTTATGGCCGTGCAAATAAATGTAGCTATTCACAAATCGGAATGGCCAGAAATTTATAGTCAATGAAATTTAACCATTTCATCATTAAGAGGTCATTTCAAAAATTTTAAGTTATTTTTTATAAGTTTTAAGATGGTAAATCGTGTGACAGTTCACATAACCCTGACAAAATTTACGGCTTTTTTAAAAGATTATACTCAGATTTTTTATCTGAATAAAAGAAATTTTACGATAAAGATAGAGAAATGGAGTATGTTTGACTCAAGTTGCATCTGTATATACGTGAAAATATTAAATGATAACGCATCTAAATGGAACAATGTTTATAAAAAAAAACAACCCTTTTACTATACAATTGTCACATTCTATCACGATCATATATAATATTATGGCCATATTTTTTACTAAGTTTTTTCATTATCCCCCCTCGGGGCCTTCCGATCCCCCACCACACACATTCTCCAACCTTTCCGAAAAAATATTTCACTCCGCTGACTTCTTTGCATGAAAAAAGTAAATAAACACACTATTTTTCTCACATTTTCTTTTTTTCGAACTAGAAGTGAAAATTTAAAATACATCATCAAGAATAATAACATGGTACGGACTGCCAGGGTACAAAACAATATGCGCCACAGGTGAATTTAAGTGTTTTATCCGAATAAATCACACAATTCCTTTCACACAGTGACGTTTTTAACATTCCTGGTGGCTGGGCCACGTTGAATTTTGAAGATTTATAACACCTGGGTTTAACAGGCTTAATTTGGGAGTGTCTCTTCGCTACAACAATGGCCTATTGTCAATATGAAGTTATTACGCTTGTCCGTTCTTAGTTGGTCTTATACGTACAATTATATGTACTATAACCGCTTGGCACCCCTCATCCCCGCACAATTTGTGTCCTCAGATGACCGAACCCTATGTACTTTTCAATATACATTAAATATATAGCAAAAACATGTACTAATATTACGATAAATGCAGACAACGGTTTACATACTTGTTCTTAGCGATAAAGAATTACTAGTACTTTTTGATAAAGAATTACTTGTACATATTGATAAAGAATTACTTGTACTTTTTGATAAAGAATTACTTGTATATATTGATAAAGAATTACTTGTACTTATTGATAAAGAATTACTTAGAATTTCTAAAATGCAAGCATTAATACTGATGAACATACATGTATTAAAATTGTTAAAAAATTTCCGAAAGAAAGAAAAAAAAAATTAAAAGCAACATATGGCCGTGAGCTGAAGTAAATTGCAATTCCCTAAACAAAACCATATAATCAAAATACCCCTTTTGTAGGGATAACGAAATAATGGTTAATTATTTCCTAATTTTGTCTCCCATTGAATTGCACAAATCGTGCACACAAAAGCTCGAATTTCAAATTAAAACTGGCAAAGTCTAGCATTAAATCAACAAGCTTCTGAAAATCATGCTTAAAAAGGCATTACTGTTACACGGAAAGATGCTGAGTCATTCTAGACATAATTATTTTATGTTTCTCTTCGCAAAAATTGTGTCAACATTTCTGATGTCTTCTAATTAATATCTCTCAAAAATGACAGAACATAAAAAAAACCAAAAAAATATTAGTTTTGTTGTTTCTCTAAATTTTTTACAAAATCAATGAATATTTCAGTATGTTTTTCTTTCCATTTATCTTCAAACATCTTACTGGGTTTAAAACTTTTACAACAAATCGAAAGTTACAAGAGATTATTGATAGAATTCTAAATGTTGCCCATTCAATTTTCTATCTATCATATAATGACATAGCAATCCAAACAGTGGCTACCTATTAAGATTTTTATTATTGCAAATAGCTCTTAAAAAATCATGCAAAAACCATAAATACACCCCAACTCTACAAGTGTAAGCATTTGCTTGATTTTTACATTTTACTTTGAATTATTAAAATCATTACTATTAACCCGAAAAACAAAAGAACCAGGAAAAAATCCATACAATAAGCACCAACACAAAAGAAAATTAAAAATCTGGGTAGATCTCTTTTATTTAAAATAATATCGTAGTCACCTCTTGCTGGTTAAATTAATCATTTGAATACGCGAATCATTATTAACATGGACACATATTCAATATCGTGGACCATTATGTGCGTGCAAACAATTCTCCACTCGTTCCCTGAAAATCCTAAACAATAAATCACTAAAACGTGAACAAATGATAAAAAATTCATTTCCCAAATACTGAACAATTTTTCAAATCTTATGACAGATTATTGTAGCGGGGGCTTTTCAAGTTTTAATGATAAAGTATCAGTCGAGCTTATGCGTAACTTAACATAAACCAATATTAACTTCTATAGTTTTTTTCCCTCCGTTATATGCGCGGCCCTTTGTGCGGAATTTATTTTGTATTGTGAATTTTCTCTTTGTGTTTTTTAATACTTTATCACAAGATAAAAGGCCCTATACATAACACATGCAACATTTTATAGGAGATTTCCAACATCAAAGCAACGTGCACCATTAGTGTTTTATCTACCATAGAATATATGTGTAGCAGAAAATTCTCCGATGTCTCTATAAGCGCAAAAATGTCCTTAGTGACCTTTCCGCACACAAATCCATTATTTGCGCAATTTCAAAACTTTGAAACAAACAAATTTTAAGGTAAACATAACATGTATGCTACTACTCTGGAAATTATTAATGAGTTTTTCTATGATTGTTGAATTATTAACTTCCAAAGAGGGGGTAAACAAAGGGAAAAACAAACAAAATACAAGACTGATGAAACTGCTCTCACACAGTACAAAACAAGAAAAACGAGTACGCAACACCATTGACAGCAGACTCCATGACAATAAAGAATGCTAAAAATTGTTTGCAACAACATATACAACTGGTTTTCATATACCATAATTGACCTATACCCTGTGAAACTTGCATAATGGAATAATCCTGCTTTAATTGGAACTGGACATTTCAATATTAAGCTGCCAGCAGCATTGACACTATACTGACTGTGTATTCAACAAGTTTAGTGTCACAATAAATAAGAAAAACTTGACAGAAAAAGAAGGTTTTAACAATGCTTAAGGAGATAAAATTAATATACTCTTTAAAATAAACAGAAACATCAAAATAATTCCTAAAGAAGAATGTGAAGCTTTCAAATCGCACCCGCTCTAAGAATCCGACCCTACATGATACACGTGCAGCTTCATAGTGTGTCGCTAACCACTATAGAATACACTGTAAAAATGCTAAATTTAGCCAACAAATAGATCAAAGTTTTAAGGTATTGACAAACTACACCATCAAACCATTTAAGAGAAGAAAGTTTGTGGCCGTTGAAAATGAATCATTTCTCATTCAGCCTTTATGTATTCTCTTCGCCATAACAATAAACAAAACACAGCTCGACAGCCATTTCAATTTGTGAATGTCAATCAATAAGATTATACGGAGATATTGGTGCTAGGGTTTGCTAGATTCTCTCATTTACAGACACTTTGACAGCCTATCTGGTCGTAATGGCAGATTTATACATACAAACATTTTCTACAAGTCAATAAGCACCCCAGCATTTTACCATTTTACGAAGAAGAAGTCTCCCTGTCATGGGGAAATCCATTATTCCGTTCCAGCAGAAAATGGGAAAACCGCTACAATGTGCAGTAATAGAGGAAATGGAATTAAGACATCCAATTTTAGTCACTTTGGAATTCATCTTATAGAATATCTCCGAGCAGTTCATAAAATGTCTGACAGTCGGCGATTGCTGACGTGTGAGAGACTGGTTCTAAACTGTGGTATAATAAAGATGACAAATTCGGAATTGCATATCTTATACCGAACGACGGACAAAATACTTCTTGCGTCATAAACATTATGGAATTTAATACGAAACATAGAAGAATTCTAACAAATTTTATCAAACGTTTTATACAGGTGAAATATAAAGATTAATATGGCATCTGAGAAATACTGGGAGTTACTGTTGAAGAAAGAAGCGTCAAGCTGAACTATTGTGACGTTGGACGTATACAAAGATACGGTCAATGGGATGACAAACTATATTCAGCTGACTGCCATCAAATATAAATACCTTAACTGGCCACCTGTACTAAGTCAATGTTCACATCGGGACCTTGTCACAGAAATAATAACAGCTTGAGCCACCATAATTATATTTAATCATCATAAACCCTGGTTTCCAACTCCAGTGAGTGCAAATGAAAAATTTTCACCATATAATCAAAGATGATTATTTCTGACAATGGACATAAATAACACACCTTTAATAAAGAACTACCTGCTTTAACAGAACATTATGGCCAAATTAACTCTAAAAGGATGTGAATTTTGTTAGTCCTTGAAGCAATTAACATAACGTTCATTAAAATTATAGAAGCTTAATTGCCTTTACTTCGTCTCCTGTAAAACTGCACTCTTTCTCTCCGCGAACAATCCAAATATATTATAATTATCGGGTATATGGACAAAAATATTGATATATAAGAAAGGAATCTCCAGTCAAATTGCTATAAATGGTTGCCGGCCATGATTATATACAATAACCAGTTAGAAAAGGTCGCACCATGAATGAAAATACGTTTTAAGATTGTTTATGGAACACATTAACGAAAATTTTGACAATTTATTTCGTAAAATGTCTTGAATCATGCGAGGCCACCTATAAAAAGTGCAAAAGTCGTCAATTATATTTGTCATACAGGCGAAGTCTTGACTGCAATACTAAATGCACGTCAAGGAGAATGAACTGTACATTTTTTTCCCCCCATTGATTAGATGTTTATGCTTGTCAAATATAATTTTGAAATCATGACAAAAAGGCATACAGACCAATCCCTTTCCTAATTCAACAAAAAATAAATTTGACACAAAATAAGACATATATAACATTCATATATATGTAAGTTACAAAACAAAGACTGCAAACTTTGAAAAGCAAAAGCATTTGGGTCATTGTGTTTGTTTGGTTTAAACTTTCTCACCTGACCCAAAGTGACCTGTGGTCATAAACCAAGCTGGACATCCCTGTTGCAGCTAATACAATTCTTCTCTCTCCACAAATTTTTATGACCAGACCTAATTTGTGTGTAAATTTTCTCTCAATTTCCTATGACATTAACTTGTCGAAAAGTGCACATGAGGACACTGGTCAAAGGATAGGGCTGTCATAAACATGCCTGGTCACTGGTGGATCACACTTGACCTCAGCGGTCAATCTTGACCTTACCGACCTCTAAATGAAAGAGCTGGTCAGTTCCCAGGGTCACATGTTTGTAATTTATTTTGCACATGCTATTGTAAAACAGATATTTGATTTATATTAAAGGCTTTACTTTAGACAACATCATGAATTTTCCACTTCATTTCTCTCCAATGAATGCACTTTCAAAATCCATCGGCGGACTATGACACACTTTTGACAAATCTAATCGGACAATCATTTCCTGACCCATATGTGCTTTGCTTGCAAAACAAATCTAAGATTATTGATAACAACTGCATATAAGATATGATATGATAAATTAAAGAAATACTGTTTGCTCCATAGACTACAAGAAAATATGTGTTCAGTAAGCAACTTTCAATGCATGAAGATAGCTCTATAGAAAACTAGGCCATACTGTCACATGTAAAAAACTAGAATGCACAACACGAATAAAATAAAAAACATTGTCAAATACTCATTCTTTATAAGTCTTTGAATAAGAAACCCCGGAATCAATGTACAGTCAATTTAAATTTTTAGAATTCATTTACAACAGTCTATGTAAATAAGCTTTGCACGCAATAACAGGCAAAGAGCAATGTAGGGTTCACATACTCCAGCTAGCAGATTTTAGTTTGCAAAAACAGAGTATCAGTAGAAAAAGTGTTTTTTTTTCAAACCAACTTAGGTGAAAGTAAATAATGAGAGGTACAACACAATCAAATCAGCGAGTGGGACATGTACAGGGTGTGGTATATATATTGAACAGGGTTTAAAATACATGACAATGTTCACCCTACCTGTAGAATTGGAGGGTGACTGTAGATCCATATGTGAGCCCTGTACGCTACTAGTAGCTGAAGATATACAAAATAACCATGGTTTACAGCTACTTATTTCTTATATCTACACAGTGGTTTAACATGTGTAGTCAATCTAACACGTGTATTCAATGTACACAGTAAATCTAACACATGTATTGTAATCAATGTGCACAGCCATTATCCAACACATGTTATCATTAGAAATAGCTTTGTACAGGAGTTGTTACTGTCACATTCAAGCCATCACAAATTATAATTGTGACATAAACTTTAGACCCTCTTTGTGCTTGTGCAAGACTTGGTACAGCGACATTTAAGCTATCTTTGTGTTTGTGCAAGACTTGGTCCAGCGACATTTAAGCTATCATTGTGTTTGTGCAAGAATTGTCTTGTGACAGTTAACCATCTCTGTGTTTGTGCAAGAATTGTCATTGTGATATTTAAGCCATCTTCATTTGTGTACATGAATTGTAACTGTGCCATACAGCCAGCCTTGTTTGTGTTTGTATTTGAAACATTCTTACTGCCTTAACTTGGTCAGACTTTAAAGACTTCCTTTTCAACAAACAAGGCAAGGCAAACATATTTTGCCACCCTTTTTTTTATAAAATTTCTTCTCTATTCTGTTAACAATGTTTGACTGATTCAATCCTCTTAAGTACGTTTGACTGATTAAATACTCTTAACTATGTTTGACTGGTTCAATTCTCTTAAATATGTTTGACTGGTTTAATTCTCTTAACTATGTTTGGTTCAATTCTATGTTCGACTGGTTCAATCCTTTTAACTATGTTTGACTGATTCAATTTTCTTAACTATGTTTGACTGATTCATTTCTCTTAACTATGTTTGACTGGTTTAATTCTCTTAAATATGTTTGACTGGTTCAATTCTCTTAACTATGTTTGGTTCAATTCTATGTTCGACTGGTTCAATCCTTTTAACTATGTTTGACTGATTCAATTCTCTTAACTATGTTTGACTGGTTCATTTCTCTAAACTATGTTTGACTGGTTAGCAAGTGTATTGTGATGTTAAGTATATTATACAACATACAGACACAAATGAAACAAACTACAGTCAAACTTGTCCCCAAAAGACCAGCCTATAAAAGTCAAAGAAAGTGATCTTTGTTTATAGTAAGCCTCTCAAACATGGTAATTCTGTGTTGTTTTTGTTAAATAGACAAATCAAAATGCTGGTCGTTAAATAAATGTTATACTGTGATTTTTTTTACACGAAAGGGGAAATAAACAGATGATTGAGATTCTGTGGTCTTTTTCTAGGGCTGGTCTGTATGCTATCACAGGTTTGACTGTATATTACTATCAATGAATAAGGAAAGAGATACTACTCACCAGTGGCCATGTTTGCTGGGGGTAGATCTAACACATATGTTTGGGAGTTGTTGGAAGGCACAGCTGTTGTGGTCCCTGAGAGGGTTGTCGGAACATACTGGTAAGGGTAGTAGGCGTTCGCTGCTGCGTTACTGTACTGGCTGTAGTAACTGTCTATAGTTGCCTGTATATATACAACAAAATACACATACTTTTGTAAAATGTATGTCGAAAGTAACGAAAGTTAAACACATATAATGGAATGACTTAGCATTCATTTTTAATTGTTTTACATAGATAATTAATGATTATATGTTTTCTTACAAAACAGTAATATTAAGAATATTAATAAGAATATATTATGAAAATTCTTTCTTGAATAGTTTTCGGGAAAAAGAAAAAAAAAACGAAAAAAACCACAAAAAAACAGATAAGGCTATATTTTTCATTGTTCTCTGTGATTAAATAGCAGTTAATGATTGAAATATCTCATAGACAACATAGCTAAATACGTGTAGCCGCTGGATTGTGATCTATCTACTGATTATAAATTTCTTTACTGATGATAAATATCAGAAACTATTAACAAGCTGTCAAGAAGTGATTTTTTCTGGGGAAAATTGAAAGTCTTCATATAGAATTTGACAATATAATTCTCGTCTTATCATTAACAGATTCACGTACGGTCTCGCTAACTGATGGAGAAGCTGCCCCCTTGAGTGAAATCTGCCGTCAAAAAACAAACTTAGACTCTCTGGCAAGCGGTAATTTAATTGAATGGGGGATTATTTCCTTTAACAGATGATAAAATTTAAATAATTGATTTCCGTGATTTTGTTCTCTCTTAAGTTTCGGTCCATGAAACCATTTTATGGTCTACGCAGTGTGTTAAATTGCCCAAAGCAGTTATGGGCCATGATCGCCAATTTTTATGGGGATTAACTAAAAATGTCCTATTGTGAAAAATCATGCTAAACGCATAGCGTAAAATACCGCTCAATTTTATATTAATGATAATACAAATTTATCGCAAGCCTCCGGCAACTAGCGTGAAATTAAAGAAAATAGTTTTTAACAACACATCATGATCATAAAATTTTATACGAATATTAAAATGATAAATTTAAAATCAATTTCCCTCTCTGATACATTTTCGTTCAAAATAGTTATTTTGAAAATTTACAACTCATAGATTTTAAATAAGTTTCCGAGTGTTATTGAAATAAACTGAATTTTCCTCTCTCTTTTTTATTATTACTTATAACTTCCTTATGATGACCTAAGTTCAGATGACAAAGTTAAGAAATCGTAAAAATTCTGCGAACAAAACAGTTTCATTTAAATTTCTTACAAAAATGTACAATACACTTAAGCTGTTTTCCATTTTCCTTATATAAAACAGGACATAGTTTAGTTTTTGGGCGTGCAAAAAAACTGTAAAATCATTGTCCTTTTCATCAAAATCAAAGTTATATTACAGATTTAAAGTAACAATAACTTCCTAAAATGATTTTATTTTTGTCATTTTCTTATACAATGCTTTAAACCAAAGATGCTAAAGTAGCCATTTTTTATTCGCTCTCATTTTTTATCAAAAACAAATCATGTTAAACATATGGATTTGTTAGACTTTGAGGTAAATGACATCATGAACAATAAAGCTGTGATGTTTCACACTCAACAGCGAGGGGGGTTGTGACGGTAACAAAGGTTTAAACCACAAAAGCTATAAATACCAATGATCGGTAAGTAAGTGACCCACAAATCATATGTGCCAGCTCACGATGAATGTCACTTTCCCGTCATGGTAGATGTGATATTTCACGACATGTGGGGTGACATTCAATTCTTATTCTCTAATGGCTTGCATAATTTCAGTGACACTAGATAATCAATTGATTTATGTAGTATTACTCATAACAAATTCATCAGAATCTCTGCTTGAATTTTAATGGTCCATCTGTATTAGGTAATTAGGTATTAATACAATTCTATACATATCTAGAAAATGCAAAATTTCAAAAAATGTCACAAAATACCTTGTACAGCTACAATATTGTGGTCGATTTTTTTTTACTGGAGTCAATATTTTGAACCTATTAGTGTGGTAGATAATTATACCATGGGGTTGGTGTGGTAGATATACCATGGGGTTGGTGTGATAGATATAACATTGGGGAACTATCGTAACTAAGGGAGGATCAAGAGTGTGGAGGGTAGGTCCTCTTTCACCAAATGAGGTTTTGGTCACAAAGGGTTTGTGGCAAAATGTTTCCAAGTCAGCAGCCTCAACCACTTAGCCCAGTAAAGTCCTGAATACAAGTAATGGTGAAATATTAACCTGTTGTTGTGGTGAATACACTGATGACGATGTTGTGCTGTTTCCAGTACCAGGAAATGAACCAGGACCTGCAAAAAATAAATAATAATCTTATAAATACACTGACAGGGTAAAACCTAATATGATAACATACAATAAATTTAACAGACAACCCTGTTAAGTAATAAGAAATGTGTCCATACAACTCAGGGGCTATCACTTTCCACTGCTTTGTCAGTCTATGGATGGACAATGTGATGGACAAGGGCAAATCTATATCCCTGCACAGCCCCCCAACCCCCAGAGGGGCATAAAAATGAAATTCAATTACGTTATGTTGAAAAATAATGTAGAATTCCCAAGTTCTATCAATGAACATATTAAACAATAATCACTGACTGTTACCTCTTATTTAATATTATTGTATGCATAATGCTAAACTTCACTTTAGAACCAGTTATGTAAAAATTCCAGAGATTCTATATGCATGAATAAACTATAATTTATTACAAATTAAGTTACTTATGTTTTAATTCTAGTTTCAGATTCTTGACCTTATTGAAAGGCTTTCAATCTAGTAAATCAAAACCACTCACTATAAGGAAAGCCTGCTTGCCCTGCCTGGGTAAAGTTTGCCCCATATCCTGGGTACTGTGGGTTCATTTTAATGGACTTGACTGAAAATAAAAACAAAAACAAACAATATTAACCGAATGACTTCAACAATGACTTTAAAACAACTTCCTTTCTCTCCCTGCCACTCAGATTATAACCTGGATATAGTAAAGAAAAAAGAAGCTTTCTTGGAAAATTTAGACATCATAGTAGGGTTTGAAAAGCTTTCCAATCTATTATGTTAAGACAAGAAATAAAGCATAGCGATTCCCTACAGACTTGTAGAAGGTTTTTATACTTAGACTTAATGCTGATTAATTCTCGTATTCGTGATTTTACAACCATGCATTGACTTTCCATATTCAGTGATGGAATAAATATGACAGGTAATATATATATTCAACGACTCTGTCGACAGCGACAACAATAACGATACGATTTGTTTCGAAAAACAGTTGTTAATCAAAATATCAAACTATTAATCATTTCGAAATTTTATTTTTTTTAATTTTTTTTTTTTTCTGAAAATATTGTATAAGGATACTGTTATCATCTGACGATACATCTTCAAATTTTACGAATATTACGAAATGTAACTAATTATCTGCATATCCCCTCTCGTTATATCTGAAACATTTTAATTATGTCACAATCATATAGTACATTAATCATAAATCAAGTTGCAAACATAAATCATGTGTTGTTTTCTTTGTAATTCTAATTCATTAATCATTTATGATAGGTCAGTAACATGTAAACTTTCGAAATTCTAATTTTCTCTATATATGCTGTGCGTGTACAGCACTGTACCGGCTTCTTACTCTATTTCCCTTTCCGTAAATGACAGTTTTCTAATTTGCATAATTTTCTTGGTTGCCATCTATTTACAAATTAGTAAAGGTATTGAATAAAAAAAACTGTATTACCCTTTTTTTTCTTTTTAAACAATTTATGACATTAAAGGCCTTTATCATTCTAAACCACACATAATGTCTATTTATTCTATTCATGGGGCATTCAACGGCAATTTTCAATAACCCAACTGTGCTAGGTACCCATATTAAAATCAACAATTCTACCCTCCATGTGCCTATTACAAAATCTATTCAATCTTTGTGGTACCAATGCCAATTTCAGTGATTGATCATTTCATCCCAGCTTCTACGATTTTATCTCCTAACTCATTTCATAGCGCAACAATACCTGTCAGCCATTTTAATTGACAGCAGTTTAAGCCTCTAAGGGAAACTTTAATTTATCCTAAAAGTTTACAAAGAAATTGATTTTTATTTGACAAAGAATTGCAATTTATTTGATAATCACCAAAAACTATCTACACTTTTTATACAGAATCCCTCCGCATGAAAAAGTAGTTCCCTCCAGTTATAACTAGTCAAGCTGTGCGTACATCCATATATCTTTCAATACGATTATTGTCCCGGCACGATTTAGTGTCATTTTTTAACATTACATTTTTTATTCTACTCAATAATTATGTGCTTTTCAATATTAAAGATACAGTTTTATATTTTATGTACGTTCCAGCAACATGTCACATTTACCGGGTATTATTCACGTCATATTGTGATATAACATAAATCTAACAGATCATATCAAATCTGTACACTTAATTCATAATTTATATACAAAGAGCATGTCACAGCATATAACAGCATTTTACTTTTTTCAGGTAAACAGTACTTTAATATATAAAGATCATTTTACTTTTCTGAGATTAACTGTTCTTTAATATATAAACATAGACCATGTCACATTATATAGTAGTCTTTAACTTTTCTGAGATAAACTGTTCTTTAATATACAAAGACCATGTCACAGCATATCACATTTTTTTTTTCATTTTCTATGATAATCTGTACTTTATAAGATGATTCATTTTTAAGTGACGTTCCATAAGCTTGATGGATAGCTCCCTCCCATGAAAAAATCCGAAGTAACCTTGTGGGTTATGAACCTAAGGTAGTGACGGGCAAGTGGTTTGAAGTCAACGACCTTAACCACTCCGCCACTGACATCTCTGTCATGAATTACTTCAAGAATGAGAAAGATAACTGTTAACAAACTAGTACAAGTCGACTTACTGTCTGCAGATGATTGGTATGGAGGTATATAACTCTGGGCAGTGGGACTGTTATAAAATGCCCCAAACTGCGCAGCCGCATTCTGACTGTACGCCTGCATCGTGGTGGGTGTTTCACTATTGATACCGTCGGTTTCACTTGTAGCCGAAGCCGAGGGTGTAGCGTTTGTTTCTGAGGTACCTTCGTTGGCTGTTTCTGATGATGACGATGATGATGATGCCGCTCCTTCACTCGTAGGAACTTGAACAATATGTGGGTAAGCTACGGCTCTGGAACTGCAAACAAGCGAGAGAGAAAAAAATATAGTCAATTTATATACAAACTTCCACTAACTGGGGATTACATCAGACATTTATACAAAGTATATATTACTGCTTTTGAAACTAGATCTACATGTATACCTTGATTTTCTCCCATTTTAAAACTATTTCAAAAGCATTGTGCATTGGTTTTTTTGGTTTTTTACTGTTTGTTTTTGTTGCTTTTTGTAGGGTTTTTTTTATGGCAGGGAGTGGGGGTTGGGTTTGGGGCATTTGAATTCATTCAGCTTATCAAGTACATCCTGGTAAATCAATTTTACTTAATAACGATATATTCTTGTTTGTTAATTGATAAATCATACCATTCTGAGAAAAGCATTAAAACGTTTTCACTTGCTTTTGCCTTGCCTAATTCAGCACAAGAGGCAATTTCTGCTACAATACACTATATGGCAATACAAATCAGTAGATATATTTTACAAGTTTAATCAGCTGAAAATGTTAGTGCATCCCTGAGACAGTGATTCTATAAAGTTTGAATTGTATTTTTTTCTTATATACAATCATGTATATTACAAAATTTTGTCTTTTGAAATAATTTAGAATTGAGATGAAAGCATTTTTTAATCTGTATTTTTTTCCGTGACAAACTTTTAGCCCCTTGAGACAATTCTATCATAAACCAGTTTAGAACCGAAATTTGAAATTTATCACGAATGACAAAAATTAGCAGGATTTTAAACCAATTGGGTGATATGTGTAAATTGTCAGTATCAGATTTTCTTCAATTCCTAGAATATTAAATTGGCCGGTGACTTCCACAGATTTCAAAATAATTAAAGGAAGCATGCATATCTAAGGTCTTAATAGTGATATAACGGGTAGTCGGGAATTTCTATCAAACCATATTCTTCAAATTTAAAGGAACTCCACTGTGGAACAAAAAGCGTAAAAACATAAAATTTGAATTTCTTACATAGATCAACACGGGGACTTAAAATAGAAAGGTATGCAAAAGATGATTAAGAAATATACTAAGAATAATTTGAAATCATATATTTGTCCCATCTTGGCAAAAAAACCTAAGTGGAGTCCCTTTAAAGCAAAAATTAAAATGTTTATAAACTGTGTAAAATAATCAATAACATTTTTATATCTTATTGTCTGGAATTAATATACATTTCATCCACTTGTTTTATGTAACAGACTAAAATAAAATACATGCAGTAACTTTATTTCTAAAATCACGATAACGTAATTTCCTTTGTTATTTATCATATCAACTTATGAAGCTTATTAAAGCAAAACATGTTTTTAGTTAAACCATGTTGATTTGTGACCTTTTTATAAAAATTTTAAGATGGCATTTTTTTTTTGGTGAACAAAATGTTTTATAATACTCACCTATTTAAAAAATTTGCAATGAAGTTTGGATTATGAAGATCAGCTAATGTCTTGTTAGGGTCACCTGAAACATAAGCAACAAGAAATATGAATGTAATTAATATTATTATATGAAAACTATATAATTTTTAAAATATACAAAAAAGCTATGTCTGCGCAACTGTGCAGACTATAATATCAGATCATAATAAAGCAGCATATCTTAATAAATTTCCATATTGAACCCTGTAAATTAATATTGGACCATTCCTAATTCAAAACTGGGCAAGTCCATTATTAAGATTCAGATAGGTACAGGTGCATACTAACTTTTCTGCGCCGCAATAGCAAAAAGCACCCCCCCTCTTTTCAAAGCCTCTTCTCTATAACAATCAAATATTATTTGAATATAAAATGAGAAAAATGAAAAAAAAAATGTAACCTTGACAACAAATATTAATTTTATATTAAAAGACAATGTTATAATTATGCTACTAATATCTCTCTTTTTTCTTCTATTGATAGAAATACAGGACAATATAGTAACAATGCTTTAAACGAGTAAAGCAGACGCAAATTATAAATTATTTATACTCCTGTCCATCATAAAATTACGAGTCGATAATGTATGTTCTTTATAGCCATTTATGCATTAAAACGTTATCATATTGGTGAAATAAAGTTTGTCATTGACTCTAACACAAAAGTAATCGTTACACTTTGTATTATGTAACAGTTGTTTTAATCGGCATAATAAGTGAACAAAGGCGAGCGTAAAATGATATGTACAGATACCATGCTTTTTTTACTTTTCGTGCTAAATTTTACAAATGTAACGATTGTATTTCTAGTGAACAAGTGTTACATTTAAGGAAATCAAACAAATAAAAGTAAACTTATACGGCCCATGTAATGTATACTTCCCAAATATTTGTAGACTGATACCCAAACAAGCTTATTGATACCCCGGATGAAAGTTTGCAAAAAACAAGCTTCTGTGTAACAATGACTTGCACCGTCATGATGAGAAGACAAAAAAAAACTAAACGAGAGGGGAAAAAACACCATGATTAAATTTTTTTTGTATTTCATTTATTTTTCTCCTCTACTTAAACATATTTGTGGAATAAAAACCACATTCAATTTTTCCCCGTTTTCACTCAAGCCAACAGTAAAACTTAAGTCATTGAATCGAAAAACCTTACCTCAAATATTTAGGTCCATATAATAATGTTGGACTATCTTGTTGAATTAAATGAATAACTTTATGAAGATATCAAAACTTCTTTGTTTCAACTATTTTAATTCAAACCTTTTGATGAAAAAAAAAACAACAACATATAATAATGGTGAGAATTAGATGTAAAACTTCTGTATTGTAATTAGTCAGTCAGGCCCTGATCAGAAATTTACGAAAATCAATAATGTCTTTTACACTTAATAATGAAGAATAGGGAAACTCTTTGAAGACACAGGTGTAAAATGACACTCTTAATGACACTATGGAGGGAAGTTTAGTTTCTTGCCAGCCATTTTCTCCCTATTATTTTCTAGCAAAGTGCCCCTATTTGTAGTGATTTTTCTCTAGTCTTCATCATGACATGCAGTTAATTAGTAGTTATGTTGTTTTTTTTCGTCATGTGCCTTGAATTCTAATAACCATGCATAGCCAAAAAAAAATATATTAATGAAAAAATGAAAAAAAAAATAAAAAATTTCAAACTACAAAATGAAATTGACAGCTTAAACAAGAAAGTAAAACACTTTCAAACAGTTCTCCATAGATCATGGGTATACAGTACCAGTTAGTGTCTATCCATTCACATGCAATTTTAGTCATCAAAAATAAAAACAAATAAAGTCTTTTAGGTTTTAAAATATGATGTCTTCAAGATTACTGAAACAAACAACTTCTTTTAATAGAGATATTGACCAAAGGAACAACTTTTTCAACAAACCCATTGAAGCAGAGGCTTTATCTGAACAAAACCAGAAACCAGTCCATGATACCATTTTTTTTTTTATCCAAATCTTATATAGTAAAATAGTTTACACAACATAAAGGCTTCTTTTTAAGTTGTAATGAAGCTACATGAAAAACAATTCAAAAGATCCTTTTAACCTTATTTAATAAATCATTCTTATCCAGTCTATAGAATTTAGCCCACACATAGACTTCTGTAAACCAGACTCTAATTAGAACATGCTGTGAGTCACACTCAGATTATTGTTGATTAGTCTGTAGAAAAGACCAAATTTACAAATTTTTGTTCCAACATCTACAGAACTGAACTCATGCACTGACTCATTCAATCATCTATATCAGAGACTTTAGTTCCTCATCAAGAGAATTGAACTAATTCATACACATTTTTCAACCAGTCCAAAGAAATCAACTCACAAATTTGTGTTAACCAGTCTCACAAATTTGGTTAGAAATCAACTCACAAATTTGTGTTAACCAGTCTCACAAATTTGTGTTAACCAGTCTATTAAAATAAACTCACAAATTGTGTTAACCAGTCCATAGAAATCAAAATCAACTCACAAATTTGTGTTTACCAGTCTTACAAATTTTTGTTAACCATTCTATTATGAGTACCCACAGTCTTATTCTGTACTCCACAAAAAACTTTAAGACTATAATGACAATGTCATGCGGTTAACTTCGAACATAAATTTAACAAAACGCCACACCATGCTGACCTTTGTTTAGTGAAATATATCATGCAAAAATAAAATCGGCATTTCTAAAACACTGGGTTTTTTTTAAACCAAACTTTCAACATGCTTTCTGCAATTTACCTCTGCCAGTGAACCAGTCAATGGGAATCGTTATAACCTCTCCTGGTGAGAGAGGGGACCCAGTCATAGAAGTGTCACCGAGACTAGGTTTTATAGTTATTACTGAAATAAATAACATCTTAACTGTAACGATCATAATTTAAATATGTATTAAACAACTGAATTGGCTAAATTTTATGTCCAGTTAACAGAGTATCATAATTAAAAGTATCACCAAAGATATTTTTATCTTTTATTTTCATATATATAAACAACAGTATTTCCTATTTATAGTTTTGAGGAAGTGGCTAATTCATTTTTTTTTTATTGAAAGATATTTATAGGGAGTTGAGATTTTAATTAACAACTTGTCAAACTCTGCTAGAAATTCTATGAAATTGTTGTATTTGTTGAGACGTGTTGGCTACACGATGGCTACACGGTGGGTTAAAGTGTGAGAACCAACATAATACACAAATAGCTCAGTCGCAATAGAGAACAGATAAGTGTCGCCCAAACAGTTTTTCACAATTCCATTTTTGCCCTTTTTCTCTTCTGGAGAGCCTCTTCAGCGTGGGTGACTCAATTGTGTTTCATACAATGAAGAGTAGTCAGACTAAATAAACCTCCAAATGAAGAATTCGCCATTCATTGGGCACTTGTTGGAACATGAAAGAACTCCAATGCAAAGGAGCGATAGGAGGTTAGTTTCTCGTGAAGAGGCGGTACACGCCTTGTTATTGTGCACAGAGATATTGATAGGGATCTTTATGTCGTTCAAGATACAAATATTGTCACAAAAGGTTAAAAAGCTGCCTCACAAACCATTCTATAGACTATGTAGAAAATGAAGAATGTCTCCACTTTAGTATCAAAATAAACTTTAATAAAAGCCGAATTACGCGTCTATCATTCCTTATACGATATAAACGTAAATACTTTATTCAATCAAGAAAATTGCATAACCTTTGTACGAAATGATAATCTGAAAATCAATCTTTATAATAAAAAAAAAATCCTGTTATAATTTATGGATGGGATTCTCTGTCTTTCAACTTTTCAATCAAAATTAATTAACATGTTATTATACGAATTTCAATACAGATTATGACAAATGCGTTCCTTCTTAAGATTTGATTTTCCTCAAAGATAAAATCAGAGAGAGATAATTTTGAAAAATGGTTGAAAGAAACGTTGTTCAAAGTTTCGGCACGATGTATTAGCTCCCTGCCTCGACTTTAATGAAATCTGTCGAAGGGATAATACGTAAAGTCATCATAGAGTAACAGAAAATATAAATCATTTTTTTCTTGCGTGGAAATTCAAAAAACAAAGTGATAATAATTGGTGGATAAAATATAGCAGTGTCTGTACATTACAACTTGAAAAAACAACGATGATTTATTTCCTAATATATCATTATTTACAAAAAAATAATTTATAAAACTTGTATCATTATAATTTTGACAGGTAATGAGTAAAAGAAAATAAGCTTTTATAAATCATTAAATTAACATCATAAGCTGTTTTCATACAACTTTTTCAAATAGTTATAATTATTCATATATCTTATTCTAAATGCTAATAAGATTTTTTTTTTTGAAAGCTCAACTTCAAAAAGAAAACAGCAAATGAGGTTGTGCGACACTAAATGAAAAAATAAATTATTTTGTCTAAAATGATGGCAGTCATATACAGTGTTTTTCCATTGACAAGGAAACAAACAAATAAAAAAAATTGCAAAAATTTTAATCAAACTTAGCATTTATTTCAATTCTTTAATCTACATTATCTGTCAAACTATGTAAAAGTCCTGAACAGCTTGAGTGTCCTTGAAAAACAAATGTAATATGATCATTTTTTTAACTTAAATTTACACAATTGAAAACAAGAAGGCAAAATCCTGAGTCTGAATCTTGAATACCTTTTTTGATAATTAAAAAAAAAAGAAGAAAATAACGCAAAAGCTATTTGAGCACAGGTGGGTAAAGAATTATAAAACACTGATTAAGACTTCATATTTGAAGAGTATTCAAGGGGCAGCGAAAATGCCATCAAGAGATGCTGGCATGAAAATAGGGTGGGGAGATAAAATTGTTTTGTTTCAGACTGGAAGATAAGCCGTTATGATAAAGCTCATTTCTATGATAATGATTGATAAATTTCCAAGATCTTAGAGGCTAATTTGTCTCAAACAGCTCTGGTCATGCCGAGAAACATTATTTACAAGGCTTGTTGCCCTATCTTCATTTAATTCCTATCATCAATAAAGTAAATTTGTTTTCTACACCTTAAAGATTAGCTTCTGTGAAACAGATTTCTTAGATTTTTCAATATCTAGGAAAACATAAAAGAGAAGATGATGATTGATATTTGAAATACTTTTTTCAAATACGCTTCACAAAAAATAGGCTTATTTAGCATTATCATAAAAAAATACATTTGATATTCTAGGGGGCGGGGAGGGGGACCTTAAATTGATCTGGAATAAGTGGATTTGTTAAGCAAGAGGGGTCAAATGACGCTTTTCTTCTTCACCTTCATGAATTTTAACTACCATATGTTTATTAAACAATGTCTTATTATGTCAATGTTTTCTTTGTAATCAAATTCTATTCATATACAAGAAACATTTTTTGTACAGGTATGCATATCTAAAAAAACTAAAATCAAACCAATGCAATTTTTCTATTTGATACTGTAACAGAAGTTTTCTTTTTAACTCCCAATACATCATAACTTCCGAAAACTCAACTGCGGGCCTCAGTTTCATCGTCATCAAAAACCCGCAATTTGTTGTTCATTATACACTACACGGACGTGAACGGAACTTCACTGCTGGGGAGCTCTATGCTTAAACAAACGTGTTAAATCTTAATCCTTATGACCATTCAAAATGTAGCGCATAAAATAGACTTAAAATAACGCCCCATTAATTCTGTGAGAATTTTGAAATTAACTTCGCATAAAATTCAGACATTAAACCGTCAGGGTCGAACGATAATGTTTTGATAAAATTTAACAGCAGAAATAACAATGGGTTTTCCTGACCATAAAATTTTCATTTTATTCTATCATACATTTTTGAAAAGTTTGACTAATAAAGTCAAAAATATTCTAAACAACCCCATATAAGAATGTGAATTAACTTGTTATAATAGTTAAAGCGTGGCCTACATTATTTATTTAGATTTTAACACCCGTCTCCTGAAACGTATTGAGGGAAAAGCCATGAACGGGGAGAATTTATGTCACAAAATTATTAACTGCATGTAAAATACTTTCTATAACCCGACTTCAAATATCCGTCCAAGTTATAAAGAAAAGGTTTCTAAATTTTTCAACGCAAAGATTATATTTGTATTTAATATTTCATTTTTATTTTGTGCATTATGATCATGTGCAGCCATACAATTATATGACATATTAGATCAATATTTTTGTGAAATATGTTTTTGTTTTTTTTTGTATCCTACGAGAACTTGTTAAACCATTAGAACAATAAAAAAATAAATTAAATTCAAACAAGGTAAGTCAGTTCTGTTGTTTTCCGGTAATTTACAGATCTACCAATATTAGAACTATAAGATATTGCAGTATCTGGAATTGTTCCGAGATTTGTTTATTTTCCTTTGTAATAAAACCTATTTTCATCTGCTATAAAAAATGGAATATAGAGGAATATAGTATTTAATTCCCATTTACTGGATCCGTTGAGTATCAACAGCGGGGAAAATGACACATTCTAGATAAACGTACATTTTTTGTTCTTTTTCCTCAATAGTTCTTGTGATGTTTTATGGGCGAACCGGCTAAGTACCATCTGGTTAGAAAGATTACGATGGTCGTAAAATGGTGATAATGAAACTACGCACACAACTTTAGACTGATGAGTCCAACGTTTTTATTTTGTCTAAGGACATTAGTAACTGCACTGTGTTTACGATTTAATAGAAAGTCAATGTTCGGTGATCAAATCAAGTATTGGGCGATCTGATGAGGAAATTACTATTTTACTACGAGCTGCCAACGTCATCTGCCAACTTTCAACGTAAAGTCTTAAAGTTTAGGGTCAACCTGCCTCGCTCTTTCCACAATACTCAAGACATAAAATTCTCCTCTAATCAAGTCACTCTAATCTGATTTTACTGCATTTTAAACACTCTGTTTTACGACTCACAAGCTAGGCGTGATTTTTTTCAAAATTTTGGTATGCAGTGAAAAATTACAGCAAGTATACCATGTGATTCGTGGCATGGAGAGGCGCATTGGTCATTCCTGTATCAGCTTTGAAAGCTGGAATTTCCCCATATGACCATTTTAACGTTTGTGCTCTGCCTACCAAATTTTAAAAGACGTATCACATATGCTTCACACAGTTAAGAACGTTTGCAATATTCAATATTTATCTATATTTCACCATCATAGTATAATTATGAGACTTGAGACAAGAAAAGTTGAACTAACCTGTAAGTGGGCCAGCAACTCCTGACATTACCCACGGCTCACCGGCCTGGAGGACGGAATCCCCTGTAGTGACCAGGGACGGTATATCACCTGAAATCCACAAAATATAAACGTTTAATAAAATATCCAATACCGGTCAGTAAACTTTTTTAGAATATACCAAAACAGACCTTATATACATTGTATATTTAAAAAAAACTTGAGAGTCCTTATAACACCCTCATTAATTGATTGATTCTATCTAGGATGCGTTACATTTTATCACATCGCTATGTTTTTTGCAATTTTAGCTATTAATCACTATCAATGAATTTCGGTACATTACATACTCATTAGTTTATCATGTTCGCAAGATGCTAATTTCTTCAGAAAAAGTTTCAATAAGACGAGCATGCGGGGAATATGTGAGACTATCATATCATGCTATCACTTTGATGTACAGTAAGATATACCCGTACAAGCACTTTGTATCATAATGCAATATTAAAAACCAGATTTCGCTTCTTCATCACAAAGTTTTCTTGCAACCTAATTACATAAATTCGTCGAGACTCCGATTTAACAACAAAACACTAGAATCACTCCGTTCTCGGTCATATGAGCCGCGTCATGACAAAACCAACGTAATGCGTTTGCGACCATCATGGATCTAGACCAGCCTGCGCATCCGTGCAGTCTGATCAGGATCCATGCTGTTCGCTTACAAACCCTATTATAAGTAAAGAAACTGATAGCGAACAGAATGGATCCTGATCAGACTGTGCGGGATGCACATGCAGGTCTGGATCCATGCTGGTCGCAAACCCACTATGTTGGTTTTGTCGTGACGCGGCTCAATTATTATTCTTGTTTTCATTTCATGGTAAACCAAAAGTCTCTTTAATACAGATTTTATGGCCGCAGATAACAATGACAGCCACAGAATATGTATTTAGATTATGAATAAGGTATAGGTCGTTTTTTGCCCGTTTTATATCAGCATTAAGTCATGTTTTATATGATAGCATCTTCATTAATATTCAAATCTTCCTGACATTTATTTATTACTAATAAACTCTGCAATAAAATAAAGGCAAAGAACTTGTTTCTAAAGACAAACTTAAAATTTTTGCTGCATCATTTTCACTAAAGACATTATACTGACTTATATGATATCAAAATCGCATTATGATATATTGTGTCTTTGCTTATATGCTTGAAAAAACCAACTTGTATGGGTTATAATAGGATTTCATTATCTCACAACTGAATAAATAATTTTTATCTAGTGAACTTTCCAACAACTAAACTAACACTTATTATTTTACGCATGATACTGAATATTTAATCTCTATAAAAATCACTGTGACCTCCTGTATGAAACAACAGTGAAAAAAAAACGTGTACTTTTGAAGTTGCATAACACATCCATGTGTAATTGGGCAAGGAATAACTGATTGAAGGGTCGTACAGGGTCGGTAACCATTTTTCAAATGCCATGGTTCACTGTGTGAGATTGATCATTGCACTAGATGGCGTTCCTGTTATAAAGCTAGGGCAGCGATGAACAATCAAACCGCGGACAGCATTCACCAATTATACTGTCATCCTTTTTATTATTTCCCTCAATGAAAGATTGGTTGAAATGTCCAAAAATAAGAGTCCCGAATTCCCATGTCTCGAAAAATATGATGGATGCTCGCTAATTCTGTAAGGAGGCGGAGTTTAGGCGTCATTAATTCATTAAATATTTTAATAGCTTCAGGAGTACACTTTTTAATTCTATGAAAAGACATTGAAAATTCACTGATCGGAAATCTTGATAAAAAGGACACATTTATCGCAAGATCTTCAAAATAGAGTTAATAATGCTACGGATAATTATCATGTGTATTTTTTTCAATTTTTTTTAGGGCGACTTTAAAGAATTCTGTGTGAAAAATGGGTTTCCTTTTGAGACAGGGAAAAAATTTACAAGATAATACAATTTACTATTTTAAACAACAGCAATTGTAAAATAACAAATCCCTATCCTTCAATCAGAGAGATTATCTCGTATTTTCATCGTGGAGAAGAAATTTTTTTGTTACATTTTCCAGTATTTAATGTTTGATTTGTATCTAAATAGGGTTAAAGAATAAAAGACACAAAGTTTAACAATGGAGTTCATCTGTTTCTACTTGTTAACACTACTATATATAAGGTTATAAAAATACTATCAGTTTTAAAATGAAAGGTGCTGTACTAAGGCACATGTAATTGGCCGTGAATTTCTGCAAAAAGGTGGGAGGATCCTTGAAGCTTAGAAGACAAGTAAGAAATCATACTAACCCTAACTGCACCAAATACCTTAAATAGACATGTCCGTTTTTTCGATCATCATTTTCAGGGAAAATGTCAAAATAAGTACATAAAATTATGTGTTGTCTGATCTTGGAATCTAAGGCTGGTTGCATGTGTATGGCAAGGTGAGGTTAAATAAATTTCATTTCCAAGAAAGACAGGTTACCCTGTACTAAAACTGGGTAATTTGAGAGACTGTATATTTTAGAGTTTCATGATGTCAAAACTGGGTTCCCCATCCCCCCTCAAATTCTCTATAGGTTTATCAAATAAGCCCTTACACCACTCTACTGTACATGGTCCTACTTTGAAATTTGAATGTCCTTAAATGCTAAAATCAAACGACCAACAATATAAAATCTGGTGATACTGATCAATAGCTGGTTATCATATATAGGTAAGGTTAGTAAGGGTTATATATTAGATTCCGTAACACAATTTGAACACAATTTTAAAGATATGGGGTTTTTTTTACGCCAACACAAGTTTGATTTCTCCATTGATTATACAATTGACTGTTAATTACAATGTTAAACATAGAATATTAATGATTTACAGATTAAATCGCCAGTTAGTTGTTAATTTAAGATCTTATTGATTTGCATGTAATGTTTCCATCTAGCATATACCAGATGCTGTAAGGACATTCTTGGTACAAAATCATTAGGTGTTATTACCTAGAATTTAACATTTCTTGAAGAACATTTGATGTAATATACTGTACAGTGACAGAAAAATTAACATTTACACTGATATGACTTTATCATTACCCCTGCGACCAGTGCGGATCAAAATCTGCTACAATGTCTGTGCAGTCTGATCATGGTCTGCATTGTTCGCTAAATTCAGTCATTATGTATTTTGAAAAAATTCACAAAAATGATGAATGGTCAAGTAGGAATGTCTATTTTGGTCAAGTCGAAATGTCTATTGAAGATATTTATTGTGGTAAAGATTTGTAATTGTCCATTAAAATCAAGCTAACATTACAGTGTCTGGTGAGATATTTACTCTTAGCTAACCATTTTCTTTTCGTAATGAACTAAGTTTTGTCCTTCTTTGAAATTTGGACCTTCTGTTTAGGGTGTCAAAATTGAGCCATATTTGGTCATACTGCAAAGGACGCATAAAGGATGTGAAGGTTAGCCTTAGCATAAGCCTGCACTTACGAAAGGCCTCTTGTGTTCAAAGTCTACCCCCCCCCCCCCCCACACACACACACCAGTACTTTTATAAAGACATAGAGTACATCCTCATTAATCATTCTGAGTGTTAATGTAAATTTTCTGGTAAAAAACTGCGTATAATAAACAGTAGTTTATAGATTAAATACTTCCTTACTAGCGTAAGAGTGCATAATTTCTTACATCTCATATAATATTTCGAAATATATTAATTTTGATTATGAACAAAGCATGTCATTTAAATGTCAAAACTCCTTCCGTATTAAAAAATGATTAAATAATTTATTAGTGTTTATATATTGTACTTCTACTTCTTCTACTTTTAATATTTATTATGATAATTCCAAATTTAAGCCAATTATACTAACTTAACCCGTAACCTGCCGGAACCAGAAGTCAAATTAGCCATGGCCGCCAGTATGTATAGAACCAGGCTAGCTTGTATGTCTGTGCAGTCGGACCAGGCTTTACTCTGTATACTGTTTTTAGCGCATTATTTTTATTATGACAGTGAAATCCCTTAAACTTAGAATGGACTGGTTTAAATTCAAAGCAGGGCAAATCCATTACACAAATTCAGGAGATTAAGGGTTATTACAGGACAGATGAAGAACAAATGTCTGTCATCTGAGTTTTATTAAAATGCCTGAGTTTTAATATAACATAATTATTTCCCATCTAATCAAGGTGACAGTACACTAAATTATACACCAAAAATTAATTGTACCTGTCAAATGACTAAATGTATGAATATCTTATTCTTGAATTATTATTCCAATAGATAAAACCACTTTCTATTGCTTTCAAAGAGACATGCCACATTTAAATACTATATCAAAAGGAAATTTCTCCTTTGAACAATTTCTAAGAGGTAATCTAAGCATCGTTGAAAAATCGAAAAATGTTTTATACGAACATCTCTTTGCCTCAAGCTTATTTTATCTATTTAAGAGAATTGTAAAACAAGATTTGAAAATCTTTAAGTCCAAATGATGACAAACGAGGGTAATATATGCATTCTTTACAAACAATTTCCTTAATTGATCAACTACAAAGAAATAAATATATATGAGTCAACGCTGCCACATTTTTTAATCTTAATTAAAAAAAATTTAATTGTCAAATAAAAGGGGTACTTGAAATTGCTTTAACAGAAATATTTGAGAGCGTTGGATAGCCAAATAAATAAATTTCAAATCCCAAAAAGGTATCTGAAAAAAAAATGTTTGACATATTTCGATCAATTATTATTCTTCTACTTGTTATTGACGTTCCAATTGAGATTGGATAAAGTCATTTCCGACCCTCGACTGAGTCATACATACACCTGTATTTAGCAAATGCCCGTTACTTGTCAGAAGGCGGACAATAAAGGTTGGCAATATATCTATGTAAGCTATTTAACAACTATTAACTTCAAGATGACTTTAGATATGAACCGTGTTATAGGGTGTGTTATGAATGAAGTATGCGCCAGATACCCTCCGAACATTGCCAATATTGGCACGCAGAAGATAATTGAAGGAAGCAATTCCCTGACAATGGCGGAAGACTGGATAACAATAATATTCTACCTTGACATACAGTCTTCCACCTTTCAGGGTCAATTGACTAAATGATAAATATACTGTTTACAAAATTACTAAACCTGTTTGAAATAGAAAGATTACAATTTCATAACTATTTATGTAAAATTCTTATAATTTTTAAGAGATTTAAGTTTTTTTGAGATTTAGGGAAACTTCCAAGACTGCTGAACAATTAAGCAGCAATAACAACTCTGATAAATCATTCTTAACAATATTACCTATCTTTTGTCCTCAGTATTCAATACCCTAACTAAGAGCCGTACCAGTCTGAATTTCAAGGCAGTTAACCAAGATCCTACACTGACAACGCAGTATAGGTCATTTTGTGACTTTCCAGCTTTACTGGTGGCAGAAGACCTCAGGTGCCCCTCTGTACACTATTCCAGGCACAAACAGGCACCTGAGTAGAATCACTGACATTCCGTAAGCTATTCTCACATGAAGAATCCGAAGACGCTGGCGTGGCTCGAACCTACAGTGTGAGAGCTTCCTGTCATTGTCGGAAGCCTAAATTTCCTGTGCTGACCTCTTGAGGAGAGGAAAGAAGAGCAGGAGAGGGAAATAATAATATATCTGTACGAAGTTATGCAAGTAATACCTTGAGTGGTGCCATTGGTTATAGTTTCCGGGTAGCCGTCTTTAGAATCTGCTGATGTATGACTAGATGAATTCTCCTCGACTTGATTAAATGATGATGGACTATGATGATTTCTCACTGGTTGTAATTCCTCTAATACTCTGAAATAAATAATTCTAGGTTTGAATACTACTCATTTGTAACAAAGATTTTCATTGGATAATTCGAAAATCTCATATATTTAAATCCATATACACATTGTACACCGCTATTGTAAATTTATATAAACATTAATTTTCTTCCTTTTGAAATTTTCAAAACAGAATTTTCATTAATTTGTTGTAGAGATTTGGAACATAATTATATGGCCAGGTATAATTGTTTGTAAAATATATAACCCTAACAGGTAAGCACCCTCAGGTCATATAACCCTATGACTGGTTATATTTTATGACCATAAAAATTGTGAAAAAATCTTCACAACTTTAGATCACAATATAAACCATACATACTATATCAATTTATAAACAAAGGTTCAATAATTAAAACTGAAATTCCAAAATAAAAATCTATTAATTTTCAATTCTTATCGTCTTTTAATAAATTAACAACTTATAGAAAGAGCCATAAAAATTCTGAAGCAAGTTTTAAGGAAATAAATTAAAGAAAATAAAATGTTTTATCTTTTAAGTGACTTAAAACTTTTTTTAAGTAATATAAATTCAAATGCACAGGCGAAATATACATTATAGGGTAATAAAACAATCCTGTATGTATATAGATCTGCTAAAAGCGTTATAAACATACAGTGGAATTCATTCTCTCCATCAAATCATCGATTGCCGTTCAGGTCAAAGTGAAATTTTGCTTTAACAAATGACATTTTATTATACATCCAATTTTGAAACAGTAAAATAGTACAAACAAATAAAACAACATGCTCCAAACATGGGGCATTTATGATCCCATTAATGGCCTGACATCATTTCCAGACAATCACATCTACATTAAATGATAACTGTTCTCTCACTTTGCCTTATTTCTCTTTCAAATTTTTAACTATTGACATAAAAAAAAGTATGGAAATAAAAAATCAACTATTTTATGACTACTGTTATACCAGCTGGAAGAAAATGATAAATTTTATGTACGGGGAAATATTTCATCAATATTACGTGTTTTATAACTTTATATATACATGAATGTCATATCAGTCTACAGTATATAACATATAATACATGTACTTTCTGTTTAAATAAATCAGTAATTTTTTTTTCTTTATAAAATGAAGACATAAATATTGATTATTCTTTATTCGCAAGAGTAAATAATATTCGCTTGTGTCAATATTTTAAATCCTTTTAATTTGGAGTCAATAAAAATTAAACATTTTACGCCAGAATAAATTTCATCAGAACCTATAATTTTCAAATTTTGTTTCCATGGCAACCAGGAGATGCTCAATACTAACCTCATCTGTCAAATGTCAGCATTCGAAATTTATGTACGAACAAGATACACTAATAACGAACTTTGAACAAAATTTATATCCAACATATGCTTTGCGACCATCGCTAATCCACTGTCGGTAATATCATAGTATCCAGTTTTATTTGCGGAAAGAAAAAAAAACATAAATAAATGTACCAGAAAAATAGAAAAACCCCTCTGTCGGTTTTCAGACAATACAATGTGTATTTTTTTCCACAAAGTTCCCGATTTTTGGGTAAGAATAGCAAAATGTGGTCAACGGATCGTAACTATCTATCACGAAGAGATAGACAATCCCCACTTTTCAAAATCGCTACAGATTTTTATCAAAAAATTTCATGCATGTTTTCACATTACTGTCTTTAGCCAATAATAATAGATACAAGGAATTGCGTACAATAACGTATAAAGATAATGCTTAAAATAGTATTTTTAAAACTGAATCATTTCTGATAAGTGCAATATCGTATTATATATAATAAAATATTCTCAATTATGATCACATTAAATTATGAAATATAAGATATTTAATATCCATAGGGGTTATTTTACCACAAAATGATATGCAACTTCGGTACGAAAACCTTAAAACCTCCGATTTATTTTTTTTTTGTCTCAAACTCGACCTAGTTTTGTTTTTTATTGAAAAAGGGCACAAGGCGAACAATCTTAGATAAAGAGATAAATTTTTACAGCATTGAAAATCAGTGAGATCGGCGTGATTTTTCCTTAAGACGAACCTTAAATGAGCCGTCCACAATGCCCGTGAACTATTTAACAAATCCTATTAATTGTAAAAACAATTAATCTGCATGCCTCGATGTACATTTTAAAAGGAAAATTATAAAACAATGCACAGATAATAACCTACTGATCGGGAAAAGAAATCGGCATGATATAGGAGAGGAAAAGGCATATACATAAAATATAGTAACTTCAAGTCATTCACTTTACGTAAATAATTGAACGGACTTATAATAGTATTTTGAAATGGAATACAATATATTACAATATTTGAAGAATCTTCTCTAAGCTCATATTACCACAAATATTATATTTTGTTTGTGGTTGTAATGAATCAATGCACTTTTTTTTAATTGTTGATAAATACATTTTCGTTTTTTTACTTCCATTTTGTCAATTAATATCAATCCAAGAAAGTGCTACCCGTGAACCGAGGTAAAATTTATATTCTCATTTTTAATGACCTGGAAAAAAAACTTCACTACGGCCCTTAAACCAAGTTCAGCAATGATGCAAGTTCAATTTACATTTTATATTTAACCGCAACTCCGGCCCTAAAACAAAGTTCAGCAATGATCGAAATTTCAATTTACATAATATATTTAATTGCAACTGCAAGGAAAACAGATTTGATAGTAATTTTATCAAATTCCTCCGTCAGGTCTGTTACTATTATTTTCACAATAAAATGATTTAGAACTAAAACAAAACTAAGCTTTCTCCGATTTAACTAAACTTGTACCAGAAAAATCCAACAAACGCATGTTCTACTTTTAAACGAGGTCAAAATGGAATATAATCAAATTTAATTTCATCTAAACGAAATATAACAGTGCTCTAAATAAATACAGTAGCATGCCAAGTGACAATTCCAGTCGATCCCCATTCACGAAAATTCCTGTCAATGGTTTTGAGACTATTTTCAGCTCTATGCTAATTATTATATGCCATAAAACCCCTCTTAACATCAGCCTAGAGCTCATTGCTCTGAACAATAACAAATTAACCTAATGGAGGGCTGGCTTTGGGAAATACAGTGAATTATCTGTAATAACCTTCCATTTGTATTTATTGTCCTGTATGACAATAGAAAGGAAGGAAGAACAATACTTTCTATAGCTAAACCCGATAATATTTCACAAAAATACACAATAATGATGGAGACTGGCTGCCATGAGTTAATCAGAAAGAGTGCTTGCCATCGTACTGAGACAGGAAATATATAACTAGAAATGGTCAAACGAGGGTAACCGTTTCTACATGATTTAATAAACCGCTTCGGTTTAATGAGTAGCCGCATTTTCAGCTAATGTGGCGATTTTCTAAATTCAATAACACTGTCATCAATTTACCAAGAATTTTTTTAACACTCAATGCTTTTTAGTACATGTATATATGTACATGTTGAAAAAAAATTAAATGTGCACTGATACATTTATCTAGTTTCAAAAAGTAAACCAATGGGAACTGATTGGTTACAACTCTAGGCTTCACTGTAAAGTGGCGATTTAATTGGAAACGTGTACTTGTTAATAATAGGTAAATCAAAACACTAAAAATACCCATAGCAATTTCTGATTCATCCCTGTCACTATCAAACATCTTCTCCGCCTTTTTTTTTTTCTATGAGCATGTTTTTTAATTACGCATACCTAACTCTGTAAATAGACTTTTTATTTTGCAAGTATTTTTATTCATCATTTTCAATGTTTACAGTGAGTGGCAGTGGTGTCTTATCAGAGCTGAAACTTCACATAAACCTCCATGGGGAGTCTGGTGATGTTAAAACACAAATTAAGTGCCAGTTATTTCATCATTATTGGCCAATTAAAACCCCCAATACCAGCTGGTTCACACAGATAAGAAACTATCATTGTCACAGTAATCATGAGCAACTTTTGCCCAATTAGCATACATCTTTACACCAATCAAACACTTCAAAATGAAAAAAAAAAAATTGTTCTTGCTGGTTTGAAAATTTATTTTTCTTCAAGTTATTGAAATGAAAAAAAAATTGATAACAATATATCTCAGGCCTGGTCAGGTTACAGGTTGGCAATTGCTCTATACACTATCTCACTATCAAACCCTAAGCTTTCTACAGGGTTTCTTGCTACCTTTTCTTAATTACCACATACATTCTAATGAAGAAGATCATTGATCATGGCAAATAAAATAAATAAAACAACAAAAATATATGCATGTACAATTATATTCTTATCAGCAGTATGCTCCCTAAAAAACCATCACTTGATGGGGTGGAAAAAATGGTCGCTTGAATTTATTATTATACTGTACAAACTGATTCTTCATGTTAATAATGTTTACCTGTTAACGTAACCAGTTACAATATGAGCCGCGTCATGACAAAACCAACATAATTGGTTTGCACCAGCATGGATCCAGACCAGCCTGCGCATCCGCAACCCTTTTACAAGTGGAGAAACCGATAGCGAACAGCATGGATCCTGATCAGACTGCGCGGATGCGCAGGCTAGTCTGGATCCATGCTGGTCGCAAACCAATTATGTTAGATATCTTCAACTAATAACTGTGCGATGTTCATCAATAAATTGATAAACCCTCATTAATAATACCTTAAATAATGACCTGACTCAGATCCTCGTCAATTCATAAAATGTTTATAAAACACCCGTGTAACTGCCTACCCAACTATAAACATTATTCAAGTTTCGGAATGCACCTCTTTGTTCATTTTAGTTTAAGCTCATTAATAATGCTACATTTAATTGACTCAAGCACTATTATTCGATTCTATTAAAATTCAACGGCCTTTTTAATATTCCGTTGCGAATAGACTGTAACAATTCTTACAGAACGGTTTTTGTAGACTTTTTACGAGGCCGGTGATTACCACTTCATAATCACTACCAACAGCCAGCTAATTTGAAATTCAAATTTGTAAATAAAGCATGTTATTTTCGATTTAAAACTTTTCAATTTCACACACTACTTAAACTGAAAGGCATTGTGGGATAGAATAGTATTTATCTTCCTATAGAATCTCATCAGAAATATCTACATTTACGAAAATACAAAACTTCGTACATCATTTTCTCCCTTAAACCCCCACTTTGGGGGTCAGTGAAAAACATTAAAAAACAAAACATACATTTTTAAAAAGGGATTTTAAATTTCCCAAAAATCTTTTAAAAAAAAATAAATTTTAAAAATACCCCTTCCCCAAAATCTGTACTTTTTAAAATCAAATAACCCGTTTCCTACTAAATTTTTGTAATGGACTTACTCTTTGTTTAAATTTTGGGGAACCATTTCCTAATGCTTTTTAAAAGGGTTTTCCAAAAAAAGTTTATTTTTAACGGGGGCCCCCAAAAACGACTGGGGGGGGTTGGGCCCTGGTTTTGGCATTCCCATATACCAAGGGGAAAGGGGCACATCTTTTTAAAATTTTTCTAAAAAATTTCCCCTTAAAATAATTTAAAATTTCATTTATGACATAAACCTAAATCATAGATACTGAAAATTCAAGAAATGACTTCTGCTGCAAGCTTTGCAAAAAACAGCAGTAAAACTAGTTTTCTCATGTCCTATATGTATTAGAATGTCTTCTAAAATAATTACAGCACAGATTTTAACTAACTTCACATTCCTAAACAATGAAAAAACATAAAAACAAAACACTTACATGTTTTGCATGACAAGGAATTCATTAACCAGTTTCAAATAATTGCATAACCTGCGACTATTGCCATACTAAACCACAGAATAGATTTAAGCTAGCACAGGAACTTTCTTCATTTTCTGCCTAATTCTCAGGTTAAGTTTGAACCAAAGACAACGTATGTTACTTCCCAACATTAAACCAAGGACAATGTTTTTGCTTCCCTATATAATAAATTGAACAATATTTAACCAAGGACAATGTTTTTGCTTCCCTATATAAATTGAACAGTATTCAGCCAAGGACAATGTTTTTGCTTCCCCATATAAATTGACCAATATTAAACCAAGGACAATGTATTTGCTTCCATATATAAATTGACCAATATTAAACCAAGGACAATGTTTTTGCTTCCCTAGATAAATGACCAATATCAAACCATGAATCAAACAATATTTAACCAATGATAATGCATGTTGCGTCCCCATTTAATGACCAATATTGAACCAGGGACAATTTACAGTTCTTCCCCTTCATACATGGCCAATAATGTGGCAGTACACAACAAAAATCTTGTACGCTTCCCCAATACTTTCCTCTTGTGTGACATCTTTTCAAAATGTATACCCTAAAACTTACTTTGTATGATTGTTTAAAGTTGGATCATCACTCTCTGGGGTGTCACATTCAACTTTCAGTCTTTTCACCTGAAAACAGAAGAATGGAAGTGTAACAGTAAGTCACATATTCCGAGTATTTCATACTAAAATTTTTCTTTCTATATATTGCCAATAACACATCACCTTAAAGTTGAATAAAAAACTTTGCAATTATGCAATAACTCTGACATAACCATCACACAAGTTTTCTCTAATAACAACAAGTTTCTCAAATATCACTCTCAATGTTCTAGCCAACCATTCACAGATACTTTGTTAAGTCAGATTAGCATAGTATCATTATACAAATGTAAATAAGTTTTACTGCCTGACATACTTCCAGCTTCTGTTAACACTTAACCTTCTACCATTTAAATTACAGAATTTCCTCTATTTTTAAAAAAAAAATCTGACAAAAAAAACAAACAAACAGAAATAAAAAAGGATGTTCTCAATGCATGGTAGATAGTTATGATATTTATAACTTACTGGAGGTTCAAAGTCAAGGTCATCTAACGAGGATGGAGTTGCTGGTGGTGATAAAGAAAGTTCATCACCAAGGTTACAGTTACCATAGCAACTCATCATGGGATCAAAACCAACTATCATTGTAATAGGAAAGAATCCATTTAAATGAATAATATCTAGTAGTAGTAGTAATACAATCACAGCTTTACTATTGTGTCCTTGACCTATATATGTAATAACATCACTTATATCCTTGACCCTTTTCGAAATAAACAACAATAACACTTTTTCATCAACAACAGCAAATAGTATGTCCTAAACCTTTAAAACAACAACAATCGCACAATATACTTCAGCCTTAACCTTTGACAAAATATCACATAAGATGTCCTTGACCTTAGAAAATAATAGCGCATATGATGTGACCATGTCCTTGACCTTTATAAATATATAATCACAATAAACACTTGTTCACTGTTTTTTTTCTCATAAATAGATCCTTGAAGAATGAACACAAAGAGAAATAGAGCTAGATGCTGTAAGCTTTACTGTACAATCACCGAAAGCCTAATGTCAACAAGAAAAATCACACAATCTCTAGAATCACAGGAAAGGCATATGTTGTATATCCAGCTGTGTTAGATTACACATGCTTTCTTCACAGAGATGTGTTTTTTTCCCCTTTTCTTTTATGCATAAAATATGATAAAATCCCCTGATAGTTTCACCCAAATGTTCTTTCGAGAGTTTATATTTCACAAGTCCCATGGCTTGCTTATCAGCGAGAATCTGTTAATTTTTGGCCAGCTACCTTCACTGTAAATCGCAGAAAACAATCTCCTACCAAAAGTATTCACAAACAGTATATATCTATCTTGTTAAATTATGTTGAAACACTTTCTGTTAACTATGTAAGTAAGTAATTTCTGTGGTAAGAATTCAGTGCTAAAATACGTTATCTAAACCTGGAAACTGTAGTCGGATGCGTTCATTAGGAGTGTATGTCCAGAAAAAAATATGCCTGATTCTTGAGAGACTGACTTCAATGGAAATCTTGATGATTTAATGTACTGGATGTCATGGTTAGGTGGAAACAGGGACATGTTTGACTACTAAACAATCCAGAATATCCACTCAATTAGTGTGTAGGTTGTTGTTGTTGCTGTCTTTTCCAGACATTCCAACAGAATGAAATCAATTTCAACAAAAAAAGACGAGAAGCAAATTAAAATAACTTCAAAACATTAAGCATAAGTACTTGAAAGCTGTTTTCATTTTTTTCATGTTATTTTTTAAGGAACTGTCTTAAAACATGAAACACACTAAAAATTTATGAACACTATCACAGAACTGTTACAAGACTTAATAGCCAACACACAAATTTACAGTGTTAAACTTATATCCTCATGAAAATTAGGATGATTCCACGAATCTAAAATTTTGTATTATTTATTTACATTACATATTCCTATAATGTACATCTCCTTATTTTTTAAATTCATATCTATAAATACATCACTGAAACACAATTTCCCATGTACACCAGTACAGCAACACATATGGTACAGGTTAGGAGCTACGTTTGGTGACAGAAACTCTACTGGACACAGTAGGGGTTCACTTCCTGTTAGATATCCCTAATGCATTGTGGGTAAGTTAACAACAAGTAATATTAGTAACATATGTTAATTATAGAATTTTACTATAAATATGCCAAACAATGTCTATCTTACATTAATCATCCAGTGTCTTTTTATAACTTAGGTAATTTATAGATTTAATTATACTGCAATTACAATTTAAAGGGAGGTAATAAGTATTTCAATATCAATATTAAGTCAAGTCAAATATTCTTTTTTTTGTCAAAACATATACATATATACATGTTTAGTATATACAAATATAAATATCAAAGTTATTAGCAATTATATAAAATCCTTTAAATGGTTATTACATTAATCACATTTATTTTAAAGGAACTAACCAATGAGGTTTATTTACTTAAAGGGACTAGATTTTTTTTTCCATTTGTGTACCATCTGACATATATTGATTTCTAATGTAACATTGACTACCTGTATATTTCATAACTATCTTTCAAATACACTTTTTTCCATTCTCTGTGCACCACTTGATCAACATAAAAATCTTAATTTGTATGCTTTTAGGCTTTTGGACCTCAATGGAGCTCCTTTAAAACAACTTGTGAAAATCAAATCAAAGAACTTACTTTCTAGTTATTATTACAGGCAAATCTTAGAAAATGTTCTTTCCATTTCAATTAAATATTGAAGCCGAAAATTTTTGTATGAATTTAAAGGGACTCACTCCATTGAGTCTTTTCTGGCATGACGAGGCTTGAAAGCATGACGAGGCTTGAAATAAATTTTTCGATATTAATGTTTCATTTGATGTAAGTCTAGACTAATAACTTGTGTGCAAATGTCAGATCATTTGCTCACCCTGTTTTTCCAGAAGAATTATTTTAATTGTGAAAAATTAAAATCGGTCTTGGAATAGCAAAAAGAAAAATACAATTTTCAATTAAATTCTGTCTATACTTCTTCATTATCTTTTGCATATATTTCTGTTTTAAGTGACCCAGCTGATATATGTACAGAATTCTAATTTTATGCTTATAGGGTTTTGGACCTCAGTGGAGTCCCTTTAATGCTAGCAGTCCTTTAGTCCATCCCCCTCCCACACACGATTAACTATAATTTAGGAATAAAAGGCTGTTAAAGAAACTCCGATGCAATCTGCTGTCCCCTGTAAATATTTACTTACGCAAAGATAAACATTGTGTTCTAAAGATTGCCCTGATATTCACACACTTTGTCATTGTGATTTCTTGTTTAAAATATTTTAACCAAACAGTTAAGGTAAAGAAAGTGACAAAAGGACATATGTGAAGAATAAATAATGTCACAAAAGTATGTCAACAGAAAAGCCTTCAGGATAACAAAGTCAATCCCTACTACCATTATAATGTTCTAATCAGTATCAAATCTTAAATAACTATAAAATTTGGTATTATATCAGTCTTTTCTTAAAACATTAAATATACTTATAATTATTATAATAATGAAAATAAAATATGTAATACATTAAAGGTAGTGGGTGTGGGCTCTTTTTTTTGTTTTTGTTTTTGTTTTGTTGAATAGTGAATCATAACATGGAATATGACAATAAATTCTATATATTAAATTCATCTTAAGGATTACAATGTTGTTCTATTTGAACTGCAAATGAATCTATCTCCAACTAAACTTTACAGTATGCCATATATAAGTGCCATTTATTAAAGTGAGCAACACCATTAAAATGGACATTGTTGACTGTTGGGATAGCTTCTCAACATCTCTTTTGTAATTGAAAGGTGTGAATTAATGTTTTAAATGCTGAATTAACAGATTTGCCCTATTTTGAACATGGAACAGTCCATTCATACTTTTAGAGATTTCAATATCATACACATTACACTAATAGCCCAGTCAAATTGCACAGTAGTGCACACCGGCTTGGCTCTGGTGGCAAAGGCTAATCACTTTTGGTTTCCACCAGTGTAAGATTCAAACTCCCACTTGTTTTAAACATGACCACTGACCACTTGTTGAACACTGACCACTTGTTGAACACTGACCACTTGTTTTAAACATGAACACTGTAAATGATCACTAACAGATATACATGTACAATGTATCATTATCAATAACAAGAAAATATCATAATTAAACTACACATATAAAATTAATTAATGGAAAAAAAAGTCTGGCAGCAAGGAAGCTGTGATTTCAATAATATTAATAACACCTATATTATGTTGATGATGTGAAATTAAAAGAGTGAACTGTGTGATGATTAGACTCTCTGACAAAGAAAACAACTATTCTGACACTTCCGAGAATTTAAAGGCTTCGATCTTACACTCCTCCAAACATGAAACAAAGAATAATTGCTCCCCTTTTCTCACCTAAACAGGCTAAAAAAAGTCACACATATACATCAGCATGGTGTCTCACAGATTTAATTTCATTAATGATTATGACAACTAACAAACACTAAACCTATAATATGGAAATACAAAAAGTCATGTTCGTAAAGAAGTGTCAGTTCCTCGAAAAATCTGAAAATAAGAATCAATGTTTTGTTTAAGGTTTTTGGCAATTTTTTTTTCTATTTTTGGCACATCAATTTCTAATTTTACACCAGTTTATTGAAAACAGAAATTAAAAGAGATTAAATTAATATTATAGATGAATCTGTTGGTTGGTATTAATTTTCAGAAACAATTAATAATTTTCTGGTTAAAAATAAGCTGTCCAGCTGTTTTTATAATATTAAATATGGTTAGATGAAAAGTTTTATTAATAATTTTAAAAGGTTGTCTTAATTTATTTCTCGAAAGTAATTTTTCTGGTGTTCATCATGATGCCATATTTCTAAAAATCTGAAAGTTTTAAAGTCTGGGGGATAAGGTGACGGAAGTCTTACGTTTGTCAAAAAAGTATAACATAATCTATACAACACAGTCTGCACAGTGTTTGTTATTAAAATTAATACCAACCAACAGATTCATCTATAATATTAATTTAATCTCTTTTTAATTTCTGTTTTCAATAAACTGGTGTAAAATTAGAAATTTATGTGCCAAAAATAGAAGAAAAAAATTGCTTTTCGAGCTTCACAAAACTATGTGTAGAAGAATCAATGTTTTGTTTTAGGTTTTTGGCAGTTTTCAGCAAGCATGATTTGAGAGTATGAAAGGATCACTTGTGATGATAGCCCCCAGTATGAGATAAGCCAGAAATTTTCTGACAGAATTAGCTCTTCAAGATGAAGGTAGATAAACCTTTCGTACATGTCAGACTTATATCATACCCCATGATCTTACATATTATTAAGCAGACACCTGCCAAAATATTAATTATAATAAATCATTATCAAATTGGGACTGTAACGGGTGGTTTCTACTTTACATGATATGGCATGCTTAGTAAAGCTAACTGGTGGGGTAGGGACAAAATTATTTGAATCTTTATTTACCAAGTAATAAATTTCTTAAATAATATGATTCATATTTATTAATTATCTTATAAGCTCTACGAAGTGGATGACTAACTTATGAAACAGCATGATTTTAAAATTCCTATTTAGGTAAAAATGAATTTTTTTTCTGTGGAATTAGTATTTTTCAGAAGCCGTCAATATTTGATCTCTCTTACATGTGCAAGACTAAAATAACACTTAAAATCCATACATACATCAGTACTCCACGTCAAAATCAGAACAAAAACATACAAATTGTTTTATAAGTATAAAGTAACCATTTAAAAAAAGAACAAACATAATGTTTGGCCCTTCATGTAAATACTGCTACATTCGTTATTCAACATGCATAAAACATTTGTCTGGCCAGAATATAAACTACCTGCTGCAGGAAATAATTATATTTTTTTTTGGTTGGATTTTACGTCATACCAACTCGTAGATGTCATACGGTATCGCCACTTTCCAGCTTTACTGATAGAGGAAGACCCAATGTGCGCGTCCGTGCCTTATTTCAGAAATGAACGGGCACCTTACTTGAACCGATGACATTCTGTAAGCAAGCTGGATAGTTTTCTCACATGAAATAAGCTAATGTCACTGGCAGGATTCAAACCCACAGTGGTGAGGAGCAAGTGGTTTGAAACTATTCGGTCATGGATGCTCCTACTGCAGCAAATAATTTGAGTGTCAGTGCAGTAACAGTAGCCAGACATAGATCCTGTGAGTGGGGGCCAGAATGTTGAATCCATAATTATGGACCTGTTATTGAGAACCTTCCGAAAGGAAATATATATTTAACAGAAAAAACCACCTCACATCAAAACTTTCAGAACTTAGATTATAATATACATATGACTCTCTTTTTGTCCTGTAATATTGGTGGGAAGTTTATTTCTTAAACGGTGATCTTATAAAATGGTCAGAGAAGTATTTGTTATTAATATTTATAATATCTGATCCTTTCAACAGGTGGTTTCTACTTGTGAAGCATGACTTATTTTATATTTATACCATTTAATCAAATGAAATGATATTATTAAAGTCCAGGCATATTATATCTTATATTATATCTTCATCTAAGAGTATAATTATTTTGCTGTAGCACAGCAAGAGTGTTGTAAAATTAATGAGCAACAAGTTAGAAAACTACTGCACATCTACACCGACTCAGTGACACAATTCCATGGTCTATGACCAAACTGAAGTCACTAAGCTTTTGGCATCACAAGCATTTAAGCTTTTTATTAGCATCAACCCTTAGGTTATTTAGAGTAAATTTACAAACAGATACAAAACAAGATTTTCACTATCATGCAATTACAAAATAAAATTATAAACATTTTGAAAAACAATTTAAAGATTTTGAATACATAATATTATATTCAAAGATAATTAATGCCAGAAAAAGCGAGGTTTAAAGCCAGGGCCGGACTGTGGCACTCACAAAATTGATGGAAAAGATTTAACATGTTTCTATATGACATTTCAGACAAAACTTAATTCAACAGCAATTTAAAAAGCAGACAAATTTCTTGGAAAAACTATTCAACAAACAGGTCAGAGTCAATCCATTATTGACCTTCTATTGTATATATGTCCTTACCTAATATTTCTTCACTTCCACAAAGGGGAAAAAGTTGTATAATTAATTCACAAGCAAATAGTATGAAGGTGTATCACCTATTGTAGGTAAGAAAGTCAACAGAACTTTTACCATTGTGGCAAACACATTCAAACAAAAAACATTGAAAAATCTCAATATCAGTTGCGACAGTTTTCTTTTTTTCGTTACTGTCAACTACAAGATGACATTGAGAGACCTCTAATGAAAATTTGAGCCGCGTCACGACAAAACCAACATAATGGGTTTGCGACCAGCATGGATCCAGACCAGCCTGCGCATCCGCGCAGTCTGATCAGGATCCATGCTGTTCGCTTACAAACCCTATAACAAGTAGAGAAACTGATAGTGAACAGCATGGATCCTGATCAGACTGCGCAGATGCACAGGCTGGTCTGGATCCATGCTGGTCGCAAACCCATTATGTTGGTTTTGTCGTGACGCGGCTCATTTCTTTTCTACTCTTTTGCTCATTGCCTCAAGTTACAGAAGATGTTCCTGTAGTAAAAATGAATAAAAAATGAAGTTTTCTACAGATCTGGTGATTTCTTGCTTTGTTATTGATCACGTACATGTGTCATATATATCAATAGAATGGTGAATTATTTTACCGGAATTTTCCACACGGAAACATTGTTATTTGAGAAATTAAATAATATATTTTTCATTTTCTTGTTTTTTATATTACAAATATTTGAATAATTGAGGGAGGTTAACAGAGAAAATGCTGAAAGTGTCATAAGAACAGCATAAAATTCACGAAATAACCCAGCTAATACTTTTAATACTTTTAACTTAATGAGGCATTATTGAATAAAACTTTCACAGATAATTAAATTCTTTGAAAAATATTTTTGTTTTAAACAATAATTCATAACACAATAATTTATCTAATAAAAATAATTATACAATTTTATTCAAGCAATATATAAATAATCTATCCATATTTGTTTTGTTTGTGTTTCTTTTTTATTTCATTTAAAGTTTTTATAGCTATTTAATTTTAGAAACAAAAAAAAAAAGAAATTATAAGCCATAATTATGTATTACATTAAATTGTATATATATAAATATAAATTTTCATATTTACATATAAATATAAAGTTTATGTTAATCTGCTGAGGGGGGGGGTCATAATTATAATAGACTTAGAAAATGGGTTTGGTACCAGGCCGAGATGCTGAGGGTTTGGTACCAACCTCGGACAATATTTATACCGAGAGTTGAGAAAAATTTTATACAACTGAACAAAATGTAGAAGAAAACAATGCAAAATGTTTATTATTATTATTATATAAATAAGACATTATAGGTAGATAGATACATATTTAAACAGATTTATTCTTTGAACACCTGGCTAAGTGAACCTTTGTTTTATTTTACCACAAAGCATGCATGTTGATAAGGGTTATCCCATGAAGAAGAAAAAACGTAAACCTCGCCTTTAAATAATGTCACTCTCGCAAAAATATGTCTGGAATTTTTGTGGTAGCTTAGATAACCTTCTTGATTAGAAAAAAGATAATTTTGCAGTTGTGAAAATATTCTCATGCTTGTAGCTATTTATGGTTTATTTTTTAAATTTTGGCCAAGAGGTTTGTTATGATTTAAGATAAAGTTTCAGTCTAATTCAACTTTTTCTTTAAAGTATAAACAAAATGAAAAAAAAATTTAACATTGAAAATTTTACTCTTGCATTAATTGTATTTAAAAACTGAAATAAAAATTAAATTCTCTTAGTTATAAAAATTAAATGTAATTTAAAAAAAATGTATTATAGTATTTATTATTTTAATACATGAAATAAGTGAATATTATGTTTTGCTAATTATCTTTGTAACAATTTGGCAATTGTCCCTTCTTCATTTAATGTTTTTGTTTGTTGATACTTCATGTTTTAACTTCTCCAATTTTTAAAATAAAAGGCGGTCCTTTTATTTATAGGCCTATAAAAAACAGATTTGTATAATAGTAATCAAGATCTTTATGTGTTAAAGTTTACATTTTGTAAACAAATTCAATGAAACAAAACACAAATTTATGAAACATTTAATCTTTGAGTAAAAAAAATAACAAACAAAGAAAATTCATCCTGATTTAAGGCGACTGGGGTGGGTTTAAAAAAAAAACATGATTAGTTTACTTTAATCGCAAAATAAAAAAAAAACCAACAAACTGCAATTTATTTTATTTCAAACATTAGTTTTGTTCTATAATCATTAATAAATATTGAGAAAATGCAAGGCCAGTGTAAGATTTCTTTTATAACTGAAATTTTGTCCGTATAGTTGGAATACTATACGATAGTTAAATATGATACCCGATTCTTTAACTCAACTAGATTGAAATACAATAGGCCTACCTGTTGAATACACTAACATAAACAAAAGATCCTTCTCCCAATTTATATATATCCTCAACTTAAAATTTTCCTTTACTAACAAACTTTCATAAAAATTAATTACATCAAATCCAGAAACATTGTCAACATTTAAATCGTTGAATTGTTCAATGGATTACGGCCAGCAATTGTTGAAGTATATGTTTGTACAATCACTGATTTTTAAGTCCAATGACAAAAGCATAAACAACGCAAATATCTTTTAAGGGATAATTTATGCTGATTCTAACCCAATACGGAGCTTACCCTTACTTTGATATAAAAACCCTTAAAATTATTTTAAACCAAATAAAAAGGTTACAACTTACACATACTAGTCAGCATCCGCTTGTATTATCTCCAAAAGAATTTACTCCAGTGATTATGATTTTTTTCGTTTTTTTCTCCGTAAAAAAAAAACAAATATCACACAGTAAGTACGAAGTTGTTGATTTTTTGTGTTTGTTGAACAAGTTTAAAATATCCAAAGGTATTCTCAGTACAACCTTCTTGAAGCCATAAAACCAAGATAATATTAAGAATATGTTAAAATCAGCTGACTATTAATATTAATAGATATTCAATAAAGTATCATTACTGGCTGACCATGTAGTACAATACACTACTCAAAGGTGGAGCTAAGTAAAATAAACTCCTCCCACTGAAAAATCAATACCGCCTCAAAACACAAATAGCTCCGCCTCCTATGAAATGCGATATGAAAGCCCTATGTAATTCAACTGTCAATCAAATGATCCAACTGGGATTTCTAACTAATTACGGGCCTATCATGTTGTAGCATCTTTTAGTTGCAACAGAAGGTTATTATCGCAGTGGCCTATGTATATTCAACAAGTTTTCTATGAAATGTTGAACTGCTATTATTTCGGCATATGGTTGGGCTAAAGTAACATAGGGGCCTACAGGTGCCCCCTCTGTAGGGGATGAAAAAAGATTTGGATCTAATCTGTAGAATCAAGGAGGGAAATCTGTCATTCTTTACAGTAAATACACAGTAAGATTCAAAGGCATAGCTCAGGTTCATGAGGTCTGAGCATTTTTTCGTGATAAAGATCAATATTTGAGAATCATAATTCAACAGTAATCCTTCAGTTTCTGGAATTACCTTCTTCTACCTCACAGACAATGTTAGCAACTGATTACAGAAGCTTTGCTATGAAAGTAAATTGGATGAAAGAAAATAGAAAATTTGTCCCTTAGCAAAATATTATAATGGCATAGCCGTAATCTGTAAGATTAGTTATAAAGTTACATGATGAAGTTAAATAACAAAACATCTTAAAAAAGCATATTATATATATACACAAGGAGCAACAATAATGTTAATTTTAATGCTTAAAAAAAGCTTTATTAATGGACAGAACAATTTTGTTTGTCATCTAAGTTATCATTTTTATACAAAAGGACTATAATTCAATAAAAGGAACAAATAGTTGTCCAAAATGACCGTATTTTTCAATGAAATTTTAGTAAAAAATTAAAAGTTCATTTTTATTTTGTTAGGAATTACGAGGACAAATTAGGATCATCAGGTCAACTAAGGTAAAGCGTCATTAAGCGGTGGGGTATTGTTATTTGGGTCTCTCTTTTGCATTCAACCTGTTGAAGTTTCACAACCAACCACATACTTGACCACTGGACAATTGTTGGTCAAAGATATAAGCGCTTTGGTTTGAGATTGTCCAGTTTGTTAATAGATTGACCACACTTTTATTCATAAGTGGTTGTTAATACAAAGTTTAATGTCAGCAATTATTTGTAGATTTTCGAAGTTACTGACCTCATGTGTTGACATCTATTTGCTAAACTTGGTCAGTAAAATAAAAAAATAACATCACAATTATTACAGAAAAGAAACACTGGTTATATAAAGACTACAAAGAATTTATAAATTTCAAAACCTATCTAAAATTACTAAAAACAAAACTGATGCCTTATATATCCCTGTACTACACAAAAATCATTGGTGTCCCAAAAATATGATACTCAGCTAGCTATACCATTTTTTAAAAATTTTGTTTCAGATATAATGTGAAGTCATAATACATGTACGTATGCTTTAAAGTAATAATTTGTAATCTCCTCATTTTATTATTCTAATTTGGAAAACATGATATTAAAAAATAATAATCTTTATGATCATAATGCAATATTATATGAATGTTTTTTAAGGTTACCTGTAAATATAATAAAACATAATCAAAAATTTAAAAAAAAATATACTAATTAACATGTTATTAACCTTTGGTAAATAAGCAAAGTAAAAATAAAAAAAAAATTCATGGTACTTAACAGCCATTGCATGATAGTGCCCATCTTAAACAGAAATTATTTATCTGGGAATTATATAAAAAAATTTTTTACATTATTGTCAGTTTGAAAAAAACAAACAACAAAAAACAACTTAATATAAATATGCTCAGTTTTAGAAAAGGTAAATATCTTTGAAAAACTGACATAAAATATAGTCCCATTGTTCAAAAATTAATTAAATTAACAAATATTCAAAAATAATTAATACATGGAGTTCGAATCAATTATAATTTTATAGACAAAAAAATAGATCCAATTTCTGGGCATATACGTTACAAAATTCTTACATGAACCTGTCAAAAACTGTTAGTTACGCTGAAAACAATGGGAACATAGACAAGATATGTACAGATTTAACATCATCGGCAATTAAAGCTACGAAATATGTCAATTGCCGAAAGAACTTTTATAATAAAAGATTTGACCTTTTGACAATCGAAACACCAAGGTAGATCAAACGCAGGAAGATGAATAAGAAATACCCGTTATCAGCGAAATCTTGCTAATTAGCATAAAAGTTGTCCAATTATACATTTAAAGGCCAATCATGATTGAAAATTTCACGATATTGAAACCAATTACAGCTTAAGATATATGCTGCGATACAATTGTAAGAAAGATTTTCCAATGACTTAATTATACTAAGCAACAGATTTTTATCTTCAATTTTCATGAAAATAATAAATTTATCAAAGGACATACTGATTATTACTCTATCTAGTATAATTCACCTGTCCTTAAACAAACAATGCTAAATCTATTTAGAATATAATGAGTATGTAAATAAGGAAAACATTAACAAATTACTACTTTCAAAAAGGTTATTGTGCCAACAATATCTAGTCCTTTTCCTTCATTTTTTTTCTTTTCTTTCAATTTTCCTGTTCATTTCTAATTCCTTGTTGTTGTTTTTTTTTAAATATTATTCAAGTCATATAATTTTGTATTTGTCACTACGCAACTTACAAATACAGACATAAGTCCTTACTAAGACCTAAAGCATGATACTTACATATTAAATTACGATTTAATTACTTAACTGACAAAAAAATGCATTTTTATTTGAATAATGTAGTCATCACTATTACTTTGAATAATGTAACATATCACTATTACACTGTATGTTTTCAAATAAAAATAGTTGTATATTTTTTTCATTTGCAATGATAAAGAGATTTGTTTCATTGAAATCAAGACATTTTTGCAAAAAATGAAATACTATTTTGGCTTTAATGTTTTTATTTTCAAATATTTCTACAATTCTGAATACATACAGTCCAGTGAAAATACCTCTTTCTAAAATTAAATGGTCTCCCAAAAGGAAAGAGGTGGCTTAGTTATATAGGTGTCCGTTCTAAAATTTCAACGTTCTCCCAAAAGGGAAGTCGAGTGGCTGATTGTTTAAGGTGTCCATTCTAAAATTAAACATTCTCCCAAAAGGGGAGCAGAGGCTAAGTGGTTAAGGTGTCCGCCTCTCAGCCAAGTGATCATGGGTTCGAGCCCTACCTGGGTCACGACCATCCTTCTTCATATGACACCTTAACAGTTTTAACCATTGGCCTGCTGGAACTGTAAGCGTTCAACGCCTTGGCCACCAGTATTATAGAGCCAGGCCAGCCTGCACATCCATGTAGTAAAACCTGGTCCTATATACAGTTGGCTGTTTAACTTGTTATGTATTTTGATACAGAAATCACTGAAACTTTAAATGGACTTCAATAAATAAATTCAAAGTTGGACAAGTGCATTATAGAAATAATGCATGTTGAAGCAGTGTCAAGGTTGCTGAGGTGTCACTCCCACATTATTTCAGACAGGAGGGGTGGTGGGAGGGCACCTGAAAAATTAGCTAGCCGGTAAACTATAAGGAATATAATTAATACCAATAAAACAAAATTAGTATATTTTGTTCCTAAACATTATATTTTAAATGTGTTAGTGAGACTGATGCAAAGTATCACCCTTTGGAAGACTAATATTTTGGTTGTTGCTGGAAGGTGTTGCTTTACAGAGGTTATTAAAATTCATTGCCTTGTAATTGTTGTTGTAAAGAACTACGTCTACATAGGGCTGTTCTGTAGTGGTTACACTGTATTATGTGATATGTATTGTTGGAAGTTGTCACTGTATAATATAATATGTATTTTTGGAAGTTATCATTGTATTATATAATATGTATTGTTGGAAGTTGTCACTGTATAATATAATATGCATTTTTGGAAGTTATCATTGTATTATATAATATGTATTGTTGGAAATTGTCACTGTATTATATAATATGTATTGTTAAAAGTTGTCACTGTATTATATATAATATGTATTGTTGGAAGTTGTCACTGTATTATATATAATATGTATTGTTGGAAGTTGTCACTGTATTATATGATATGCATAATTGGAAGTTGTCACTGTATTATGTGATATGTATTGTTGGAAGTTGTCACTGTATTATATAATATGTATTGTTGGAAGTTATAACTGTATTATATAATATGTATTGTTGGAAGCTGTCACTGTATTATATAATATGTATTGTTGGAAATTGTCACTGTATTATATAATATGTATTGTTAAAAGTTGTCACTGTATTATATATAATATGTATTGTTGGAAGTTGTCACTGTATTATATATAATATGTATTGTTGGAAGTTGTCACTGTATTATATGATATGTATAATTGGAAGTTGTCACTGTATTATATGATATGTATTGTTGGAAGTTGTCACTGTATTATATAATATGTATTGTTGGAAGTTGTCACTGTATTATATAATATGTATTGTTGGAAGTTGTCACTGTATTATGTATTGTTGGAAGTTGTCACTGTATAATATGATATTTATAATTGGAAGTTGTCACTGTATTATATGATATGTATTATTGGAAGTTGTCACTGTATTATATGATATGTATAATTGGAAGTTGTCACTGTATTATATGATATGTATAATTGGAAGTTGTCACTGTATTATATGATATGTATAATTGGAAGTTGTCACTGTATTATATAATATGTATTGTTAAAAGTTGTCACTGTATTATATATAATATGTATTGTTGGAAGCTGTCACTGTATTACATGATATGTATTGTTGGAAGTTGTCACTGTATTATATAATATGTATTGTTAGAAGTTGTCACTGTATTATATGATATGTATAATTGGAAGTTGTCACTGTATTATATGATATGTATCGTTGGAAGTTGTCACTGTATTATGTATTGTTGGAAGTTGTCACTGTATAATAA